AAACTTTCCAGTTCGTTGAAGATCAATTAATTTCCAGATTGCAACAGTGGAAAACTAAGGCCCTTTCCCTGGCTGGCAAAGAGATCCTCTTGAAATCTATAGCAACTTCCCTCCCCAATTATGCTATGCTAAGCTTTCGTTTGCCTGTTACAGCCTGTCGTAGGTTGAATGGTCATTTAGCACGATTCTGGTGGGCTCAACAAGATCGAGATAAAGGAATGAAGTGGGCTTCATGGCGATCTCTTTGCAGGCATAAACTCCACGGTGGGCTAGGATTCCGGGACTTCGACAGTAACAACAAGGCATTGCTTGCTAAACACACTTGGCGCATTCTCCAAGAACCTGATAGTCCCCTTGCTGTCATGTATAAAGGGAAGTACTTTCATCAGTCCTCTATTTTGCAGGCTACTCCGGGTCCTCGGCCATCCTGGGCATGGCGAGGTATTTTGGAAGGACGAGACCTCCTCTTACAAGGGATTCGTTGGCTCATTGGATCTGGATCGCTGGTTAACATAACAGAGGACATTTGGCTGCCGACCACGCCCCCATCTCGGCCCAAGCTTCTTCCACTCTCCACTCCGCCTTCGCCTCTTGTGTCATCCTTGATTGATCATACTGCTGGTTCCTGGAAACTTGACTTGCTCAAGGAACTATTTGATGAGGAGACAGTGAAGGTAATTTGCTCGATCCCTCTCCCCACCCTGCCTATGGCTGATAGAATTGTATGGCATTACGAGTCTTCCGGGGAATACTCTGTCAAATTAGGTTATAAGCTGGCTGCTACTGAATTCGTGTGTGATTTATCTACAATTCCAGTAATCTTTGATATTAAAGCTTGGAAATTTCTTTGGTCAATCCCGGTTCCTCCCAAGTTGAAATTTTTCCTATGGAGATTGATTAAAGGCTTTCTTCCTGTGAGAGATGTGTTGCGAGATAAGGATTTGATTTCTGAGGAAGATGAGGCTGCCTTGTCTTGTCCGGTCTGTTGTGGTAGTTCAGAGCCTCTTTCCCACTGTTTTTTACACTGTCGCGTTGCTGTTACCTTGTGGGAGTTGGCTGGGTTTGGTCACTTGTTGAATATTGTGAACTCCATGCATGTAGCAGTAGGATGGCGCTTCCTGTTCTTTGATGCAGGCCTGGACAGCAGTACCATTGCACGGCTTGTCTTTCTCTACTGGAGGATATGGAAGGGCCGCTGCTCAGCTGCTTATGACCATACATTGCTCCTCCCACCAACCTTATTACGACATTATGATTCCCAAGTGGCAGAATGGGAGAATGCTCAAGCTGACCCAAGCAACTCTGCTCGGAATCGTGGGAGGAGTCCTACAGGGCAATCGGGTCAGTCATCTTCTCCCCCAAATATTCCGGATGATGCTGTTCTTGTTCACTTCGATGGGGCAACAAAAGAATCTGTCGGAGGAGCTATTGGGTTTGTGGGATTCTTACATGATCGTGGTGTGAGCTTCGCCTTTGGTCGTTTCTATCCGGGAGTATCTGATCCTTTCCTTTTAGAACTCATGGCTCTACGAGATGCTATGCGCTGGTGTATTTCTCATTCTGTTACTAATGTCCTCTTCTGTGGTGACTCGCAGGTACTCATCCGAATGGTAAACGCGATTGATTCGGCTCACGGTTTGGGAGGTGCCATTCTGAAGGAGGTTCAGGTGTTGCGAACATCTCTCCAGCGTGTTTCGTTTCATTTCGCGCCGCGTAGGTATAATAGGGCTGCCCATGTCGTGGCAAGACAAGCCCTCTTATCGTTGGTTCAGCGTCTCGTTGACCAACGTTCCTTTCTTCTTTCTCTTTGAACTTTGGCCGCTTCGGTCCTGTATTCTCGTATCTTGCTATTCCTCTTCGGAATATCTTTGGCAAAAAAAAAAAAAAAATAAAGTATTGAAGGATAATCGACTAAAAGGAAGCATGATACTAATGGCATTTCAAGTATTTTTTTTTTTTTTCATTTTTCATATGAGAATACATTTTCCATGTAAAAAAAGATAGGACGTTCAATGGGTTGAGAAAAATTGACGAGCTAGTTATGTGAATGGTGGAAAGTGGAAATTATACTTATTATTCTTTAATTTACTTGGTTTTGAAGCTAGTACTGACTTTGTCTGTTGCCACTGCAAGCTGCGATACTGCTTTTCCAGGTATGATGTTCATCAAGAACGATCCTCGCAATCAATTGAGTGATCAATTTATGAATGATTGTTCAATTGTGTATATATATGTTCAAAAAAAAAGTGTATATATAAAAAAAAGATTCGATTTGCAATTTAAATAATGAATGTATTTTACATACCTCTTTCAGAATATGAAAGTCGCACAATGCATACCATGTAACTGCGTTTCCGTATCAATACAAAATTGAACGAATACTCCACCTGAACACGATAATATGAAGATACTATGTCACAGTCGAAAAGATCCAACGCGACTTGGCAATGTCACTCATCCAGATTCGATTGGATAGAAGATAATTTTTTTATATATATTTTCGTTGTAAGTAGCATTGTCGAATAAAATCATCCCATATATAGTCCATAAGTTAGATATTTCTACCACTACCACCTCCTTGATTAACAATTCACAACATGCCCATAAAACATTATCATTAAATCAACCATCATCCATCAACAATCTCAACGACAATTAAATGCCCCCAATATTTAACATCTCTAGTCTCCCTCCCTTCCCTCCCTCTATATATACATGCATTCCATTAGTCAATGAAAACACATCATCCCTTCACCACAACAAACCAAAACAAACCCCAAAAAAAATGGCAGTGGGAGAAGCAGCAGCAATGGTCGAGCCGCAGCTAGCGAGCAACATTAGCGACGGGAATAAGAAGAGGGCAGCGGTGGCGAAAGCGTCAACTTTGTCGCCTTTAGCGACGGAGGAGAAGAGCATTAGCGACGAGGAGGGGCGGCGAGTGAAGAAGGCGAGGAAGCTGAATGCGTACGATAGGATCGCGGTGGGCAGCGTGGCCGGGGCCCACTTGCTGGCGATGTGCGGGCCGTTTTGCTTCAGCTGGGGTGCGTTTTGGCTGGCGGCGGCGCTCTACGTGGCGACGGGGATGTTCGGAATCTGCTTCTCGTACCATCGGAATCTGGCTCACCAGAGCTTCAAGCTCCTCCCCAAGTGGCTCGAGTACTTGTTCGCTTACTTTGGCGCCCATGCTCTTCAGGTAATGCGAATCCTATGACGCCTGTGGTTTCTGATCGGCTCGATCTCGCGAATATTTGACAAACTCATTTTATTTTCGTATGAACATACATTCTTATTTATCTTGAATTCTTTGATGATAGGTTGCGATAATTCATACTTAACTACTAACACACCCTGAAATCTCGTCCTTACAATCAAATTTTAGTAATTTATGACAACTGTTGATGGTTTCTATGATAGAATGCCACTAGACAGATTGCTCGATATGAAAAATTAAGCCGGTCCAAGTAGTATAAAACCATAATTACTGTCATTTCTTTTAGAAAAAAAGGTGGGTTAACTAACGAAAGAAAGATGGAATCATATGCATTCTTAAAAGATATGCTCACCCGCAGGGGCGGAGACACAGTATTAGAAGGGTGTTCCACGGCACACCCTTGGATCGAGGCTAGAACATAAAAAAATAGGGGTATTAGTTTATGCTATAGTTAGGATTTGAACGTGGAACCCCCTTACTATTAGCTTTGACATCTTCCACTAAACCACAATTACTTACGTGATACACTAATACGTTTTATTGCATATATATAATTTACCGTTTACAAATAATAAGTAAATTAAATTAAAAAACCTCACAATTACATATGCTTATTCAAGAAGTAAGCGAAAATTTAACCCTAACAAGCGAGCTTCTTGATAGTCTTGATGATGAATGTATTTTACAGATTTTTCAAAATATGAGAACCCGTCGTGGGTCACTATAAAAAATTGATAATCATTTTAATTTTTTTTAAATTGGCACCCCCTTATTCAAAATCCTGGCTACGCCACTGCTCACCCGCATTTTCTATGATTCTAGTGGACTAGACTCAATTGATCTAGTCGCAAAAATGCCCGATAGAGAAGTTGGGGATAAAAATATGCATTTTTCGTTCTTATTTTTCACTCGAGCAACTTCGTTTCTAGCTGAACCATTCCTAATTTATGGTGAAACCAATCATATTTTACTACTGATGGTTTTCATAAATTTATTTCAGATTCCGATATGGCGAATCGGATCGTTCGTTAATATATTTGTGTCGTGTGGTCCAAAAAAAATGTGTCGAATTCAGTAATATTTGAACGTGTGAGTGAATTTGTGTTTTGCCAGGGTGATCCATTAACGTGGGTGAGCAACCACAGATTTCACCATCAATACACTGACACAGAGAGAGATCCACACAGCCCCATTGAAGGGTTTTGGCACAGTCACATGAGTTGGATCTTCGATTCAGCCGCCATTAGAGAGAAGGTACGTACGTACGTGGTGATTCACTGCGTCAGTATTGCATGGCTCTGAATTTGATTTAATGCTAATGATAATTACTGGCGTTAATTGCTTTGATTAATTAATGAAATATAATGACTGGATTTTGCAGTGTGGGAACGAGACAACGTTGGAGACCTGAAGAGCCAGGCCTTCTACAGGTGGCTTCGTAGGACTTACGTCTTCCACCCACTGGGACTTGCCCTTCTCTTGTATGCCCTTGGTGGCCTCCCCTACATCGTTTGGGGAATTGTAAGTCTAGCTCCATTTAATTTCTCTCTTTTTTTTATGGGATATTTATATATTTCTATAATATATATAAATTTTTTGTGCCATAATTATAGTTAAGGTACATATTTGATTATATTTTCACAAAAAAGAGAGAGTCAAGGTACATATCCTACAACAATGTTTTTAAAATGATTATTGATAACATGGTTGAATCTAAGATATAATATATGATCTCTACATTCACACATTATCATAAGAAGACAATGACGTTCTTATTTGTAGCCCGAATTAATTATGAGCATGTAAATTTTAACTAATAGTTAGTAAACTTTAAAAAAAAAGTCAACCACACGGTTTTGTGCTCGTCTACTGTTTAACCGTAGTCATTGTTTCATCAGGGGGTGAGGGTAGTGGCCTTTTACCACGCCACGTGGTTTGTCAACTCGGCCGCTCACGTATGGGGATCCGAGCGTGGAACACCAACGACCTGTCAAGAAACAACTGGTATAATTATCAAATACCATCGTTTCGCTTCTACCGTTTCGGATTTTCTTGAAAAAAAAAAGATATAAAACACACAAACAAAGTTTGGTGAATCTAGTTGAAGTATTCGATCGACCAAGTTTATAATTCAAGTTTGGGACTACTCCTACTTGTGGTTGAATCAGGTGGGTGGCAGTTTTGACATTTGGGGAAGGTTGGCACAACAATCACCATGCTTTCAAGTACTCGGCAAGGCAAGGGCTGGAATGGTGGCAGATCGACATGACATGGTACGTGCTCAGGCTCCTTCAGGCCATAGGGTTGGCTTATGACATCAAGCTGCCCAGTGAGCTCCAAATGAAGAAGCTAGCCATGAAAGGCTCCGACTAGTGCTTTTGCAAACGGTCGAATCTTCTGGAGTATACTGTATAGTATATGATCCAGGAGTACGTCAATCGTAATCATATATGCATTATGTACGCACACATTTGTTTGATTGTGTTACGATTGTGAATGTCATTTTATTTTATTCTCCTCTGTAGTGTTGCTGGGTCTCTCCCGCGAATGGTTAAAATTTGAGTTTGGTGTCTGGGTCTTAGTTTTACTTGTAATCATCCTGCGCGCGGGGAAACTCTTTGGTCTCGTGGAGGGGTTTTCCACATCCAAGTGTTCGAGAGGATTTATGAGTAATCGTTGTATATATAATGTTATGTTCAATAAATATATAGTTTACTTCTCATCGAGAAATGTAGATCGTTTGTCATATGTCTAAACTTATCGTTGTATCATATTGTACCATCGACGTATATCACCATCGTCGCACTTCTCCTTCTCTTAGCGAACAATTGATTTTTTCCCAACAGTCGTGGACTTCTAACCAGAGAATATACACCACAACTAAAACCGATGTTTACTTATAGACGATATAAGTATTTAGCGGTTTTACTTTTAGACTGGGAAGTGAATCACTATTTCCATCAAAATGTTAGAAAGTTAAAAACCGAATGTCGATGGCACAAAGTATTTTATTCATAAAGAAAACTCGAGCTTGCAATTGGAAGAGGTTGTGAATCAAATCCTGCCAGTTCAAATTTGTAAGCTCGTCGACTCGTCGTCATATATAGACACATGGGCATTGGGCAATGAACTTGTTTTGTTCAGGTTTTTGGTTATCAGGGTTTTGAATGGGCCGGGAAAAGCCCAAGTATAGGCTCTGTGGTCCATAAGTGCAGGTTGCGTCCTCGAAGGCTGGGCCCATAGTTCATATATTGGCGCCCGGAAGCCGAGCCTAACTTTTTGGGTGTGCCTACGGTGACATGCATGTCACGGTGACTTGCACTTTCCGGTCGGCCTCAGTTAGGATTAGGTCGACCGAATTCTAGGATTCGGTCGACCTCATATAGGATCCGGTCGACCTCATATAGGATCAGGTCGACCTAATATGTTGTTTCAGTGTAAAAACAGTTCATGGTGTCTACTTTGGATATTCATATCATACAATTGGCTAGATGGAAATTGAAGACTAATGACTTGTTTTGAAGCTGGAGTGTCCCTCTACATATTGAAGTGATTGAGAGCTCGATAGGAAGTCCAGAAGACCATTTTTGAATCTCATCAAAAGGCTATGCCAAAACTGAGAAACTGCATGGAAATGGCTAAGTCTGAAAACGTGTTTGTGAAGCCTATTTTGGAGCTCAATTCGAGAAGCATGAATGCGAGTCGAGTCCAGGAGCCTCTACCACGTTAAATTAGGTATGTTTTTATACAAATTCAAGGCATTGGATGAAAGATTGGATATCTGTAAGGCTTCAAATAAAAGGGTCGAAGTTGCTACGAAGGCTGTTTTTCTGGCAGACTTCGAGCACAAGAAAGCTGCCAGAAAAACAGCTTTCGTAGCAACTTCGAGCCTTTTGTTTGAAGCTTTAAAGATATTCAATATTTCAACCAATGCCTTGCCTTTGTATAAAAAAATACGTAATTTAACGTGGTAGAGGCCTTTGGACTTGACTCGCTTCCATGCTTCTCAAATTGAGCTCCAAATTAGGCTTGACAAACACGTTGCCAGACTTAGCCATTTTCAGGCAGTTTCCAGTTTTGGCATAGCCTTTTGGTCAGGTTAAAAAATGGTCTTCTGGACTTTCTATTGAGCTCCCAAGTACTTTAATGTGTAGAGGGACACTTCAGCTTCAAAACAAGCCTTTAATCTCCAATTTCCATCTAGCCAATTGTAAGATATGAATCTCCAAAGTAGGCACCGTGAAACTGTTTTTACACTGAAACAACATATTAGGTCGACCTGATCCTATATGAGGTCGACCGGATTCTAAATGAGGTCGACCGGATCCTATATGAGGTCGACCGGATCCTAGAATTCGGTCGACCTAATCCTAACTGAGGTCGACCGGAAAGTGCAAGTCACCGTGACATGCATGTCACCGTAGCAAAGTCCTAACTTTTTTTATAATTAAAGTTAACTGGTTATTTCTCTTTTACTGCAACTCGAAATTAAAGGAAATGGCACAGAAAAATTAGATAAATCATATTTTGGGACAAAAAAATTGGGCATATATTAATAGTCTTTAGCATGATAGTAAAATTGACGTCTCCACTTCCATTTCACCTCACTTACAAACTTCAAATACTCCAACAACTCCATAGCAAAGTTTAATAAATGAAAAAATTTGATCAAACATAAGAGAATACAATTACATACTAATACTTTTAATTGGATATAGTAATGGGTAGATTTATTGGGTAATTAGATCTAATTGACATACCCATATATGTATTGGATCGGACCAAACAAACTCATATACATTTGTAATGGTTTTTTTATTATTTGGGTTCGGTCTGAATTGGATTATATTTTAGGTGATTCATTTGGGTTATACTCAAATGGATCTGATTGGGTCTAGATGAATCTCTACACACAAAAAACAATGTCATTAAATACCTTCAACCCTAATATACATCCTTAAGGAAGGTGCTTCCACCTTTCTATTCTTTTTTTCACAACAAAGAGTTAGACAAAAATTGCATTACAATCGGATACCCATTTCTTTTGAACTTCCAATATTATGGATGCCATTTGTTATTTCTGTTTCTTCATCATGGACATTCTGCTGGTACTGGTGAGACTTAATCCTATGCTTCAAAAGATAAGGCAAAACCAAGGAGGAGAAACACAAAGATGCTTCCCCAAATTACCCCCAGCAGCTCTAAACTGCAAAGATTTTTCAATGTGGCAGTTGCAGAAATCATAGCCCACATTGGCGTAATAAAAGATTGCACATGCAGCTAGCTAGCCAGGCAGAGCGGGCCACGATCTGGACCCGGCCCGGAGAGGGGTCGAGAAATGATGATTGTGGGCCTCGAGTGGACCGGACGGTTTGATCATCAAACTGGAGCTGACCATCAAAATCAATTTGTATATCTGCCAACCCCAACTAGGGCAAGCGTGGGGCAATCAAAGTTAATTTGATGTATTTAGTTTGGTTTTCTGGTAGGATCGATATTAGCTGTCTCAGAGTTGTCACTTGGGGGGAGCTGGAGTACATGCATGATTGACGAGCAAGGTTGTTCACCCGTGGATGGACCCGATTTGACCCGGATCACGCGAGAAAAAAAAATATTATCATGTACATCTGTGATTCGACTCGCAACAAAATTCTTCGAGTTGGAGGTCATACGGTGTCGTTCTTCACTTTGATTTGCAAAATTACATTTTTTTTTCTGGTTCTTCCCTTCGTCTGACTCTTTCTTTGGAATTCTAAATTAAACATTTGAATATTAATGTTATATGAATGTGCTTGAATTTTCATTATACGTTGGATCCAAGTACGAACTGTTACAGTCGAAAAATTACGCGTGAGAACTTTAATAATCTTACTTGATTTAAGCATGAAGTATCGATTTTGGGAGTTCTACAAGTTTCAAGTTCATTATATATCCTTTTGCTTACAAGAAGTCGAGTAAGCCAGAAAATAATGGAAACAAAGCACTTCTTTAATACATTATTATTGTGGTCGAAAAAGCCTCTTAACCTTGCGTTCTTAATGATGAAAAGATCCCTGGCCGGCCCGGCCCTCCCAATTCCCAACTGTGAGTTTGCACTTTTGTAAAGAGAAAAATTAATTTTTAAGTGCTTATGAACTTGAAACCCAACCCACCTGTTGCAATAAATACGTTGGCATGGATTCCATGCAACTACCACTAATTAGTGATTAGCAAACTATATATATTTTAATATCTATACGGTTTGCGTGGATTATTTGTGGACACATCATACATATAATATTGTATAGGCTATTATTGTACACTATCCATCAACCACCACTCGTCCACTCGAGTGTTTTTGTAAGGAAATGATGCATACAACTTTTCTACAAATTGAGATATTGAGATTAAGAGGTTATATTGACATGATATCAAAGTTGATTTATACTTAGTATCTCGTGTTTAAGTCATCACGATCCCGATATTAATAATTATCTTCAAGTGAATATATGGTATGAGGGTCTGTGCAAAACTTCAATTCATAAATTGGCTTTCGTTTGAGGAGTTTAAAAAAGTGATTAAATTATGTACATGAATCCCTCCAACAAATCAAGTTATTGGAGCTAGTTTGTTTATGACAAATTTCAAAAATATTTTCATTTTATTGAAAGACGTGAAGATTTGGTTATGTGATTGAAATTGTTATATCGTTCAACTAGGGTTGGGAGCTATATATTTGTGTGTAGATATATAAGTAATTTTGGACGACAAACCTAATAATATTACAAACTCCTAGAGCATCTTCTTCATGAACTAGTTAGTCTCAACTTTCATAGTTTCCAATTTGAAGATAAATCATCTGTCATCTACTAGAAGTTACAGTGTATGAGCTTATACACGTTTTTTTTTTAAATTGTTTTGGCCCTAGTTTGTAATCTTTTTCTTTTTCAGATTGTATTAGGGTTAGACTGTGTGTAGTAGGTACTATATATACCTTCTCAATCTCCGTAATATGTATCTCCTCAACTACAGTACTGACACGTATCTCCGTAATATGTTCGGAGTATATACCTTCTCAATCTCCATAATATGTATCTCCTCAACTACAGTACTGAAATGTGTCTCTCCAATCCGTGAATTAGCTAACACAAATCTTATTAGTGAACCACATAATTGTGTGTAGTCTTTACTTTCGTGAGTTAACGATTAACCAAATCCCCTCTCACATTTAGGGGTGGGAAACGGTGCGGTTGCGGTTAACTGCACCGCAATTTGCGGTTAACTGCAACCGCAAATCACCCATATTGGCCAACCGCGACCGCGACCGCAACGGTTAGCGGTTAACCAAAAACCGCAAAACGCGGTTAGCGGTGAACCGCGGTTTATGGTTGTGAAAACCGCAACAACCGAAATACCATATGAAACCGCAGTTAGCACTCTAATCGACAATTAACCGCGAACTAACCGCAAAAAAATCATGGAAAAAAAACACAGCAGCTATTGTTTTGTCTATTTTCACTTCCATCAAGCCCCTGCATCTGTCTGCATATCCAAATAACACAATCCACAAGCATAAATGCACAATGCCACAATCCTGTTGGCTGGGCTGGGGTCAATTATGGGCTGGGCTGGGGGTGAATTATGGGCTGGGTCTGGTTTCGCGGTTAGCTTTGCGGTTATATGGATTTGCGGTTTCGGTTGCGGTTAAACCGCAAACCGGAAAACAGGCCATATCTCCAACCGCGACCGCAAAATAGGCCAAATATGCGGTTTGCGGTTAACCAATAACCGCGCGGTTTCGGTGCGGTTGTCGGTTTAACCGCAAACCGCCAACCGTTTTCCCAGCCCTACTCACATTATTGAAACCCGCTAAATCTCGTCTCCTCTTGGTTATGCTTACTTTCAACCTACTTTTGGATCTCTAACTGATCACGTTTATGAAATCATATATCATTCTCAAAACGGATACAATAGCATATCATTACGCTACTTTCTCTCGGTTATTCTTGCTTGATTTGACTATACCTCCATTTGTCAAACTCTTTGCTCTTTCACTATCATGACCTTAAGAAAATCTGCCGTTCAACCTACGTCTAGAGCTCTAACTGATCATCACGTTTATGAAATTATATATCATTTTCAAACGGATACTCAAACATATTAATTAGGCCACTTTCTCTCCTATACGAAACCTCAAACCGTCCTCAATTAACTTTGAGAAATCTAACTCTCAAACTACGTTCGGAGCTCTAACTGATAACTCACACAGTTTTCTCCCTCGGCAAATTTAACAAAGACGACGACCATTAATTATGGTACTATCGATCCGTCGGCAGTTCCTGCACTGTTTCAACGCTCAAACCCTAGGCTCAAAATTCGCCGACAAGGCTCAAGAGTTCATTTCCCCACATGTCTCTTTAGTACCTAATCATCTCTTTTCTCGTTAACCATAAATTTGCTGGTTGTAAAACTCGAATAATATTAGTAATATATATAGCTAAGAATCGGATATTTGTTTATGAAAAATGTAAAAATTCATCAGCAAGTTGACAGACCAGGCTAGTTAATAACCCAACTAGAATTTGCATTGCTTATATATCTATTAAATGGAGGGATCCACTTAGGAAAGGCAATGGCTAGGGCGGAGCGGGTATTTCGATACTGCCGTCACATAAGAGAACAGGTTCATGTTGGGTAATTTATTATAGAGCGCAGTTTGGGACAGGTCGATCCATAAGTGTATATAATTTTAAGAAAGAAATATTAATTTTTATTAAATAAATCAAGAAACAAACTATAACGTGATAAATATATATAGTTAATTTATTAATAAAGATGAGGTTTATTACCTCATGAAACTCTCAAGTTTGAATCTCTTCAGTAGCACCAAATTAAAAAAATCAACCTATAAAATATGAGATGATAAAAGTATATGTAATTTAGAAAAAAAGGATCGAGAATAAGATAGATCAGGTTGAGAAACGTATCCGTACCTACCCATTCTATATCAAGTAAAACAAATATGATCGAAATCGCCAAGATCCACACAATCGTTTTTTCCATTCATCAACTTGTGCCACCTTTAAGGCTTCTAGGTGTGTAAAAGGAGACAAAAGATGAGAGACTTTGAGAAGCTACCTAAAAATCCTCTTCATTGACACAAACCCATCCCTACCAAGAAGTAACCCATCCCCTTGAAAATTTATTGTTTGTTAGAGTAGAAAATTTAATCCCCTAGCTACCAAAATTTAATAACCCCATGCACTACTCATCATCACACACCGTGGTGAGTGAATGCTATAAATACATGCATGCATAAGAAAAATATAGAATCACACCAAAGAAAAACTCTCCGGCCAACGAAACAAAATGGCAGTCGGAGAAGCAAACGGCGTGGGGGAGCAGCTGAACAAGAAGAGCAACGGCGCCGCCGCCGATCCTAATCTGTCACCGCCGGACGTTTCTGTCGTGAGTCATGAACAAACCAGGAAATGGAACCTGTGGGACAAAACGGCGGTGGTGAGCATCGTGGCGGCGCATCTGCTGGCCTTGTACGCGCCGTTTTGCTTCAGCTGGGGTGCGTTTTGGGTCGCGTTTTGTCTCTACACGATCACGGGGCTGTTTGGGATCAACCTTTCATATCACCGGCATTTGTCCCATAAGAGCTTCAGGATTCCCAAGTGGCTCGAGTACTTGTTTGCTTACTGCGGCGCACATGCCCTTCAGGTAATTTAAACGGTCGCAAAAAACACTTTCTGCAACAGTTTTCTGCTTTTAGCGACGACTAATTGTCACCAAAAAAGCTCTTTTCTTCACGTAGTCCTGGTTGATGATGGATTTCTTTCTCCAACATATAAATGAATTTAATTGAGGATTTTTGTTTTTTAGTATAGTAATTAATATTATGATAACCAAATAATTAACAAGAGATGAGTTTTTAATGCCGTTGCAAAATAAATTAAAGTGGTCTACGAGCCGCTGCTCAGTCTATTAGTTACAAAATCTCATTAACCGCGCATCATCATTAACGACGATTACGGTTTTCAGGGGGATCCATTGTATTGGGTGAGCACACACAGGTTCCATCACCAATACACTGACACAGAACGAGATCCACACAGCCCAATTCAAGGGTTTTGGTACAGTCACATCAGCTGGATCTTCGATTCAGCCGCCATTAAAGAGAAGGTTTGTACACATCGATAATCTCATCTTCGTCGTTAGAACTACAATTTCTTGTGTTGCAGTTTCTGAAATAGTAATTGGGGTTTTACGTTGAATTTTGCTTGCATGCATGCAGTGTGGAGAGCCAAACAACGTGGGAGACCTAGAGAACCAGACTTTCTACAGGTGGTTGTACAACACGTACATGTTCCATCCTTTAGGTCTTGGTTTCCTCCTCTACTGGCTTGGTGGATTTCCTTATATTGTTTGGGGAATGGTGAGAGAAATTATTATATACTGTTCTTGGTGATTTGGGATTATTAATTTCCTCCATATGTAAAAGATAATTATTTGCTTCTTATCATTTGTCTCTAAACATTGTTCATTTCAGGGCGTGAGGCTAATTGGGGTTTATCACGCTACATGGCTAATTAACTCGGCTGCTCATACATGGGGAGCCCGACCTTGGAACACGGGTGACTTGTCCAGAAATAACTGGTAAATATATTAGCCCTATTATCATTTCTTTTTATAATGATATAAAACCACGAATTTTAGGGGTGTGCGATAGTTCGGCTCGGTCAGATCCAGACCAAATCATGAGAATCATTTTCAAATAGAAAAGAGAAATCTTATATTCAAGGACCGAATCGAGCAGGTCTACATAATACATATCAATGCAGACAAATGTTCTTTAATATTTATAGAATTCATATGTATACCAAGAACTGGGCTACATTGTAATCAGTTTGATGCAGACCAAACCGTTGCATACCCTTGACCACGATGCTTACTTCTGAGACCAACGCGACCCGCCAAATGTTAGCTCATGTGAGTGGGTGGGTGTCGTACGACAGTAGTATACGTAGCTCTGTCAGAGATCACTGACGAGCTGCAGGATTTTTTTCTCTCAAAATGATAGACTGCGAGAATTGAACAAGTAGGAAACGAAATATGTATGATTAGGGTTTTTCTTTCGTAGGTGGGTTGCACTACTTGGATTTGGAGAAGGGTGGCACAACAATCACCACGCCTTCAAGTACTCAGCAAGGCACGGCCTGGAATGGTGGCAGATCGACATGACTTGGTACGCAGTGAGGCTCCTCGAAGCTGTGGGATTGGCCGTTGACGTGAAGCGGCCAAGCCAGCTCCAGATGCAGAAGCTGGCCACCAAAAAAACTTGAGTTCAATTCATACAATATGTAATGTAACCCTTATGTGCATGGGCACTGTGTCTTTAAGTTTACAGGGTCCTTTTCTTTCTAAGTACTGTTTCTTTCATGAATGAATGGCTACTGTCTTCTCCACTTGCTTTGGTTATATATATATATGAATGAATGTAAAAGTTTGGGGCATTGGAATAATAAAAAAAAAACATTGTTTTTTTCTCTCAGTATCTTATGTAGAAGATTACAGTTATTGATGTTTGTTGGGTTCGTTAATTTTATTAATTGGTCTTCCTGAGTTTTGGATAAGGGTGGCAGAACAATCCGCCTGCATTCAAATACTCGGCAAGGCATGTGCTGGAATGGTAGCAAATCGACATGACTTGGTAAGTTGGTACGTATCGATCCACTGTATTTTTTAAGAGAAAACTCAACTCGATCAACGCGGGTATCCACATTATGGGTATACATAGGTTTACAAATATAATTATACATTATTTTTTTCAAATAATCACATCGTAATAGTAGCAAAATGTGACTAATAATATATCATAAATGATTCATAATATTAGGTTTATACTTTGTAAAGGCTAATAACATCGTTTTGCTTTCTGTGCTCACGTTGACTGGAAAGCGGGTAAAATCCTCTGTGGAAGGACCAGTTTCGAGTGCCACTTTTGAAATTAACGGGTTGGGTCAGATTAGTGTACGGTTTTGACAAACTTCACATGTATATGGAGATACATAATTTAACAAACCTATGAACTATCAACAAGTCAGCTCATAAGTTATAAATCGGTTCACTCATAAACTGCTAGTTGAGTTGGCTCACTAGCTACACTGTCGAGCTAGATCATACCTTAATACGAGGTAGCTCGCAAGTTGAGCTCAACAAGCCACCAAGTCGAGCGGATTCGTGAGTCTAATAAATTGAACAATACTTAGCTCAAACTCAACTCGTTAGTTTACGAACAAAGTATCAAAATTTTTCCTCTAAAGTTGCTGATGAGCAGATTGACTCATTTAGTCACGACTCATCGACACACCTTTTAATTTCTCAACTCACAATGAGAATCTAATCATGTGTCTTTTCGGTCCTACCGAAGCCCATGATAGCAATGATGAAAAGATTACTTGTCGGCCCGACCCAACCCTCCCAATTCCCAACTGTACGGGTTTGTGTAGAAAATTAATAGGTTAATATATTTGTATGGCTCGAACTTTTTCCATATTTAACATTTTAGACAATCCTTTTGGTATTTAACATCACGATCCGAACTAACGCTACATTTACTAATTTGACCAAACCTGAGAGTTGACCATTGGTTTTGACGGTCAAGGCCATTGACTAACGGTCAACCTGCCACATCACTGCCTAATCAGCATAATTAAACTTTAAAAATTCATAAATTCCACATAATCCCTAAAAATTATTGTCAACGACTAACCCACAACCCAATGACCCAAACACGACTAATTCGTAACCGAATTGAACCCAACTCGAACCCGCCTGATTGACGGAAGAAGCGACTGGCAACTTTGGATAGCTCATGTGCTTGGCAAGCAGTAGTCATCTGTTCTTTTGTCCAAACAACAGAGAGATGAAAAAGGCCAGACAGTGATGGTGTACTATACTTGCTAATCAGAGACTATACAACAATATTATAGATGGTCAAACAAAAATCAGAAACATTGGCAAAGTCTGCAAGTCTGCATTCAGAGCCAACGAATTCCTTTGAATGAATCTCAGAGTACTTAGTCCCGGGGCGTCGTCTCCACAACTAGAAAACTCCAACCAAACAAAGGGGGATGGCTCTCTTCTAGTTGAGAGCGTTGGAAACAGAGTATATGAAGTCCAAGAACCCTGTACCTTTGAGAAGTCCTTCACCCGTCAAGAGCTCGAAATCCAACAGCAGCAAGAACCCGATCACAGCTGCTTTCCCGTTTATCGACTCGTTCCTGCTCGTGAAACCAAACCCTCCCACCTCATCGTCGACCACCATCCTCACCTATACAATAGAAACCAAATCATAAGTCACTAACTAGTACATTTGCAGATATGAATGGTTGTAAGTGTGGAATTTGATTCACTAACTAACTACATCTAACTGTGATAATGAGTCGTGACTTGCGCAAAGATATATGTATAGTTTGACAATTGGTGGATACCTCCTCGACATTGACATCACTTGATGTGAAACCGGGTTGAGCTGTCCCACTGAACACGATCTCAGCAGATACATCTGACGGTGCACCTCCACTCATCCCGATGTAGATGTTCTGTTCGTCCGTCTTCAGAGGGTATACATAGAGTGATCTGAGAGCAGGTGTGAGGACTCTCAGCACAGGGTTGTTTGGATACCACTCTTTGATCTCTCCTGTACGAAGATCGAATGTGCTCTCCGTTGTTGGGCACACTATACAACCATCCTGCGGGAAAAGCCAAAAAGCAACAGCAAAGGTGAAAACTTTTTCATGCTTACAGTACCAATAGTGGTCAATCATAATGAAGCCAAAGCAAACAATAGAATGCAGTGAGCATCGAGCCCACTTCGAGGATAACTCAATCTAAGAAAAACTTCAGAATCGCAGATACGAAAGGTTTCAGCTTCGCAACTCCTTCAGTTCCAACTGCAGTTCGAAGTATATGAGGGGCAAAGTTTCACACTTTCTACTCGAGTTAGAGATTCACTCTATTCACTGATTCCAGTTTTCCTTCTACATGAAAACTATTTATAAAACTGCAAACTAGCAATGCACTATTGAAGTCAAAACTCTTAATGTCCTTCAACTTAAGTCGTCATAGCCACACACACAAACCAGCCCTAAAAGCTATACCTTTTTCCAGCTTCTAAATCACACCTACACACCAGCCCAGAAGCCAGAAATTGGCTCAATGGATAGGAATGCCAGAAACCAATGTCAAATCTGAAAACTTTTCATCGAAACAGAAGCTAGAACGCTGAGATCAATTCATTCGAAGCCACCTCCACAAGGAACACATTCTAATTGAAATGACGAGAGTTGCAGAGTTCCAGTGTTGTGCACCATTTGCAACTTCTACAATCCCAAAGATGGTGGAGACAGAGTTTCCACCCATTCCATCTCCTTCAAAAACCAGCAACAAGAGATCCATTTCCCCTGCTTCCCGCATAAAAATTTGGCCTGTTTGAAAGCTACGACTAACCCAATAGAATCGAACCCATTCCCAATTCGAATCATTGGATTACGGAAAATAATTAAGAGTTTGGAATTTACCTGGGTGAGCTTGGCGTTGATAAGCCCTTCGCTGTAAGCTCCCTCAGCCGGAGACCGATTCTCAATGGCAAACACTTGATCCTTATACCAAAGCAAGAGAATCGTCTCCCCTTCCTGAATAATCACCCGTCGCTCCCCCTTCGGCAGCGCCGCCAGCGGCACCACCGGAACCCAATTAACCCCACCGCCGGATGACGGAGATGGGGAATCCTCGCTTAGGGAGACCTCGGTCGCCTTGCAGGAGATGTCTCGGCCGGACGTCGGAGTAGAGAAGTGGAGAGAGGGGGTTAGTCTCCGGTGGTGGCTATTTCGCCGGAGATTGAGAGTCGCGGCGGCGCGTCGAGGGACGAGGGAGTGGTTTTGGGCGACGAAGAGGGCGGTGAGACGGGGAGAAGCGGTGGCGGCGGCCATGGGGACTGGAAAATGGACAGAATGGGAAGAGGTGGTGAAGGGGAGAGGGAGAGGGGAAGGGAGGAATGGGAAAGGAGGAATCGGCAATCGCCATGGCCACACATTCTTTTTCTCTGTGGATAGAGCTGTGCCAGCATGGCACTGGACAGTGGACAGTGGACAGTGGACGCAGTTCACTACTGTCTACTAGTGAACTGAATGTAAAACTACCTTTATGGTGCCTAGAAAGGAAGAGAATACTCTAGTTGGTCACCAAAATTTCTCATTTTATAGATTTTACCTGCATTCTCGAAAAATAGGGAGTATATATTGAGCGAATGCGCAATATTTTTAGGAGGAAGAATCTGGGTAAGTGAAAGTACTATTATGAAAGTATTCATTGTACTTCTTTTTGGACACTGGGTTTGAAGGCAATAGATAATAGTTGAGACTTGAGTGAATTTTCTTATCCTTAATGTTAAAACGTCGTTATTCTCGTACCAATTTCTTTTCAATTTTTCACTTAGTTGATCTTATCAGAGAATGTGATGATGATTTTTCCGGATTAAGAGAGCAGCACCAATCTGATAGTGGTCATCGCCTTGGGAATGATTCAATACCAGTGGTAATGTCTCTCAAAATTCAAATTTGCTGGACATAGACAAGAGATCGATCCTTAAGAAGGAAATAATATTGCTTCAATCAAACCTTTCATGGTTAACTAAGAAAGCGGGAGAACGCAAAAGTTGAACTTGTTGGTATTTTGTATGGTCTCAAACTGATTACTGACTTGAAAATGAGGCTCGAGAAAGCAATTTTATATAGATATTGACTGATTTATTAATTAAAAAACTAGAGTGACACGTTGCGCCGACTCTCCCACTCGAAAGACTATCCTTACCCAAAAACATCACATTTCCACTTAATTAATATAGCAACATATCTCCATATTTTTACAAAAGGAAAATGAAGCATACTACAAATCCATAGTCATGAGGAAGCATGCATTTAAGCCCCATGGCTTAATACTCCAAACATAATTACCACTCGTCAACTTACATACCAATATAAGTTCATCCACACGTCGCTAATTGCGATTTATAGTTCATTACATTGAAAGAAAAAAAAACTTACATTACACACCAAACAACCCTCCTCAATTATAATTATATTATAATATATAATTATGTCCATAAATAAGGTGGGGGAAAAAATAATAGTTGCTAGATAGATAGAGAGATTAAAACACAGTAGTAATCCCTAAATTTGAAAGATCTCATTCTGTATGGTTAGTGGGTATGGAATATTACCCATCACTGCCTGAATGTTAGTAAACTCTACATTCTCCTCCATCTGAAAAAAGTGATTCTGTAATTAGTTTCAGGGGATTAGGAAATAAATTTGCAATTGAAATTTGAAAGATCAGTTATTTTTAACTTGCTGCAGTGAGTTAACATAATAAAGTAAGTACCTTATCTAACAAATACTGGTTTGCAGCTTTCAGGATTCCCTCCTGTAACATTGCCAAAAAAAAATATTAATTACTTATTTCATATGGAATAAAATTGTATATATTAGAAAGTAAAAATAGAGTAGATGTAATATTAATCAACAAGGTTTTAGGGGAAGATCCAAACCTTGTTCCTCAACAGTTGGATCTCTTTAAACATGATCTCCATCTGGGGGATTAAGGGATCGAAAAAATGTGATTAATTAGTAACTAAAACAATTAATTATGATACAAGTTCAATAAAATTGTGAGTAAGAAAAAAAAATAGTAATAATTTGGCACCTTTGTTGAGCGAATCTGACAAATCCAAATCTCGAGATGTTTCTCAAGCACCAGCAACTCCTCCAAGTTCATTTCTGAAGCTCCTCCTCCAAATATGTACCTGTTATTATTGAATTCCAGCAATTGTTTTCGTTTAATAATGCATACTCTCATAAGAAAATTATTCGAACTAAAAAAAATCTCACAATAAACTTTACAAATTTTCTATTCTCTCATTGTTATTAGAGAAAGATAAACAAGAACAAGAAAAATGGCAGAATAATTAACAACCCGAGTCCTTTCTGCAGCGTCTCGATCTCTTGCTTTAGCATGCCGATCTCTTCTTTGGCATCCTGCTTATGCTCACAACCGTTATTGGATGAACATATCCATATATAATATTAATGTTTGACTAGAACACTATATGAACATGATCCAAATAATTTATATAGATGTTTCTTCTTATACATAATGAACCACCATAACAACATACACACAAAATTAGAAAATATGTGGAAAGTTTGGATTTTAAATAAATTTATAAGTTAAATGATAAAAAGGGGATGTAGCTCAAATGGCAGAGCGCTCGCTTAGCATGCGAGAGGTACGGGGATCGATACCCCGCATCTCCATCATCTACAATTTTCCTACTCCATTTCCCATATTTTTAAGTCTCCTTATTATTAACATAAAAGAAAAATGAAAATGCACCGCATACATATTATTCTCTAGTTAATTAAGATACAGAATATAACTCTAAATGCACAATATTTTGTTGTTATATTGTTTATAATATGATATCTGTAAATTGTATGATTTGATAGTTTTGATACTATTAGGGCATCTTATAAAAGCAAAGAGGGAAAGGAAATGACCAATGAATGAAGGGTCATGGTGCAAACACCTGGAGTACTTATTAGAGTATATATAAGAGCCCTAATTATAACTAGCACCGGGCCCGGCCCCTTGGCCGGGAAAGTCTAGACAAAAAATATGTTCATATAACATGCTTACAATATAATAAGAAGATACGACATATCACTGAAAAAAGAAATATAATTGTTCAAAGAAGAAAAGAAAAACATACAAAATAATAGGTTTTCAATACTTAAAAATGGCAAATAGTTCAAGATTAGAGTTGTTTTTCCTAAAACATACATAATGAACCCTCAGAAGGAAAGAAAAAGATTGGTCTCTAACAGATTTTAGGAATGAGATCATTTGTAACCCTAATTAATGTCTAACAGATACACCCATATTATTCCTCTTCATAGAAAGTAGAATAAGGATCAGCTGGTTTGGAAGCATGCTAGTCGTAGTCCCCGAAGATGCCTAGAAAATAGTCCGGGTTCTCAAGAGAGCTTCAAACTTAAGGCTGAGTGCAACTAATTTTGAATTACATATGTTTGTCTTTGTCAGTGTTGCTGATACTTTCACTGACTACTTTGATTGGTAAGTTGACCATAAATAATAGGGATATAGCTTATTTTGACCTTGAAGTTTGTCGTAAAAGCCAAACTTGACATGAACTTGCAAATAAGACAGTTTTTCAAAATTTTGAAAGAAATGGACAAATTTGGACTGAAATTTATGTTGTTCGTTAATATTAAAAGTTAAAAATTTCTTCATCCATTCAACATACAATGCTCAGGTGGTTGCGATTGCGATGTGGCTTCCATGTCATAGGGATGATACCTTATTTTGGCATGAACTTGATGTAAAAGACAATTTTGGCTCGAATTTTCAAATAAGATAGGTTTGTTTGCACTTTGAAAGAAATGAACAAATTTGGTCCGAAATTTGGGTTGACCTTTAATATTGACAGTTGTGATAGAGAGGTTTCGGTTGCGATGTGGCTTCCAAGTCATTTATTTATAAAGTCTAAAAAAGTGAATTTTTCAGAAGAAAAAAAGACCACAAAATAGGACCCTTAGTATATCCTAATATTTTCATATTTACTTGCATAAATCATATTAAAAGGAAAAAGAAATTGATTCAGGCCCCCAAAAATCCCAAAGCACGAAACTATCTCTCTTTGTACCCCTCTCATCAATATTAACGGCAACCTAAATTTTGGGTCAAAGTTATTCATTTCTTTGAAAATTCGTACAAAACTGTCTTATTTGAAAGTGTAGGGCAAAATAGCATATTATACCTATGACGTGAAAGTCACACCACAGTCACCTTAACATTGTATGTTGAGTCATAAAAAAAAAAGAAATGTTTGACCCTCAATATTAATAACCGACCCAAATTTCGGGTCAAATTTGTTAATTTCTTTCAAATTCGGACAAAACTATCTTATTTGAATGTTCATGCCAAAATTGTTATTTACATCAAAGTTCAACACAAAATAGGATATTATCCCTAAATAATATAGGAGTACTAAAAATATTGGACTAATGAAGTTCAAAATGTTTCAAACAACATACAACCCTGATAAAACTGCAGTCCAACCAACTAACATTTAGAACAAATGACTTTCCAGCAGGATAACACAACTATAAGTATGGGTGGTTCTATCATATTTTGATTAAGAAAATGACATAAGGAAATGATATATAGACCTTGAATGATATACTCTGAGTATGAAAATGATGTCTAGTGGCCGGAGCTAGGGACATGGTACTATACCTTAAGCCCTTACAGATTAAAATCTAGGTCTTAATTCTATGAGGCTCATATACTAAGATCAATTTTATTAGAAACAATAATCGAAGGTCGTGTTTCATCAAAATACATCAAAAAAATTATGTGCATAATCTTAGTGTTTAGGGCAAGGATTGAAAACCCTTAACGTACCGGGGGTTCGACTAAACCAGTAGGCACTATGTAGTGTTGTGAAACGACTGAATCACGGTTAACCACAGTTTTCGCATAAAATACCCTCCTGCCGACTTTTTCGGTACAACCTCTGATGAGGTTTTATAATCCTTGGTTTAGGATCTATGATTTAAATAGTTAAGACCTAGAGTTAACTCGTCAAGGGTTAGAATATAGTGTCTCGTCTCGAAATCAGGTTAATTCAAAGTCTAGATTGCCATTTCTTACCAAGGGTATGAGTTACCTTTTGATTTTACTCAAAATATGATAGAAAACACTACACACACACATACTGGTATACTACAGGAGTATAGTATACTGGTATACTCCAAGAGTATAGTATACTCCACATGATCTAGACATTAGATGTACTTTGTTGAGCTCCAATCAATCTCAATGGTCAATTATAATTTTCCATTAAATTAAACTTTGGGTTTGAGTTTAGAGAATCGGGGCCTGTGGTTTATCCATTAGAGGTTAGGGTAGAGTATCATACCCCAAACTCGGTTAAAAATCATGGTCTAGATAGAGATATCTCACGAAGAGTACCTGAAGTATAATATACTCCAGGAGTACACCAGTCTGACCCATATATATGTGGTTGTGTGTGCACATATATATTTAATATTGTAATTTGATATGCAATATTCGAATAAATGATATTTGGATTGCGGTTTTAAGATTATCCTCCATTTATAAGATAGACTACCATTATTATTGAAGTCAAAATAAAATAATAATAAATGATAATCAAAGATCCAACACTAAAAATGCTTAAGAAAGACTTAGTGGGGTAGCTAACTGTGCTGGAAAAGTCATTTGATTTTCAGAATTTTGCCTCTTGTATGTTTTTTTTATAAATAAATGCAACAAATTTGTTTAGTCTTATTGGTTATGACTCTTGTCCTTGTTAGAAGAGACCCGGGTTCAAATCTTGACACTGATATTTTTTTCAAATAAAAAAATAAACAATTGCAATGACGAAAGTACCCTTCCTACTTTCACTCTCGTTGCAGAAAATTTGAAATGGAAGAAAGTTGAGTCATGAATCTCCATCATATATCTTATAGATGTGACAAGTATACAATTCTTTCTGAAAAAAGACAACCTCACATTTGTGGCCAAGGAATAAAATTTGCTCCATTATAATTTGTATACCAATTACCATATATGGCATGCTCAGTGTATTGCATATTCTTTTTGTTTTCTCACTTTATTCCCTGTGTTTGTGTACTGTATGCATTGTTCCATTCCAATATGTGTTCTAGAACATGACAAGACAAATCATATTGACCTAAATTCCGACCAACTTGACTCTAGTTCTCATTGTTTTTTTGGGAATTCCACTAAACAATTTGTAACATTTTTGTAGTCTAGTTCTCAGATTCATATTTTGTATAATCAAACTTATGATATATGGCAGTTTCTACCGTACACAACTATCATATACTCTTGATAAGTTTACTCTCTAAATATTGAGTTAACTGGATTTCGGGTGTGATATTATACCCTACCCCATAATGAGTAAACCCTATATCTTGATGCATATAAGATATTGGATGTAATTTGGCAAACCGGAAGGTTCAATTATTGTTTTTATTTATTAATTTGATCTTATGATTTGAATTTAGAATACTAGATTCTGAGACCATAGAGGTTGTGGACTTGTGGTACAGTATAATATTCCAACTCCCAAATTATTCCATCATGTATAGAACAAAGCTCACTCGATCGGTGTACGGTAAGGTTAACATACGCCACCCATATAGGCTATAGATTGATCTATGTTATTCAAATCCAAACAGTAAGAGTAACAGGTGAATATTAAGATGTATCAGCTAGCTAGGAAAAATAACAAAATAACGAATACATATGTGTGCATACCTGATTCGGATCCTTGGACTGGTCAGATGACTGACCCGAACCCGAAGCCATACCCAGGCCCACACCCGAACCCGCAGACGCAGCCGGGCTGGACTTCATGTACTTGTCTATCAGCCCTTGCATTGTCCTTCGCACGTGGGAAAAAAAAAGAGAAGAAGAACAAATGCACAGTTAATAATAATAAACTAATTAATTATTAATTTCGTCGTCAACTTTGCATGCATGTATACGTGACGCGTGTTCCCTTTTAGTCTTTTACCCTTTGCGCTACGTTCAGATAAATAAATTGAAAAACAAATCATCTATGCTATTTTACTTTTTACTTGTTACGCTACTGAAATGGTTGAAAACTAGAAAGCTAGATATAGATAGTAATTTAGTGGCAAAGGTGGATTACCATTTCATTGTGATTATATATAAAGTGAGTCAATTTTAATTATAAACGCCTCAAATAATGGACTCGAACTGAGTGTTTTTAAAATTTAAATATTTTTCGTGATAAAAGATTTTGGTTAACTAAATACGAAGCATGGTATGGTTTATAGACGAATATAATGCATCGATTCGGACATATTTTATGACATCTTGAAGGGCAAGTTCACTTAGATTTGCAAATTGAAAACAATTAACTGAATTGTGGCCGTGTTTTTTTTCTGGTTTATAAATTCTTTATCATCAAATTTATAACACGAATATCTGACTGCAACATCGAAGACAATAATACATGTTTCATGAGCCGATGACTGTTACGTTTCGACTTCTCGTAACTCTTTCTTTTTTACTTAATTTTGGATGCAAATTAAACCCATTCTCCACCGATCAAATTGAAACAATAAAAGAGCTCAATCTCACTCACACATCTCATCTAACAAAAAACTAGCTTAAGAAGACTGAGTAGTTGAGTTCTTGATTCTACCATGATGAAGTAGTATTCACAAGCAATATTCAGAGAGTGAGATCTAGAGAGAGAGAGAGAGAGAGAGAGAGAGAGAGAGAGAGTTTAAGGGAAAGGACAAAAGTACCCTTTGGTGGCAAGTTCATAGTGCTTTCCATGGGCAGAGAAAATGAGGACACCAATCTCAGCATCACAAAGCACAGACAGCTCCTTGGCCTTCTTCAGCAGCCCCGCCCGGCGCTTGCAGAAGGTCACCTGACGGTGCACCGGATTCTCGATCCTCTTCATCTGAACTTTCCCTCTCGCCATTTTTCTCAATTCACAAAACCCCCACAAAAGAAGAAAACGATTCCCTAGCTAAGATTCACAAAACTTTTGGATATTGGACCTAATTGATCGAAACCCAAAACAACAAGGGACCAAATCAGGAAACAAAAGGGTGGGGAAAGTTTTTTGCTCGAGCAAAACCAACCTCCCACTAGTATGGACTAGCTTCGAGGTTGTTTTGCAAGTTTCAGATTTTCTTCAGCAAGAAAATACTCTCTCCAGAGATTATCTTTCTTGCCTCTCTTCAATGGCGCCCTCTGGAGCTTTTATATATAAATGATGATAATCGATCTCCTCCTCCAAAGTGAAATTAACATGTACACCACAGATTCTCTTTCCATCGAATATATTGTGAATAGCTGGCTGTGGCTGTGCCCCCAACTTGCTCCTGCCACTCTTTTTCATCTTAACCTTTTTGATTCACCACTCTCTTCTTTTCCCACTACCAACTCGAGTTACTGTGACTAACTGGTCCTTGACATGATATCAGGATCTTCGATGACCGATCGGTGTTGTCATGCGTTTGAATCGGCGAATATTAAGCAAGGTATTCGAAATTGTGCATATTTAAAGCTAAAGCTAATGAGTTGGCTTCCGTTTGAGGGGTTGCGTTAGTAAATGGTATAAGTCATAGTTGAACCTCTTTCGACAACTCGATATGTTGGAACCAAATGATTTTCGACAAGGAAAACCCACCAAGTTCATAGAAGCCAATGATTCGAATTTACGACCTTATCAAATGGCTACTAATATTTTTTTAATCAAAATGGTAAACTATCATAATGAAACCTGAGAGCATACCACCCCAATTTTATACCTTACTATTTGAACCATCTTCTGAGTGGTTTGCTTCATCACTTTTAACCAATAATTGTAAAATCGTACTGGAGGTTATACAAAAAATGTCAGCAGTAAGGTATTTTGTGTCTAAATCGTAGTTTAACTGTGGTTCAACCTTTTCATACCACTAAAAAATGCCTACCAATTTAGACTCTGATAGGATATCCTTTCGATCTGACCGCCAATACGGTATGGTTTCACAAAACCTGCTTTTACCATTAATTTGTTAGGATTTGAAATGTGTAGCTAGTGTATTCTTTTGTGGTTGTCAGGAGATGATTGGTCCACATATGATATAGAGATGATATCATTAATGATAAAATGGTATCTAGGAAACTAGTTTTTTGCCTCCATGATTTTCCTAGTCAACAATTCTTTTATTATTCTAGTTAAAAGGAGATCATGGGAATAATCTGAAAAGAAATAGAAAGTATTAAAGAAATCCGAGTTGTGATTTGTGGAGAACATAGAAATCTTTACTAGGTTTCATGTTAGAGATTTCCCCAATAATAATATTTGAAGATAACACTTTTGTTATACGATTGGTTCTCACAATTTTGTTGTTTTTAGTGGGTGAATGTTCATTCCCAAAGATATAGATATAGATTTCTACCCCAACCAAAAAAAGAAGGGGGAAAAAAAAAAATTTAGATATAGAGTTACATATGCTTAATTACTCCCGCATTTATCATAATTGTAAGAATCGATTCTATCTCGACAAAAATCCTAACAATAAATCATATTTATATATATCTCTCTCATACGTTTTATTTAGTAAATCCAATCAATTGAATTTGTGATCAGGCACCAGAAGTAAAACACATGACCTTTCAATCATTGAAACTCTAAGTTATCACTTACTATTAAACCCAACATAAATCATCCTAGCTAATATTACTTTGGTGGCTGAGAGAGGTATAATATGCATGCCACTCTACATCAACTCAAGTTTTGATTGGAATAATATTGTAACTGTTATTATTTCACTATTGCAAAGATTCTTCCACTCCCACAAGTTTTCTATGTAATATAAAAAGATCAACACCCACTTAGGTTAATAAGCATAGATTAAGATGCAAAGATCGAGCAGAGTAATTAATGGAACATGGAAACTGATCAAAGAGAGAAAGTGAGAGTAGAAAGTGAAAGTTTGGTAAGCAACATAAACACAAAGATATCAAATGTAATGAACTCATTGGTTCCAGGTGGGATTTGGGAGAGATCGAGTTTGCACTGCACGTGGAAAAAGCAAAGCTACTGTCGTCGTTGCAGCAGGATGATAGGCACCACTTTCCCCCCTACCTTAACTTAGCTTAATTAGCTCTTCTCCAATTGCTTGCTGACTCGGATCTTGTGTCCACTGATCGATCTCATCACATTCCTCCACAGACATGGAATCCTTAAATATTTCCATTTTATGACACCATGGAGAGTTTGAGCTCTTCGTTGTCTTTAGTCCATTTTTGGGCTTTTGGGTTGTGCTTAGGATCCTTTTATGTGCAGTGGCGGAGTTAAAAATAAAAAATAAATGAGGGCTGATTTTGAAATTGTGGTAAATGGAGAGGAAGCTAAATTCATAGTGATTAGTCTGTTTTTAAAATTTGTACGGATTTTACATGTAAGTTTACTTATATTTCAAAGTTGAGGGGGGCTACAGCTCCTTCTGGATATAACTTAGCTCTGTGTTTGATTGTATGTGTTAGATTATTGTTGTCAAGAAGTAGCTATTGTGTTTTGAGTCGTTAACAAAGGGTTGAAAACGAATATTATATTATCACGCTTTTTTACATAAAAATTTGCTTATTGGGTTTGAATTTTGTAAAGGATCAACATGACTTGTATTTAGTTAGCTCAAACAATATTAACACGAGATTACCAGGATTGAAACTGATTATGAGTTTGTAATTTTAAAGGGTTTGATAGTAATATCAGGTAGTTAATGATATTGTCTAAAAATATATCTTTAAGATAATCTCTTTCTTATTGATAGTAATGTCAGTTAGTTATTGATATGGTCTAAAAATATAAATTTAAGATAATCTATTTCTTATTGATTCTATATAAAAGTAATTATCAAAATGTTAATGATCGATAAAAGTCAAGTGTTCCAATATCATGCAAAGCAATATTTGGTTGGGAATTTGCATTAGTACATACGATAGCTGTAAAATTCAAGTATGATGGATGAAGTTTCACTGGAAAAAAGTATGAGAGAATAATATATAGGATTTTTTTTTATCAAATTGTTCCTTATGGAACTTACCGTACAAAATTCTATATAGCTTACATATAAGAAAATGAGATATACTACATGTTTCCATATGATCTCATTTCCAACTCAATTTGGCTTTTCATAAGTATGAAATAACACCTTCATCAATAAACTCAACTAGATTTTGATATTGAACTCCAAACTCAAAACTAATTTAGGAGCTAAGTGTTAGTAAATGGTATATGATCCATAATTGAATTTCTTACAATAATTCAAATTATTGGAATCAATTGATTCTTGACGCTAAGTACTTATGATAATAGATATGTAACTATATTCATTTCCACTAACAAACTCTAGCTGTTCAACACCAGTTCTTTATCCTTTACCTTTCGCCTATTGCAATCTTCATCAAATGAACCAAACGGACGAAGCATGTTATAAATCGTGCTCTATTATGTCGTATTAATTAATTATCAATTAACTAGATGAATCATGCATGGAGAAAGTAAAGAATACTAGATGCATATGTTTTGAATTCTCAAAGAGACTTTACACTAAGAAAAAATATGAACCCTGAATCGATATTAATGTATTTCGATAACATGTTTTATAAGATATACAATATACGTACATACCTATCATACACAGACTGTCGTAACCTCACGCAATCAAACCAACTCTAATACCATATCATAAATCAACTGATTTGAATATCTCAAGTTATTCCATACACACAAAACACTAGCCGGATTAATCCATGTACACACAAATATTACAAATCCAATCCCATACATATAAACAATATAGTAACTAATCTTACACTATAAGCATTCTCATCTCAAGAACTTAACTCCCCCTTTTAACTTTTATGACAACACCTAACTCAGTTCCAAGCTTTGATTACCCAACCAACTCAAGCCTCGATCAGCTTTCTGGAAAAAGAACCTGAATAAGTGAATATATAAGAAAAAGAGTTTCACAAAGAAACAACCTTAAAGAGGTCATATCAGAACTCAGTCATCAGAAACCAGCATCCCCTCCACTCAAAACATTTTCTTCCATCGTGAGTGTGAAGACGAGAATCTTGTCAAATCAACTTTCTCTTCAATAAACCAATGAGGGGAGCCATAGCTCTCTCTCTTTTAGACTTTAACCCCTTTTCTGATTGGAAGCAAAAGCAAAGAGAAAAGCGATCGATGGTGGTGGTGAATAATTACAGCCTGCTAGATTGTGGTTAATTGACATGTGTATATTCTTCTTATCTGGAGTCCACGTGGAATATTAAAAACGTTACATTTCTTTTTGGCATAAAGCCTAATGTTCTTCCCACAGAGATGAAATATATATGTCCTAGTACTGGTTCTTAATCAAATGACATTTTTATAGTTTATTGATAATTGAAGATGGTGGGTGGGTGGGTGCCCTCCATAATTGGAGTGGGGAGACTGATCATGATCAGAATGTGATTACTTCAATTATTAATTGTTGTTTTTATGTCAGTTAATTAGTGGCCTTCTTTCCAATCGATCCCACCATTGCATCTCTCTAATGGTTCTTTAATTGTAAGTCTGTATGATGTTAGTTTTCAGTCTCATCAGGGTTGTAGCTTTTCTGTCTGTTGGCTGCCTTTTTCAGCTGCCCCTTGTTTATGTTGTCTGCAGGGTCACAACCTCTCACAAGCTGGATGGATGCAAGGATATCGTGGAACTGTACGTACCGTAGGTTGTATTGAAAAAAGTCACTGATCATAGAGTAGTTTGTGCTGAAATTGTGGTTTAATCATGGTTAAACCATTTCATACATGTTAAAAAAAAATGACATGAAAGTCGTGGAGAACCAGCTCATTTCAATATATCAAATTTGTTGGGAGCATTGAATGAATGATATAAAAATTCATATTTGGATTCCTAGTAATAATAAGTCGAGTTTCAGAGATATGTTGGCTGTTGACTTGGTAATTGGAAATACTTTGTGTTCGAATCTCGCGTGACTGTCAATATCAACGGTTGTTTTATACGTAAGGTGTGACAGACATGTTGAAACTTCATATCTATGAATCGACTTTCATCTACCGAGGAGATGTGTAAATGAATGATACAAGTTTCATTCTTGAACATCTCTTATGACAACTCGTGTTGTAAACACCACCAGTTAGTTCGATATGATGCACCAGTTTGACTTACGAAAGATTGACCTAACGCTACCTTAACCAATTGAACCAATAGATTCCAAATTCGAATATCAGAATGAGCCAACAGATTGATCTGTTAAGTTTGTGGCCTTCCCCACCATTCATCTTCAAGACTTCAACCAAAGTTAGTGGTCAGCCACCAATGCGCAAGAGATTAACTGCGATCGAGAATATATCAAAGCCCAATATAATTTAAATAGAAACAACATTTCAAGTAGGAGAAACAAGCCCATAAAAGTTCTCCGAAAGCCCACCACAAAGGCTACATGACCTAATGACTAGACTCTTCAAGGAATGGGCCGGTAATCAGTAATACCCAACAACATGATCGAGAGTAAAATCCTAAAAGGTAGCCCTAATATAAGTGTTTAGAGGAGCTTTCAGCTAAAATCTCCTTGGCAAATTAATTAGGAATAGCCAAAAACCATAAATAAAATACTTATGTCTTTCATCAAACCTCCCTCCTTCAGAAAATATTGCCCTTTAGGTTGCGACATGAGTAATCGCGACCGGCTTTCATGTATCTCATCGTCGAGCCGTTCTTCCAGTTCATTTTTCAGGCGTCCCACCGCTAAAACCATATCAATATTATTTAGGCTAAAATAACTCGTTCGACAATACTTTACTAAGATACGTTATTTGGAAATAACCCATTTTATCCCTTTGTTATTGTCAAATACCACATGTGAATCGTTCAACCAAAAGAGATATTTTGACCCAATTACTACAAAAGTAACACTAAATACCACATGAACAATTAATGAGTTATTTCACTCTACAAACACAACAATGGCAATTAGTCCATCCAAACGATGCCTAAACGAATTTCATATCCAATATCCTTTACAAGTAGGGTCATCTCATGCTTAGTAGTAGCTGTCTGGAATATTCATATGTGCCCCATATGTTCAAAATTTATGTTTTGACATTCGAGATTAGACTCTCATTTTATCACATTCATGTCTCTTTACATGTCTATACGATCGATGTCATTAGTTTCGGAGTATGAGGATCAACGAGGGAGAAATGGATCGTTGAGCTAACAAAAGATGGATTATCAACATGCATATGTTGAATGTGACCAGTCAATGAGCAAGGAAATTGTTAACTGGACTAACCCTTTGAGCAGTATCAGGAACTACAGTGGCTTCAGTAATGAGAAGGCCGCCATTAATGGAGGCTCTCTGGGAGTAATACAAGGTTTTGCATGTGGTTGTGGCAGATTCCCCATAAGATCTCTAACGAGTCAGTGGATGCCAGCACAATCCTGTTCAACAACGGAGACAATATGATCAGTGGAGACAATAGTGCCACGCTTTTGGAGGAAATTTAATTTCCTCACTAAACTAATATGATTTGGAGTTGTTTAGCTGGATTTATTCAATGATGAAAGGAACCAATCACAATTAACTTCCTACATTTGTGTTTTCTTTTAGTGATGACAGTGATATATATAATATTAATAAAGGTAGTGCCAACGTAGGTCATAACCCGAAATGAAATGATCAGAAAATTAAAAATATAACATAATAATGGAGAATCAAATGAAACAAATTAAAAGTGTGCTCCACAAATCATGACGAGCAAAAGTGATGAGCGATAAAAACATATCTAACTAGCAAAAGCGATAAAAAAATACCAAGATAAAACTAGCTAAAGATTGGAAGCTAGTGCAACACAATATATCGTAATTGAGTTGATGAACTTTCATCGTGACCTTTACCAATAAAGTAAGAGATGGACAAGCAGTTACCGCATTGAAGAAGAACTAAAAGATGGAGATGCACACAATAGAAAAAGTTCACTATCAACAACATTATTACTTTCAGTATCAATGTTCGTGTCGTATACTACTCTATTAATTATGGGGATAAATCCAGCTATGTCTGAAAGATCAAAATCTGTACAAGTTTATTCTATTTTAGCACATTTTTTAACAAGAGCAATTAAATATGTGAGAGCGGAATTGCCATTTCTTTGCTCTGTTTTTGCTTGATTTCCCATGGACAATGGAAGGAATGAAGAGATATGATAGCAAGAATGAAGTATGGCAAATCCTGCACCAACCCAAATAGCCAATTTATACCATCTAGAGACCACACTGAATAATGTAGTAATGGAGGACAAGGGACCATCCAGCTTTAGGGTAAGGTTTATTTTATTTTATTTTTTTATTGAATTTAATTATGATTTCTTTTTAGAGGGTCATAATCAAGCTTAATAATTTGTAGGTCCAGCAATAGAATGATTAATATGGTCAACAGCAAAGATTTGTAGGCGGCTCGATGAAGATGAATTGAATTTTTGTTCAATGCACTTACTGGGTATTTTCCTTTTGGTGGGTCTGAGTAGGGTTTTAATTGATGTAAGATTAGAGATTGAAGTTCTGTTCCTCATATAGTTAATTATTACCTGCTTAACTTTTAATTAAAGGTTAATGGTAGTCAAGTTGGTAATGATTGATAAAGAAGTGATGAATTTTATTGATTTTATGCAACTTCATTATTATGGATAAATATTCAACAAGATTATGTGAGCTACAGATTATTGGAATTGACGATTTCATTGATGATTTTTGGAGCCCTTCATCCAAGCGTCGGTGGACAAAAAAATACGGAGTTGTTTTGGGATCTCATTTCAGACTTGCATAATGAACTGACGAAGGGGTCAAGGTTGGTCGAATGAGAGAGTCACGAATGACGTAGGAAGAAACCCTTTTCTGATATCTGTTTATTTTAAGCAATACCTTTGAATGAAATCGAAGTAGTTAAAATTCATGGTACGTGGAGGGAAATGAGTCTCAAGTTGTTTGATTATTTTATACGTAAGTCATAAAATTACACAAACATAATTTAGGGTCCAAAGAAAAGGAAAATTAAGCCTGATTTGAGTTTCTCTTTTGATTTGGTTTGTTTTTAAATGCTACCGAAGAGGGTTTGTAGAAGAATGGATGGATCTTAGTGTGTCAATTAACCAACCTATGTTTAAGATTATGGTTATAATGTTATTAATATATGAATGATTATTTGATTGCATACATCGAAAAAGGTAGTTATAAACCTTTCAAAATATGGAATATCACTGTATGTCAATGTGAGGAAAGACAATGAAATTACATTTTTATGAACTAAAATTGTATATGTATTTAGTTGACACCTCTTAAAAAATCCTAACTTTGCAACTGAAAGAAGAAAAGCACATGAGATTCGAAGTTAGAATCTCTAAGTTGAAAATCAATGGTTGAACCACTAGATTGGTCCACTTCTGCGTTATCGCCCCTTGATTTTCAATCAGACATTTCCTTAAAATATTCGAGTGTGCTCTTAGTAGTTAGTAGGGCTAGTTGAGAAGCATTAATGTTAATAAGTTCCTTAATGGATCTTGAAATATAGGTGAACCATCAACCTCATGTAAGGAGAATCTTTGAAATATGAGATTTCATCGTTGTTATGACTTCATCAATCTGGTACGACATATATTTCTAAAACAATGATGTGGAGTTGTAATACGAATAGATTGGAAAGAGAACGTATGAACACCCCTCTTGTTATCACATCTCACATTATCCATTATCCGAAGTAAATGACCTATCTTATAGTTGAAATAGGCGTTGTATTTTCTTCTGGTATCGCTACATTTTCATCATATATCATGTAGATTTTCCTATGTAACTATAATGTATAGGAAACAATATTATTGGACAAATACAAATTCTTCACTTTCTCCCATGGTCTTTTGTGTTTGTTGTTTTCTATGTCAGTGATCACAATCGAACACTTGATTATGATCAATTGGACTAAAATACAAAGGTCACAGAAGACTAAGGATTGTGAAGACAAGTTAGCAAATTAGGAGGAGTGTTTGTAATTTTCATAATCAGTTTGATAAGACACTTAACAACTTTCCCTCTTCTCTCTCATTGCATGTGTTAAACACATAGACATAGTCCATAAAACCGTACCGTACCAGTGGTTCAACCACAAAATACCAGTATTGGAGGCTAAATCGATAGGCAGTATTTAACGGAACAAATGCTTTAAAAAACCAAATAATCCAAAAAAAAAAAAAATATCTATGAACCACATTATATTACCTTCTTTTGTTTTTTGGTAATGACTATTTATTAGGAAATCTTTTTCAGATTCTTTTATATTATTCAAATCTATTAAAATATTATTAATCAACCAAATCTTTTGTAGTACATCAACATATTAGCTATTTTTAAGTTATCGCTAATAATTTTATAATTATTTTTTGAATTAAAAACTAAAATTTTAGAATGCTAATTGAAAGTTAACATTTATGATTTATCTAATTTTTAACATTTCGATAGAGTTTTCTAAAATTCTCCAATAGTAAGTTAATAAGCTCCCTCCAATTTTCATAAAAAAAATAAATAAAAACGCAGTTATGTTACCCGCCAAAATGGTGTCCAGATACGTCAGCCATGACAACCCCCAACTGTCTTTCCAAATCAACGAATTAAATTCATATTCTTCTCCCTAGTGGGAAGCCGCCTGTGGGCTTCCATTTCTGTCTTGCGATCATGGCCGCACAAAATAACAAATTGCCATTGTTTCCCACTTCCCCTCGCCGTTTCTACTATAAAGGGAGGAAGAAGCAGGGGATCTCTCTACCTTCATCATCAATTCATCAGCATAACTGCAACCAACAGCAGGAAGAAGAAAATGGCGACTGAGCAGAGTACCATCCCCCTTCTCACCCCGTACAAGATGGGCAAGTTCGATCTTTCTCACAGGTAATTGACATTCTCTGGTTCTTCATTTTCTCGAACACCTTGCGTGCACGCTGCAACGGTCCGATTTAGGTGGAATTTGTGTGTTTGGTGCTTGAAATCCCATCTGGGTTGTGTTTGTATGGACTTTCTCGTTTGTGGGTTTCTGAAATTGGTTTCAGAATAATTAGAAAGGAATAGCCTTTTTTCCTCCTTCTTCCTGCTGAATGAATATTGTGTATGGTGTTGATGGGTTTGGTTTTGCAGAGTTGTTCTGGCGCCATTGACTAGACAGAGATCTTATGGGAACGTACCGCAGCCACATGCCATTCTGTATTACTCCCAAAGGGCCACCAAAGGTGGGCTTCTCATAGCTGAAGCCACTGGAGTTTCGGACACTGCTCAAGGGTAACTTACATTCCTGTTAGCTTGCTCTTTTTCCTTCCTCCATATCGTCTATAGAACTTGAAAGTTCTTAAGTGTGATTGAAATGTCTTCTTTTGCTGATCTCTCATATTAAAGGTACACGGACACTCCTGGTGTTTGGACCAAAGAGCAAGTTGAGGCATGGAAGCCCATTGTGGATGCTGTTCATGCCAAGGGTGGTATATTTTTCCTGCAAATTTGGCATGTTGGAAGGGTTTCAAATTCTGGTGAGTTCCAAGAGTGTATTTAGTATTTACACATACCTTTCTTCAAATTTGGCTTCTTTATCTTTACTTCGGACTGCTGTGTGTTTAGGTCTTTCTTGGCATTAATTCATTTCGCCTCTGCAGGTTTCCAACCAAATGGGCAGGCTCCAGTCTCATCTACAGACAAGCCATTGCAGTCTGACGATATTGCAACATACAGTCCTCCTAGACGATTAGAAACAGAAGAAATCCCTCAGATTGTGAACGACTTCCGGACCGCAGCAAGGAATGCTATTGAAGCAGGTAATGAATCTTATGACAACATATAATCAATGGCTCTCTGCTGCAAGAGATATCTTTGTAAGTAACCTATCGCCCATGACTCAAGCATTCGTTTCTTCTTATCCTTAACAGGCTTTGATGGAGTTGAGATACATGGAGCTCATGGCTATCTAATTGACCAGTTCATGAAAGACGAAGTGAACGATCGAACAGACCAGTACGGTGGGTCTCTAGAGAATCGCTGCAGATTTGCTCTGGAAGTTGTTGAAGCGGTGAGTAAAGAAATAGGAGCGGAGAGAGTTGGAATTAGACTGTCTCCCTTTAGTGCCCACAGTGAATGTGCAGACTCGAACCCAGAAGCTCTAGGCATGTACATGGTTGAATCCCTTAACAAGTACGGGATTCTGTACTGTCACATGGTCGAGCCGAGGATCAAGAATGCTGGAGAACAAATCCAAACCCATAGGAGTCTGTCGCCAATGAGGAATGCTTTCAGTGGCACTTTCATGGCAGCTGGAGGTTACAACAGAGAAGATGGTAACAAGACTGTGGAAGAGAACCGTGCTGATCTGGTTGTCTATGGTCGTTGGTTCTTGGCTAATCCGGATTTGCCGCGGAGATTTGAGCTCAATGCTGATTTGAACAAGTATGATAGGAACACATTTTACACATCTGATCCTGTTGTTGGGTATACAGATTATCCATTTCTGCAGCCGAATCCTTCTGCTTGAGGATTTGGACTGCTGTACCATCCTATCCCTGACTGATGGGAGAAAATGTGTTCAGGTGCAACATGGAAATTGAGTAAGAAATTGTTAGCTGCAATCCTCTGAATTGGATCGAGCTCTTCTTGTCATATCACAAAAAAGAGTGAATCATCACATTATGCTATACAAGCATCTTATCTAGACAGATATTAACTTATTTCAAGTGCATTCATGAACCTAAAGTTGGTTCGAATAAACACTTTTCGAAAAGAGCCTAATGAATGAAGTGATCACCTCACTACTCTGTCTCCAAGCATAATTATTAAGAAAGTCACATTCTTAGAGAGATAAGCTTAGCTACAACGTCGTGTGGGGAATCTAAAGAACAAACAACACCAAAATTGAGAATTGATGTAAGAGCAGCAAAGAAGTGAAGAAGTAATAGCAGTTGTTCGAGAGGAGAAGGCAAAGAGTAGCGTCCTCTTTATCTTCTATAGAGGAGAAGGATAGAAGGCAGCAGTAATAGCAGCAGCAACGAAGTGAAGTAGTATTAGTACTACTACAGCTGCAAATTACAACCAAGATCCCGAACGAGTACTCATCTTGGGTAATAATGATCATTGATCACTCTTTTGTTGTTCTTATTATGGTACTACAATCACTCTTTTAGAGCACAGGCGCACTGCAGTTGCTTTATGCAAAACACGTAGGAAACTAAAGCTGATAATAGTTTGTGGTGATACTCAGATCACGATGCATGCTAGCTACGAATGCTTGCTTAGCTTATATATACTACTGCTTCGCTAAACTAGGTAATGGGAAATGAACTAACTAGGGCATGCAGCCATAGCATATCGATCCGAGTCTTCACGCGTAGATTGGTAAACTGTAAGCCCCATGTCATCGCATGCATTCGTACTGCAAAGCGTCATATCGCTTCACTAATCAGAAGCTTTCGTACAGTGACGAGCCTAGTAGCAACGTCACTAATACTAATTCTCTCATGTGGTACGTCTGAAGAACAAACAACACCGATTTCAAGAATAGAGATCAAAACCTCCTTTAGTATTTGGCCCTTCATGTTGATGGTTTCCTCTGAGCTATTGCTGCTTCTAATGTTATTGCAATGGGTTGTAGTCTGATCAAGAAGAAATTCATTGAGAAAAATTGGATCCACAACTTCTGCAATCGACTTATCCGACAATGCACTTCTGACAAATCCATGAATGTTCCAGCCTTCGTTGAAAGTCTCATCCGTCGGTCTCTTTCCAGTGAAAAGCTCGAGCAAGAGCACTCCATAGCTGTATACGTCGCCTTGTATTGAGTTTTCATTTCCCATACCGTATTCTGCCATTGAACATGAAAGAAAAGACGAGGGAAAGATTGTTCAGGAAAAGAAGCATAGCTCATCATTTTCTTAGGAATTTGATGGGTTAATGATAGTGACTGCATCCTAATAATTATTGAAGTTGTTAGGTTTGAAAGAGGGGATCATGCATCACTCTCATAGGCTGCTAAATAAAATTTGATTGCTGACTTCATAATATACTCATGTCAACCTAGCTACCTCCACTTATCATAAAATTTTATCAATACATAAAATTTTATCAATACTAGAATATGCAAATGTTTTGGCAGAAGATCACAACTTAATCTTATTATAACTTCCATATAGTTAAGAAAGATGATTACCAGGAGGAGCATAGCCAACCGTTCCTTTTATGCCAATGGAGCTTGATGTCTGGGTAGTTGGAGAAGGACTTGCAATTGATGTAAGTAATCTTGCCAACCCAAAATCACTAACATGGCCTCTCATGTCCTCGTCTAGAAGTACATTGCTAGGCTTGAGATCACAGTGAACCATGGGTGTACCACATTGGTGGTGAAGATAATCCACTGCATAAGCTACATCGATAGCAATATTTAGCCTTTGGAGGAAATTCAATCTTCTTCGAGGCTCGTCTCCACTTTCCACCGGATGCAGCCAATCTTCCAGGCTACCATTAGCCAAGAACTCATAAATGAGAGCCTTGAAGTCATTCCCTTGATAATCAACTCCCGAACACACTGTTAGTATCCTCACAAGATTTATGTGTCTGATGTTCCTTAAGGCTGTACATTCTGCCATAAAACTCTTGATAGCTCCATGACGTTGAAGTTTGAACACCTTCACAGCAATGGTGGTTCCAATCCTATTCATGTCGAGGACGCCTCTGTACACAGAACCGAAACTACCAACGCCAATCAAATTTGATATGGAGAAACCATCAGTAGCTTTATAGAGGTTGTGGTAAGACAATTGCAGTTGTGAGTCGTTAGCTGAAATTGCATCCTGCTTTCCTCTCTTTTTTATCCAAAGGATAAGCAAGCAAGAACACATGCAGGTCAAGAAAAGTAAACTGGAGATTACTGATATGAGAATCTTCATCCTAAGGCTCAGACTCGATGTCTGCTTCTTTAGGTGTTTGAAGTTACAGGGTGGAAGATTAAGTTCAACCACACCACCGCAGAGTTTGCTATTTCCCACAGTGGAAATTATGCTGGCATTCTTGAATACTCCACTTACTGGTACTTGGCCTTCGAAGTTGTTATAAGACAAATTCAAAAGCTGCAACATCTTCATGCTCCCCAAGAATTCTGGAATCTGACCTGATAAGTTATTGCTTGAGACATCTAATCGTTGAATCCCTCTCAGCGAACTCAGAGAAGAAGGAATGGTTCCATGAAAGAGATTGCCTTGCAGCTTCAGTGTCTCCATTACCATACAACTACCAACACTATTTGGTATTTCCCCTGATAACATATTATGAGAGAGATCCAAAAAACCCAAGTTTTTAAGTCTCCCCACTTCAATCGGAAGGGCACTACTGAAATTATTATAAGATAAATCCATGAACTTTGACAAGGATGAAAGACTCATAACTTGTGGGGGAATGACACCATTAAGATTGTTGTATGAAAGGTCCAAACCTATCAGTTTTTGACAATTCCCAATAACAGCAGGAATCTCTCCCTGTAGACTGTTATTACTCAAGGTCAATATAAGCAATTCGGTCAATGCTCCAATAGATGATGGAATAGATCCTGAAATGTTGTTGCTCTCCAGATTTAACCACTGCAGAGTTTTCATGATCCCAATATTGGATGGTATTGTACCTGATAGGTCGTTTTCAGATGCCGAAAACCTCTGCAAATTGACAAGGTTCTGTATTCCACTCGGAATGCTTCCTGAGAATTTGTTTGCACTTAGGCTTAGCTCCTCCAAGCTTGTCGGGAAGTTGCCAATTAAGTTTGTTAAGCTGCCTCCAAAGTTATTGCGGTGAATGATCAAGACTTGCAAGCTGCTGCCATTGGTCAAAGAGGAGAGGAAGCTCAAATCATCAGCATTCCCACTTCCAAGAGAGTTGCTGTCGATGGTCAAGTGAACAAGATTGTGAGAGCTTCCCATACTAGGCATGCTCCCGGTGAAATTGTTGTCTTGTAGTTGAAGTAATACCAAATTTGAGGCATTGGATAAGGAAGATGGAACTCTGCCGGTAAAATGGTTAGAACCTGCATCTAGTTCCACAAGGTTCAGGAGTGATATTCCTAGGTTTCTAGGAAGAATGCCATGGAGTTGATTGTATCCAAAGTATAGTGTTGTGAGAGAAGATAGGTTGCAAATGCAATCAGGGATTTCACCAGATAACATGTTGAACTGCAAAACTAGAACCTGAAGATTCTTCAATTGACAGAGAGCATCAGGAACTTCCCCACTCAAACGGTTGGTTGCTGCTACAAAGATCTGGAGAGATGATAGGTTGCTAAATGAGGGAGGAATTCTTCCCGTTAGATCGTTGTAATCACCATAGAAAATTTGGAGCTTTTTCAAGGATCCCATCTGCCATGGCAGCTGTCCGGTCAGTTTGTTATTCATTACATGGAAGAGGGTTAGCGCAGAGCAACCTGAGATGTTTGATGGGATTTCGCCGTCAAGTGAGTTGTTGAAGAGCGACAAACGCTGCAATCTGCGAAGGCGGCCGATTTCAGGAGGAATCCCCTTGCTGAAGCTGTTGTTGTAAAGAATCAGCTTCTTCAAGAAGCTGAGATTGCCAATGTGTGGTGAGATAGAGCCTGTAAGCTTTTGAGAACGCAGGTCTATGATTGTGACTCTGTCATGTCTTTCGGTACAGGACACACCATACCACTGACAGAAGTGGGTGGAATCATTCCATGAGGTTAGAGCTCCCAAAGGGTCACTAACAATCATGGACTTGAACTCCAACAATGCCATGCGATCTGTGTCATTACTGAGAAGGATTCCAGATGCGGCAACGACAGTAGTAGTTGTAGCAGTAAAGAAGCACAGCTGATGAAGAACTACTACTGCAGCAGCAAAGAGTAAACATGCTTTAGAACAACTCATCTTGGTAATTAATAATCACTCTTTTTTCCCCCCCACTTACAAGACTTATGCCATGAATGCTATTTTGCTGCTAGTTATATGCATCACCGGCCACTTCTTGCTATTGGTGGGTTATCAATAGATTCCTTCCAACGTGGAATAATGGAATGAACTGTGGAAATTAGTGGACGACTGACTTGCTTGAGATTTGGACAGTAGTCATGTCCAAAGTCTTCACCCACCGCATCAATATATGGGATCTTTCCGAGTTAGAGGCTCATCATTTATAGACAAACATCTCAGAGAAATTTCAACCTCCATTTTTCCACAAAGATCATATCCACCTATGAATTTTTTATAAAACCACAGTTACTTCAAAATTTATCACAGAACAAGGGCTTTTATTGAGTAAAGATTGAGTTGTATATGATTCCTTACAGTACTTTTTGAACAAATTGGTATTCTTTGGATTGGAAATTAGTGCAGGTACGACATACGGTGTGCTCAAATGATCACATGTTAATGATAAGCAGGATTCGTACATGGAAACTAGCAATTTTCAGAAAAATCTGATACCATGTCAAAGGTCAAGATTCATTGTCCAAAAAGATGAAAAGAAAAACACAGTACTTTATAACTCCGTGGCAAATATTTTTCTACAAACGCTCCAGGAGTGGAAATGTGAAATCAAATTCAAATAAGAAGCCCGTCAAGCAATATTGCCTTTCAACCGAAGAACATGACAGGATTATGAAAGGATAATCACTATAATAAGCCTGAAACAATAAGATCAGGCAACAATAGTACTACCATTCTTCTCCACAGAAAGATTTTAGTCCAAGAAAGGATAGTCAGTGTACCCGATAACAGAATCAGATGTGTAAAACGTGTCTCTGTTGTACTTGTTGAGCGGTGCATCGAGCTCGAATCTCTTCGGTAAGTCTGGATTAGCCAAGAACAAACGCCCATAGGCCACTAAATCAGAATAATCTTCTGCCACAGCTTTGTTCCCGTCTTCCCTACTATAACCTCCAGCAACAATGAAAGTGCCGTTGAACGCTTTCCTCATTGGGAGGAGACTATGAGGAGTTTCCAGTTTTTCGGCTAACGTCTTCATTCTGGGTTCAACCATGTGACAGTAGACGATTCCATATTTGTTCAAGGATTCAACCATGTATAGGCCTAAAGCTTCAGGATTCGAGTCGCCACATTCCCCATAGTTTGCAAAAGGGGACAATCTGATTCCAACTCTATCTGCACCTATCTCATTACTCACGGCTTCAACTATCTCCAGAGCAAACCGACACCGGTTCTCCAAAGACCCACCATATCGGTCGGTTCTATCGTTCACTTGGTCTTTCAAGAATTGGTCAATTAGGTATCCGTGAGCCCCATGTATCTCTACTCCATCAAAGCCTGCAAAAGGAAGAAATGAACAGTTAAGTTTGCAATAAGTGTCTTCAGGAAAGCCTTGAATACAGGAGAGACAAAGCTTACCTGCTTCCATGGCATTCTTTGCCGCGATTCTAAAGTCATTGACAATCTGAGGAATTTCGTCTGTCCTTAACCGTCTTGGAGGTGAGAATTCTGCAATATCAATGCCATTAGACCGACGTTGAGGGGTCAATGGCTTGTCCGTAGATGAGATTGGAGCCTGCCCATTTGGCTGAAAGCCTGTTTATGTCACCACATGATAAGATTTCCATTCCATTATTCAACAAACCAATGAACATCAGAGATACTAGAATTCACCTTCATTTGAAACCCTTCCAACATGCCAAATTTGACTGAAAAAGATTCCACCTTTATCATGAACACCATCCACGATGGGTTTCCATGCCTCAACTTGCTCCATGGTCCAAATTCCAGGAGTATCTGGATAGCTTCAGCACCCGAAAGAAGTAACAGTAGACAGTGAAAAGAGACTTCAGAGCTTCAGGGAACATAAGAACAAGAGGGAGTAGGTTGCAAACGATCAGTCTTACCCTTGGGCAGTATCAGAAACTCCAGTAGCTTCAGCTATGAGAAGGCCTCCCTTAGTAGTTCTTTGAGAGTAATACAAGATGGCATGTGGCTGAGGTACATTTCCAAAAGATCTTTGTCTAGTCAATGGAGCCAGAACAATTCTGTAATCATACCCACAAATTATACATAAGTTTCATAACAGCCTTCATACTTAGCAAAAGAAGGCATGCAGCTTGTTTGTAACTGCACTGTGAACAAAATACCAACAGAAGAAGAAAAAAACAGAACCCGAGTTCAGTATGATCTAGCTTTGCCTCATTGTAACATAGGGAATCAAGAAAATTCATTAACTTCATTCATCATTCCATTTCCTTAAACTCTCATTTGCTATAAGAGATAGTTCACCATGCCATTTACTAGAGGAGAAAGCCTGCATACGATTATAGCTACAAACAGATACTGCTACTGCTACTACCAAAGAAACCAATTTTTCAATCACTCTCAGAAAGTTCTCCAATTCTCCAGAAACCCAATACCCAGATGCGAATTCAACCAGAAAACCAGTGCTCCGTACAGGATCAACCTGTTTCGCCTTTGCAAGCAATGTGTTCGAAGAAATGACCAGCAGAGTTATACACACCTGTGAGAAAGCTCGAACTTGCCCATCTTGTGTGGGGTGAGAAGAGGAATCACCGGGGCCGGGGGTTGAGCAGCTGCCATGACAGAAATCCTTTTCGTTTCCGAGTGATTTACGTTGTTAATGGTCTGGAAGAGACGATAGCAAGCCATCCCACTGGGTATATCGGGAAGTTTTCGGTGAAAGAATTACGTCTGAAAGTGATTTCTACGACCATACCGAACTTGCCAGCTCGTCCATCGCTCTGCCGTACAAGGATGGAGCGCCAACAGAGCACCTTCCCCTCTCAAGATCAAATAGTGGCAATTGAAATAGCCCATCATCCCTGTCCCTGTAGTCGGCGGGACTAAATGCCTTCCCTTTTGTACAGGAGCAACAACCACCACAAGTTTTTTCCTCAACCTTTCTGCCATTCGGTGGCGGCTTTTAAAATACTGGTCCATTCGCTTTTTGACAAAAGGTGCTCTAACTTGTCAAACCGGTTTATATACTTGTGTGAATTTAATAAGTGAAAAATGATTTGGTCGATGATTTAACCAATTTATATTGATTTATGTTGATTTATCAAAATATGTAATAATTTAAAATTTAATCAACACCAAATTGATTTTAATTGTATATAAATTATATTTGAAGATAATTTACTTATAATTCATATTCATATTTAAATAAAGTGTGATATTCCAAATAAAATAGCAAATACTCATATTTAAATACAACATTTGACATCAATATCTACATGTTTATATTTGAATCCAACCAATAACATCAACATTTAATCTTTAAATTCATAAAATTAATAAATATTATTAATTAAATTCACTAAAACGATGTCATTTTGTTCAGATGTCAGAAATTGATCATGTAACGGTGGTTTTCATGGCGATTTCATATTTAAATAAAATACAACTTGGAGACATATAATGTAGTTTAAATTAGACATTTTTATATATGGAAGAAAGATGGAAAGGAGAAAGCTGGTCCAAGTAAATGGAATCCAACAGACAAAAAAAAAACTTAGAATCAACTGATCTATACTGTTAATTTATTTTCCAAATACATGGATTCTCAATATAACTTTGAAATCCAATCTTTAAATCTAGAAAGAAGCATAAGGTACACTCTCTTTTCAAAGTAGCAAATCAATCACCTAGCTCCCATAGTCCCACCCCTTTGTCTCCGAACAAATTTATCATGAAGCAACTTCTTCAAAGAGACCAGCCTATCTACAACTTCACTGATACTGATTCTCTCATTTCGGTTGTCTGAAGAACAAACCACACCTATTTCAAGAATGGATATCAGAACCACCTCTAGTACCTGGCCCTTGCTGCTGCTGTTAGTTTCTACTGAGTTGCTGGTGCTGCTGCTACTGGTGGCAATGGAATCATGAGTTGTTCGATCAAGACGTAGTTCGTTGAGTAGAATAGGATCCACAACTCTTGCTATGAGCTTCTCTGACAACGCACTCTTAACGAATCGATGAATGTTCAAGCCTGCTACGAACGTCTCATCCGTCGGTCTCCTTCCAGTGAAAATCTCGAGCAAGAGGACTCCATAGCTGTAGACATCGCCTTGTGTTGAGATTTCATTCCCCATGCCATATTCTGTCATTGTGCATCAAAGAAGAAGATGAGGGAATAATTATTATTTTGAATGAATACTAATTGAACTTCCTTGAAATTAATATTTATCATTTGATTAAAATTAGTTTAGGATAATTTCATGTTAATACACTTGTACACATATAGTCAAGATAAGACACTTAACCTGGAGGAGCATAGCCAACGGTTCCTTTGATGCCGATGGAGCTTGATGTCTGTCCTGCTAAAGGGGGATTGCCAACTGACTGAAGGAATCTTGCCAACCCTAAATCACCGACACGACCGATCATGTCTTCGTCAAGAAGCACATTGCTGGGTTTGAGATCGCAATGAACTATAGGTGTTCCGCATTGGTGGTGAAGATAATCTACAGCAGCAGCTACATCAATAGCAACATTTAGCCTTTGGAGGAAATTCAAGCTCCTCTGAGGCCCATTGTCTCTACTTTCAGTAGGATGCAACCAATCTTCGAGGCTCCCATTAACCATGAGCTCGTAAATGAGAGCCTTGAAGTCATTCATTTGATAATCAACTCCAGAGCATGCTGTCAGTATCCTCACAAGATTTCTATGTCTGATGTTCTTCAAGGCTGCACATTCTGCCACGAAACTCTTGGAAGCTCCACGGCGCTGTAGGTTGAAGACCTTCACAGCGGTCGTAGTTCTGATCGCAGTTGCGTGAAGGACCCCTTTGTACACAGAACCAAAACTGCCTGCACCAATCAAATTCACGGTGGAGAAACCATCTGTAGCTTTATAAAGGTCGTCATGCAGTTGTCTTACCACGACTCAGCTTGTGAGAGCTTTGCAGACTAGGCATGCTCCCGCTAAATACGTTTACTTGCAGTTGAAGCAGAATCAAATTTGAGGCATTGGATAAAGATGTCGGAACAGAACCAGTGAACTGGTTAAAACCGACATCTAAGCTCCGAAGATTTGGAAGCGATCTTCCCAAATTTTGGGGAAGCTCGTCGTGTAGTTGGTTCAATCCAACGGATAATTGCGTGAGAGAAGAGAGGTTGAATATGGAAGCAGGGATTTCACCTGACAAGTTGTTCGATTGCAGATGAAGAACCTGAAGACTTTTCAGTCGGCCCAGAACGTCAGGAATTCTCCCGACGAAATGGTTCTGCCCTGCATAGAAGAGCTGAAGAGATGACAGGTTGCCAAAAGAAGGCGAGATGCTTCCCGTGAGATTGTTTCCATGCAGGTAGAACTCTTGGAGTTTGTTTAAGGAGCCGAACTGCCATGGTAGTCTTCCCACCAATTTGTTATTCATTAACCGCAACACGGTGAGGGCAGAGCACCTTGAGATGTTGGATGGGATCTCACCGTCAAGCGAGTTGTCCTGGAGCACCAGCCGTTGCAATCTACGGAGGCGGCCGATTTCAGGAGGGATTCCCTCGCCCAAGCTGTTGTTGGAAAGAAGTAGCCCTTTAAAGAAGCTGAGGTTGCCAATGTATGGCGAGATGGAGCCAGAGAGCTTTTGAGAAGGCAGTCTCAAAACAGTGACTCTGCCGACATGTCTTTGGAACAAGACACGCCGTACCACTGACAGAAGTGAGTGGAATCATTCCACGAGCTCAGAGCCCCCAAAGGGTCGCTGGTAATCATGGACTTGAACTCCAGCAACGCCATTCGATCCGTCTCATTGCTCGGAATGATTCCAGAAAAGGCCGCCGCCGCTGTAGTAAGAAAGCACAACTGATAAAGAAGTACTACTCCTACTACAGCTTCAACTACAGACCAACTTATTGAAGAACAAATCATCTTGGCGGGAACACTAATAATCACTCCTTTTTTCACTTCCAACACTTAGCTCATATATTACTCATATGAATGAATGATCACTTCTGCTAAATTGGTGAGATTTTAAACGCTGCTGACTCTGAATGGGACCTTCCTAAGCTGGTCCCATATGTCACGGACAATACTGAGACAAAATGAAGAAATTTCAACCCAATTTTTTTCTTTCAAGAATGATAAGGACTTAAAGTTAAAGAATTCCAAAATACCTGAATCTTTTGTTGGGCAAAGACTTGATTGAGTACCTGTAAGTTACAGGTATCCCGTGACAACGATCGTAGATGCAATACTGAGCTGGAAATAATAGTGATTATGACTTTTCCATGGACGTGTCATTTGGGTGGGTTTGAGTTTGATTCAAACGGGTTGTGAGTTAGTTGGGCTATGGGTTATTGATTGCTGGTTCATCGGGATGGAAGAGGCTTTTTCTGGCTGACATGGACGGAGTAAAATTTTAGGAAAAGCTTACGTGGAGGGGGCGCTAACTTGTACTATAAATCAATTTGAACTCAAAGATTCCAAAGCATTGTAACTTGTAAATAAGCCAATAAACTGAAATAGAATCTGTAGAATCAACCCTCATGGTAAGGAAGAATCCCTCTCTCTTTATCTGACTTCTGACCCAAACCCAATTCTAAACAGATGGAAATGAAAAAGAAATCATTGACAGCTAACTCTGTGTAACAGTCAGATCAGGCAACAGAATGATTTGAATCTAAGAAAGGATAGTCAGTGTACCCAATAACAGGATCAGAAATGTAGAATGTGTCCCTGTTGTACTTGTTCAGAGGCGCATCGAGCTCAAATCTCCTCGGTAGATCAGGATTAGCCAAGAACAAACGCCCATAAGCCACTAAGTCAGCATGATCCACTTCCACAGCTTTGTTCCCATCTTCCCTACCAAAACCTCCAGCAGCAACGAAAGTGCCCTTGAAAGCTTGTCTCATGGGGAGGAGACTGTGAATAGTTTCAACTTTTTCGGCCACCGTCTTCATCCTAGGCTCAACCATGTGACAGTAGACAATCCCATATTTGTTCAAGGATTCAGCCATGTATAGGCCTAAAGCTTCTGGGTTCGAGTTCAGAATAGTTTGCAAATGGAGACAACCTTATTCCAACTCTATCTGCTCCAATCTCATTGCTTACTTCTTCGACTATCTCTAGAGCAAACCGACAGCGGTTCTCTACAGACCCGCCATATTGGTCGGTTCTATCGTTCACTTGGTCTTTCAGGAACTGGTCGATAAGATAGCCATGAGCACCGTGTATCTCCACTCCGTCAAAGCCTGCTTCTATGGCATTCTTTGCAGCAATTCTGAAGTCATTGACTACATGAGGGATCTCATCTGTTCTTAGTCGCCTTGGGGGAGTGAATTCTGGAACATCGATGCCATTAGTGCGACCTTGAGGGGTCATTGGCTTGTCTGTAGATGAGATTGGAGCCTGCCCATTTGGCTGAAAACCTGCACAGAAAAATTGATAGATGTCAATATTGGTGCAAAGAAATAGAAGTCTTAGTCAAACTATTAGTTGGCTGCCATGAAAGGGACAAAATTTCCTTCAGAAACCAACAAATTCACCTGAACTTGAAACCCTCCCAGTGTGCCAAATCTGAAGGAAAAATATGCCACCCTTGGCATGAACAGCATCAACAATCGGCTTCCACGCCCCAACTTGCTCCTTGGTCCAGATTCCAGGAACATCTTTATACCTATTACAAAAAAAATGGACGCAGAGTACATTCCAACAACACGTGAGAACTTCAAAAACTAGCAGAAGAAAAACCTTGAGTTGCATCAAAGCAAGAACTACATAGAGTAGCTATAAAAAAGATTACTCACCCTAGTGCAGTGTCAGATACTCCAGTAGCTTCAGCTATGAGAAGGCCACCTTTGGTTGTCCTCTGGGAGTAATACAAGATGGCAAGTGGCTGTGGTACATTTCCATAGGATCTCTGTCTGGTCAATGGTGCCAGGACAATTCTGAAATCAACCAAAAGAATTACATAAGGTTCATCCCGACTTCATTCGGGAGCTATAGAAGTAGTTGCTGGTTGGATTGCAAAAGGAACTGGAGTCAATTTACGCACCCCAACTACATGCTAAGCTACCATGGTTTATATTGCTATAGTTATGAATGCAGGGCTGGGTTTGTCCAAGTTGGTGAATTCATCATAATCTCATTTCAGAGTAAACAAGCTCTAAACCATCGCATCCCCAAACACAACCACGCACACAGACACACACAAAAATACTGAGACATCACGATTATTCAAATGGAGAGATTCACCGAACTACAAAATGTACAGATATACCGTCTTCCCCCAAACACAAACAAACCCCCGAAAGTGAACCCATTCCGCAGCAACCCATTCTACACAATACTCAAATGGCTAAATGGGGCTTCTGAACTCGTAACCACAAACAAGAGCTCTATTCCAGAATTTGATAGTTGCAGTTAACGTGTTCGAGATAATGACCAAGCCAAAGACGTACCTATGAGAAAGATCCAACTTTCCCATCTTGTATGGGGTGAGAAGTGGAATCCCCGATGGTTTAGCTGCCATTGTATTCTTCTTCTTCTTCTCCTCCTGCTTCTTCGCTGTTGCAATGGTTGACTTCTGTGAGGAATCGGAAAGAAAGAAAGAAATGATCTTCTTTTCTGCAGCTATGCCGTCCAATCGGGGTATTTATAATTGAGGCCACTGTGAGAGCGGGCGAAAAGCCGGCCGCCCTCGTTCATGGCGGAAAAGAACAACGAAAAATGTGAGGCTATCATCGCTGACGTCTGATCGCGCGGCCGAACCAGAGAGGTTATCGATAAATTCAACGCCGGGGCCATCGACCGTCGACGGCCGACCGTATTCAGCATTTCGTCCACACGCGGTATGAAATTTCATTGGATTCACTTTGTAAGAATGTCAAAACTAGCCCAGCTACCTTTAAGGAGAAAAAGCCCCATCCAATTTGGGCCCGACAAGGCTAGTCTAGAGAAACAAACGGAAAGAAAGCCCATTGTTGGGTTCTTCTTTGTCCTTTCCCTTATTTTTATAGGAGGAGAAATCCACGGAAAACCACGGCCCGGCCTATAGATACCCGGCCAACTATGGAAGTGATTAGAGTTATAGGTATAATATGCCCCACTACTATGATGTTTTATCAAACATGTCACTCTACTATTTTTTACATCAAATATACTTTTGTACTTTGAAAAAATTATCAAACATGCCTTTCTGTTAAAATTTCCATTAAAAAAATCGTCAATCATGGTTGAATTGAGATTTAGATGACCCGACATCGGCAAATGGGAGGGAAAATGTCAGTTTTGTCCTCTGTTTTATTTCCCTAGGTCTTTTCAAAGTGAAATTATTTGAATGATTTGATTATACAAAAGAACCAAAATAATTCTAAAGTGAATTTATTAGAGATATTTTAGTCATTTGTGTCGCCCAAACTAAAGTTCGGCCTTGGTTAACGGTTTTTGGATGAAAATTTTAACAAAAGGGCATGTTTGATCATTTTTACAAAGTACAGGGGCATGTTTGATGTAAAAAATAATAGAGGGTCATGTTTAATAAAACTTCATAGTAGAGGGACGTATTATACCTATAACCCAAGTGTTTAATTAGAGCACATAGTCCTGTTGGTAGCCACCAAGTGGAATATGCAGAAGTGGTGAATGTCAAGTATCGAATCTAGGACCTCTTGAGTCTTGAGCACAATCATGCGCCTTTTTCGTGTAATTTCTACTTTCTTTTTCGGAAAGTCTTTATGGAATTTGGAACGATGTCTCTTCCATGCAAAAACTAAGGTCCAAGATCGTTCCCTTTAACTAGTTCACACTTTTATTTGTCAGATCAATAAACAATAGTTACAAGCGGTGCGATAGTCAACAAAATGTCAAACTATCGATGAAAGTACAATTTTTATCACGACATGGATATCCCTATTAGTTCAAACTACTAAACATATAGGAAGTCGTGATCACCACTTCACCATGTGTTCCTAGTCAACATGTAAATTATTTTATCTATTCTATCGATTTAATGGGAGACTTTGAAAAAAGATATTTCTTCGAGTCGAGACGTCTCTTCAAAGACCGAAGCAACTTTATCATAATGTTTAGAATTTTAGTGTGTTTTGTGGCGTGGTTGTTTCTTCTTTCATTTCCTCATAATTTAAATATCTATTGTTGTTGAAAAATGAAACGCTAAAAGTACAATCTGTTCTCAAAGTTATACAACAAATATTCATTCCTCAAAATCCTCCCACTTCACATCACATAAAAGACTAATTATAGTGACGAAAACTAGTGAAGATGCCAAATTCTCATCAGAAAAAAATTGTCTTTACTAAGGAAGTATGTCTTTCGTGAATAATGTACACATATATTGTGACAACATGCACATGTCATCACTAAATATACGATTTTTCATCAATAATGTCCATATCTAGAGGTAGAAGATTCACGTCGCCACTATTTGTGACAACCGCCTTTCTTCCTTCGATAATGTTCAGCATCACACACGGTAACAAAATGGGCATCACAAATGTGCACCACCAAAATTTCATGTGTTTGGTGTTGTGAAGACATCACTATCAACACCGTTAGAATATTATTTTGATATATCATTTCATGAATCGATATGTTTCAATAACTCGAATCATCGGAAGAACTCTAAATATAAACATTATACTCACCATTTTATTACGTTCCATCCGAATTGTGTATCTAGCTAGCCGCCCTCGGTTTGGCTCAATGTTTGAGAAACCCTACCGGAAATATCAGATACCATACCCAAAAATGGTAGGCAGTGTTAGCGATAAGAAACAGTTGAACTACGTATACGTATGGTTAAACCACAATTTTTGTACAAAATATCCTATCACTGACTTTTACGCTATAACCTCCGATACAGTTTCATAATCTTTGGTTTGGCTGCACAACGTAGGTCTTGATCCACATCCAGACAGCACGTACCTGGCCACAACACCCAACTTTAGGATTCCATTTTCTACCAGCTAGTTCAGTTTCAGGTTCACCCAACATTTCACCTCATCACTTTCAAAATCCATGGAAGGAAACAACAGCTACATGATCATATATATATGGTGATTTCAAGAAAATTTCTCCTCGTTAACAACGTTTCGCTCGTGGCATACTTTCCACGTGCAATTTTAACCCCTGGCCGCTGGCGTGCTTGTTCCTGCGGCCTTTTTTGGGATCGATATTCGGCTCAATCGATCGATGCCATCAATAAATACAAGCTTGCACTGGTCGATCATAAAAAACAGAAAGAGGCAATGGCAATGGCAGTGGTGCTGTTGGTGCGCATGGCGTTCTTCAGCATCGCCTTCCTACTACTGTTTTCCTCCTGTGAGTTCACTTCTCTTTTTCCCCCACCATTGCCACCTATAGATATCTTTGAAGTCGGATTATTTGTCTTCGATTGGAAGTCACGGGGTCTTATTGTCTGGTCAACAAGTCTGGGTCCACTGAAAAAGTGTCAGTTTAGGGGCTAACTGCCAGTTTGAATCCGTCCGGTTGGGATTACCCGACCTAACTTCCGATGAGACAGGTATTACCCGGCCTATAATAGCGTGGGACGGGGCGCATGTATTACCACTTTTGCCCTGTCCTGCCCCGTCCCGTATCTCGCCTCATTCTTGACCTATTTCATCATAGACTCGACATGCATCGTACCCATGCGAGTATTAATTATATATCCAATTTGATCCTACACTTGGTGCGGAACGAGTATGAGTATTGAGATGCCCGCCCGCGTCTCACACACACTTGCCATCCCATTTTTATTATTTTGTGTCTGGTCTACAATATATATACTTACTTTCCATGTTGGATTAGTGTTTATGGGAAAATGTGTTATATACATACCTTCTCAATCTATGTAATATGTACGATTTCTCGATCGAGTATAGTGAAACTGGTCTATGTCATACCTTCGCTACTCTTAAACTCTTTTATCTCCTAATCTGTTTCCCGGCCCGTGGTATGTTTGAAGTTGAAGGCGTCTCGTGCTCCAGAAATCATATCAAGGCAACAAACCAAGAACTTCATCATCAACAGATCACTAGTGCTACTACTACTACTACTGCGCCCACTCCCTACTATGAAAATGACCATGATGATCATCGCCGAAATCCCAGTCAGCCGGCGGAATCAGCAGCAGCAAGCCCGCCGGCGACTCCCTTGTACGGTAATGAGTGCAACATCGATGAGGACTGCGCGGGGAAGTTCAGTTGCGGTGATTTAGACCCGGTGTGCCTCAACGGGCATTGTGACTGTCTCTGCTGCGAATAAAAAAAAAAAAAAAAACCCCTCTCGATCTTACGATGAACCACAATATTATCCAGTTTGTATTGTCTGAATGTCTGCTGCGTTGTCTTGTAAAACAGGGGAAGAAATAATCTGTGTCTTTTGTTGCTTTTACCTGTGTACGTGTGCATGTGTGTAAATAAAAGGCAACACGAGCCGACTGTATTGCCTGAATTTTCTGTTGTGTTTCTTATAAAATGAGGTAACCAATAAAATGAGAAATTACTGATGAAATGACCGGTTTTTTTCTCCATGAAATGAACATCCCTATTATTTCACATCTCCAAAGCATATATGAAGTCGTGATCACCAATTCATCGTGTGTTTATGTTTAATAGGTTAATTATTTTATCTATACGACCGGTTTAATGATGGGAGACGTGCAAAAAGATATTTCCTCGAGTACTCAATGCGTCTCTTCAAGGATCGAATTGTCTTTGGCACGGTTGAACTTTATGATAATGTTTAGAATTTTATTGTGTTTTGTGTGTGGCTATTTCTTTTTCTCTGAGAATTTTAAATATTTATTTTTGTAAAAATAAATGAGATGATAAAAGGACGATCTATTGTTAAAATTATACAATAAATATTCATTTCTGAAAATTCTCCCAATATTATATTACATTGCAGGAAAGACTAATTATTGACGAAAACTAGTGAAGATGTCAAATTCTCATCAGGAAAAATTAACTTTGCTGACGAAGTATGTCTTTCGTCAATAATGTCCATATTTATAGTTACAACTTGCAAATGTCATCACTAAATATACGATTTTTAATCAATACTTGCACATGTTTAATTAATATTGCACACGGTAACAAAATGCGCGTCCCAAATTTTTTAATGTTACTCACGACAACCAAATGTGCATCACAAAAGTTTATGCTATTGTATTGTGAAGACGTCACTATCAACACCATTGAATATTACTATGATATATCATTAAATGAATTAATCTGTCTCGATAACACGAATTGGTAGAAGAACTCTAAATGTAAACCTTATACTCACCATTTTATTATCCATCCGAATCATATATATCTAACCTCCCTCGGTTTGGCAACAATGTTTGAGAAACCCTTACCATACCATTCGGTCGAACCGGAAATATCGGATACCACCAACCTAAAATTCTAGTGCGGAATACCATATACCATTGACGTCTTTTTTCCAGTATAACCACCGGTATCGTTTCACAATCTTTGACTACACAGCGTAGGCCGTGAGCCATCCACACCGTATACCTGGCCACAAACACACCATGCCAGTTTTAGGATTCCATTTTCGATCGACCAACTAGTTCAGTTTCAAGTTCACTAACATTTCTTTTTTTTTTAGATAAGGGTGATATAGGTTACTTTTTTTGTTATTAGGTACTACTGAAGGGATTCGAACCTGGTACCTCCAGGTTCATGGCTAGTGGTATTACCACTAGACCAATCCCTTGTTCGTAAGTTCACTAACATTTCATCCCCATCACTTTCACAATTTATGGAAAGAATCAACAGCTATATATATCTATATATGGTGATTTCAAGAAAACTTCTCCTCATTAACATCGTTTCGCTCGTCAACATACACTTTAACCCTGGCCGCTAGCCGGCCAGTTCCCGCGGCTTTTTCCCGGATATTCGGCTCGATCGGAGCCATTGCCATACATAAATACAGAGCTTTGCACTGGTCGATAGTTTGCTCCATCGATCAACTCATCAAAACAAAAAAAGAGGCAATGACAATGGCAGTGGTGCTGGTGCGCTTGACATTCTTCGGCATTGCCTTCCTTCTACTGTTTTCCTCCTGTGAGTTCACTTCTCTTCTTTTTCATATATCGATCGTTCAGCTATAGTCTATATATATAGAACTCATTCTTCTTCTTCTCGTCTTTAGATATATGAGTAGTAGTACGAATAGTATTGTTATGTCATTGGATAGAATTGCATTCTATGTAAACTCATTGAGATTTCAGGAGTAAACTATATGTATTCAGAATCGGTTCGTTGGACCGAAAAACAAATTAGTGATTTATGGTTCAACGATATCACCATTGATAAAACCGTTCATGCGCTATAACATAGAAAATATATACAATGGACTAATTTAGAATTGAATTTATCACTGACAGTTTCAAATCCATATTATATCTATTGCCAAAACTTCTAACAAATCAATTAAATTGTTTCACATAGGATATAATAATTTTTTTTGTATTAAATTCAAGTTAGTAATTAGAGGTTGTAAATCATAGTGCATCGCGTAAATCAATAAAGAGGCCGGTAAAGGAAGAAGAAGAAGAAGCATAAATAAAAAAAATTTCCCTATTAATCTCTTTTTGTGGTTAAAATAGTGAACATGTATGGCCAAATCGAAGTGATTCATCTCATATCATGTTCAACCGTTTTAAAATGTTCAGTCCATCCTTGACCGTCAAAGCAAATGTCACTACAAAAAAAACCAACTATAGTGACATGTTTTTAAAGACAGTTTAAAAAAATGTCAGTAAAACCATTCACTTTGAAGGTTTTTGTGACATTTATGGTAAGTGTCAATATAATATATTTATTGTGACATTTAATTTTGACATATTCGATTGTCGTAGTAATAAATATGTTTTTCTGTCATTTAGAAAAGTGTCACTAAAAGAGTGTCAAAATAGAGAAGTATTTGTGACATAAGTTGGTAACATAACTAAATGTCACAGTAGTTTAGTTGTTTGTCTGACATTTAGAGAAATGTCACGAGTGAAATGTTAGTATAGCATATATATTGTGACATTTAACGTTGACATTTTCCATTGTCACGGCAATTAACACGTTTTTCTGTCATTTAGAAAAGTGTCACTAAAAAAGTGTCAAAATATAGAAGTATTGCTGACATAAATTGGTCACGTAACCAAACGTCACAATAGCTTAGTTGCTTGTCTGACATTTAGAGAAGTGTCATGAGCAAAGTGTCAGTATAGCATATATATTGTGACATTTAATGTTGACATCTTCAATTGTCACAACAATAAACACGTTTTTCTGTCATTTAGAGAAGTGTCAACTAAAAAGTGTCAAAATAAAGAAGTATTTGTGATATAAGCTAGTCACATAACTAAATGTCACAATAGCTTAGTTGCTTGTCTGACATTTAGAGAAGTGTAGCTAGTGAAGTGTCAGCATAGCATATAGATTGTGACATGTAACGGTGACATACAAGTGTTGCTTGTCTGACATTTAGAGAAATGTCACGAGCGAAGTATCATTATATAATTAATAAGGATGATATTGAAAAAAATTATACATATTCTTCTCGTTTAATTAATATCTTCTTTTCCATGGAAAAAAATCAAAATTATTGTAATGGTTTCACCCCCTATTCACGACAATCTAGGTTATTTGATTCGATTCAAATTGTTTGTTTGATTAGTTCACGGTCCACTCAAAACTTAATTGAATGGTACCCTATATAGTTTGACTCATTGTTGATCCTGTAAATTATCTTAAATATGAAAGAAATTTCTATCAAAATTGCATTTGAATCGGTCAAAAGCGAACTAATAAACTTGCTTCTTTGTGATTTGAACCCTCCATTTTTATTTACTTTTGGTTCGATCACATATTCTAATTTTTTCTCTTTCGAAACCAAAATGATGGATAAGGATAATCACTACTTGTTATGCAAAACCCTATTCTCTATCTTTAATTATTTTCAAAACCTAACAATTAATCTATTTACAAGCTACCCTTAATTTGTATTGATTTTATGGTTGTACGACAAGTATTGAAAGTGTCTTTTCAGTTTTGAGTTACATCAAGAACAAATTTAGAAGTCAAATATGCGTTAGTTTATGAATGATTGTCTAGTAGGATATACCGAGACAAATTTGTTGAGCAGTATAGACACCAAATGTATTTTATATTTTTTTAGAATACAAAAATAAATCATGGATATTTTAAACTTGTACGAGTTGGGAATTTTCTTATTTAAGAATTATTTAATTTATTTAATTTATTTAATTTTTAATTTAATTTTACTTTATTTTTTCAAAGATGACACACCTATGTAAAATTCCTGAATCCGCCACTGCCTATCCCTCTTGTCGGTGACTAGAAAGTTTCCTCAAGCGGCTGTTGATGGTGGCGGAGAAGAGTTCTTGGACCTTTTGGAGTGCTAGTTAAGAGAGAAGAGAAGAAGATTATGGATTTTGACCGAGGTCGTTTATCTTTTTTTTTTTTAATTTGTTGCTTTGTTTCATTTTGTTTTCACTGTTCAGTTTTTTCTCCATAAAATTAAATAATTTATTATTTAATGATATGACGATCATGCATCAGTCACATCAACCGTTTTTGCTAAGACATTAACGGTGAGAATGTTTAACCATTAGTATTGAGAGTCAACCCAAACATCGAACTAAATTTGTCTAATAATTTGAAAAATTGGTCACAACTATCTTATTCAAAAATTCAATCCAAATTGACACTTGCGCCAAACTTGGGACAAAACTAAAACCAAAGTTAAAATGATAAAGTGTCAGCCTAATGTGACATTAATGTGACATCTTCTACTTGTCCCAACAATAGTAACCTTGTGAAAACAAGGAAGAAACAAACCGGCGGGAACCACTTTTAATTATGGCCAGTTTGGGCGCGCCATCTCCCTTCACCCTTATCTGCATAGCGCGCAACTGCAGCTGCAGACAGACTTCTAAACTATAAAAAAAAAACGTGAGTAACTTCGACAGCTAGCAACTTTTTGAGCTAAAACAGAAGCAAATCCCTAGCGCAGAGACATCCGTCAGCGCGGATTGCCTGGTGGGCCTGATAGACATTCTTCTTGGCGAGGAGAGCTCGGGTAAACCAAGACCGCCACCTGAGGTAACCGCTCCGTCCTTTTTCAGTTGTCCTATTGTCTCCCATTCACAGTGCTTGCACTTCGTTTCGTTTTTTTTTTCGTGTTTCAGATTACCGTTCTTTATTTTGCAAGCATCCTCCATCAATCGAGTTTCTAATTTTGGTTCCTCTCCCTCTGTCTCTCTCTTCCGTTCACTTTCTTTAGATCGAAGCTAGGGGAGAGAAAAACCATCACCTGCGCCCTCGAATTGTATTGTCTCAGAGGTTTTTCGAATTTTCGGCTGTGGCCTGAGATTTCCCCTTGCGCCTACGAATCAGGTAATTAGTGAATTCTTCTCTTCCTTCTTCAGACTTGGGCTGTGGATTATGACTCTCTTCTGGCTGCTGATTGATATCCCGATTCCTTCTCCGCCTGCTCTGCCGTTATCTGTTTAGAAATTTCAGCTTATGAACCAGTTGAAGTAGGTGATTCCAACTGGAGAAAGCTATACTATGATTCATGTTTTGATGTTTTTGCTTCGATGATAAGCCAATGAAACTTTGTAATTAGCGCTTGTTTTGATGTTGGTGAGAACTTCGACTGCTAGTTCTCAAGGACTGATACGGACTGCTTAGTGGAGTTTATTAGAGTTTTAGTAAGAAGCTGTGCTCTGTCCGTATCTAGTTGAATTGAACGAATGCTCACGTAGTGAATGGGTTTTAGGTGTGTTGCCTCCATGCTGTAAATCGATATTGACTTCTTAAGATGATTTCTTCAATGCTTAAAATCACCTGCACCTGTCAAGCTCAAGGTCTGTGAAATAATGTATTGGAATATTGTGATTATACATAGCTAGGTTCATGAGCACTCCGCAGTTTATTTGAACTATTTTCAAAGATTATATGTTTGTTATATATGGAGTGCATAAACTTCATCTTTAACTTCTTTGTCAAACAAATGCTTGATTGGCTTGCTTGGTTTTGTGCCCCAGGATTCTCCTAGATATGATACATAATCGTCTTAGTTCATCTGTTCACTTATATTTCATAGGTATGAAGTTTATGATTTATCCTCACACTAACAGTTGTGTCTCTTACTAGACTAATCAACCTCTCAGAGGAAATAAAAAGGAACCTGAAGATCGCAGTACTGGGTAACCCATAAGATTCTAATTTCAAGTATCTCCACTGAATTGATTATCTTAGTTCATCTATTCAACCTGCATAAGTGCATACACAGTCAAGTAGGGGGTCGGGAATTAGGATTTATCATTTAACATCTAAATTCTGCAATATGTTCCCTACCGTCAATGTGGCCTTTTCTCGATTTTGTGAAGAAAGCATACTTTGATCTCTGTGGTGCTAGGTTACAGAACTCTCCATCCCATCTTCCCTGAAGTTCCAGGAGGAATGGTGCACTATTGCATTTGAATCCTCAATATTATTATAAATAAATGGATAGGTTGTGTGTAGTTTAGATTTGCGACGTATCTGATATGTGTTGTCAAGTTTTCAGTGATTCTGCAACTTGAACAGCAGAAATCGAATTAGATTATTCAAGTGGTGTTATTGGATTTTCATGAAGCGTAGTTGCTTAATATAATAAGCTATCAAGGTCACACTTTTTATTCCAATCTTATTAGTGTGTTAATCTTCATCTCTGGTCCACCTAATTATGGAGTTGGACAATCAGACACAAGGAGGTATGGTGAAAGGGGAGGAGCTTTTCAAACTGGTCTTGTGAAAAGGGAGGAGCCTTTCATCACTACTAAGGTCTGTTTTTGTTTTTTAAGCTTCACAATGTTGTTTTTGGTCTTAATTCATTCCTGAAATTTTAGATAACACAAGGTTTGATATTGTTGATTCCTTGTTAATCTCTTTTCCTGTTTAATGTTCCTCCCATGGATTTCTTTCAGCTGTGGAATTCAGATCATGGACATGTTCTGGAGGCTTGCAAAGATATTCTGAAGAAGCTTCAGCTCAATTATCTAGATCTCTACCTTGTTCACTTCCCTGCGCCACCAAGCATACTGGTATGAGCACTCACCCTTGTTTGTGCGAAGTTTTCATTTATGCTGTCAATTTGGGTCCATGTCTAGACTACTAAATGCCTTATCTTGAAGCTGTTTCACGAAATCCCAAAATCAACATGTGAAACTTGAAAATAAAACAGATAGTAGTGATGAAAAGCTCCAACCTTTTCACAAGACCTTTGTGTGAGTATTTTTCCATGATACACCATCCATATAAATGTGCAGACTTTTGGTGGAATTTGTTTCCTCCATATCACCTTGGTTGGACTGTCTAGATCCCCCGGGAGCTTGTCTTTGATGATGCCATCATACAGCTAACTAAGAAGGTTGAGCTAGTGTCCAGTTTAACCTGCATGGATTATAAGACAACCTGCACAGAGGTAGGTTCGAAAGTATATTTAGCAAAAACTATTTCCCTCTCTCTCTCTCTCTCTCTCTCTCTCTCTGTCCCCCTCTCAACTGAAATAAGGTTTCAATCGCACAATTCTCTTGATTAAAAAAATTCCAGATTGGTAAGATCTTTCTTTGTTGCAGCTGCTGCTACACGCGGAAAAAACTTCAGCTAAGATCAGGTTGGGCATCCAACAGTCAAACCAAAACGAACCTGATCTCCCTCCCCCTGGTTCGATGAAAGCATATCTTCAGAAACTAGGACTTAATTTCATATTTGGATCGAAGGTGAGCATCCCACTACATCTTGGCATTTCCCTGTTGACCCTTCTGATTTGTTATTTTTTTATATTAATTTCCAGCATCTCTCCACCATATTTGCATACCTATCCGTTGAAAATCTCCACATCCATTTAAACAGACCGATCCCAATTTACAGTATCAAATGCCTTCTTGATGTCCAGCTTGAACATCAATCCAGGTCTTTCACTTCTCTCACGATGATCAGCTCGTTTGGTATTAGTGAAGCTTCATGGATTGTTTTCCTTTTATCCCTGCACACTGCTTTATCGATATAACTTCCCTGGAATCTGTTTCACTCTTTCCATTAGCACCTTTGACAAGACTTTGTAGAAACTCCCTACTAAGCAGATAAGTCTGAAGTCTTTGGGATCTTTAACTGTTTCTTTCTTTATAATGTGTCAACACCTCTTGTAGAAAGCAATTGTGAAGCCATCTGGACCTGGGGCTTTTGTCTCCTTCACATTCTTTTATCACTTTCCAAATTTCTGCATGTGTAAACGGTCTGGTCAGCGTATAATTCTCTTCTACATTTATGATGTTTCTCTTGTATTGGGCGGGTAAAAGCCTATGTTTGTCACTCTCACTGTATAGGTTCTGGAAATGGTTGATGAATGCTTGTTTGATTCCATCTAGACTCAATCAACACTTCATTTATCTTTAACTGTACGATCTTATTCCGTTTCCGATTGAAATTCACTACCTTATGGAAGAGGGTTGTGTTTCTATTTACCTCTTTCAACCAAAGTTGTCTAGATTTTTTCCGCCAAGAAATTTCCTCCAATGTTAGTAATCGATTAACCTCCACTTTCAAGTCTGATCTCTCTCTACCGGTTCAGCTGTCAAGGAACATGTTTCCTCCATTTCATCTATTTGTTTAATTTTGGCCAGCAAATTTGCCACCGGCAGGAGTTTTTACGTTGAACACAGATGCTGGAAGGAACAGAGGTCGGCCTTGGATGTGTGATCCGAGACGGGAATGGGAATATGATCATGGCGGCAACTCAAACTGAGGCTCAGAATTGGAATGCAAAAATTGCAGAGGCAAGGGCTATTCTGTTTCGACTGGAGAAAGCTGCTGAGAAAGGAATTGGCCCTTTGATCATAGAGTCTGACTGTAAGAAGCTTATTGAAGGGATTAAGAAGCATGATGAGCTAAGAACAGAACTCGGTTGTCTGTAAAGATATTGCAGACCTAGGAAAGCTTTTGAGGGTACAAGGTTGGTCATTCTCTGGACGTGAAACAAATAGTGTAGCTCATGATATAGCATCTGATCCCTTGTAACTCCTATGAAGCAGACTGGTCAGATTGTATCCCAGAAAAGATTCTGGATGTAATATCCCATAAACGTGATAGACCTGAGGGGAACCTAAAGCTTGCTGATTTTGGGCTTGCTAGGTCATTTTCGAATGATCATAATGCAAATCTTACAAACCGTGTTATTACTTTATGGTACAGACCTCCAGAGTTGCTTCTTGGGGCAACAAAGTATGGTCCAGCTGTTGATATGTGGTCTGTTGGCTGTATCTTTGCTGAGCTTCTCCATGGGAAGCCTATCTTCCCTGGGAAAGATGAGCCTGAACAACTAAACAAGATTTTTGAGCTTTGTGGATCACCCGATGAGGTTAGTTAGATATTTGCCGATAAGTGGAAGCTTAACTTGCATGAAAAAGTGTTCCTTCATTCAAGTTCCAGAATCACTATATAGGAGCGAAATATGACAACCATTTGAGCAGTTTACGAACTGACCAAGGAACCATTCTTCTGATTGAGCTATCCAATCATTCAAAAGTTCTCTATACATTTCATCAGAGGTGAACTTGTGAAAAAACGCGAAAGTTCCCGATACAAATGCTCGCCTTCAAACGGTTTGGAAATATATCCATCCATCCCACATCGAATGCATTCATCTTGTGTAGCTTGGATGACATCAGCTGTCATTGCCAATATAGGTACATGCCAATTTGAGATATTTCTACATGCTTCAATTGATGCGTCTCCATTCTGAATTCGGTCATTGATGTTATCTTCCATTTCCCTAATTCTTCTTGTAGCTTCAAAGCTGCATGTAAAATAAAATCAACAAAGACCAAGAAAGGAGGCAGTATAAACATATTAAAGGAAAGACCCACTTACCCATCTATTGCAGGCATTTGGATGTCCATGAAGCAGGCATCAAATGTGTGAGGAGGCTCGAGAAAAGAGATTGCCTTCTCGCCACTCTCAGCCAAGACCACATCAGCTCCATATCTTTTCAAGGCACCAGCAGCTACCTTAAGGTTCACATAATTGTCATCCACAACAAGAATCTTCCTTCCAGCAAGTAATCCCGAAAGAGACAAACTAGAGAGCTTCCGAAGATTCCCCTTGTTCCCCACACCTATGGCTCTTTGCAAAGACGCAGCCAACATACTTGACCTCAGTGGTTTCATGATTATACTCAACCCATGAAGCTCAAGCATGTCTCTTTTTTTGGAATGGTTAACAGAGTTTGCTAGGATGAATAGCTTTGAACTAAGTTGCTGGTCAAGTTTTCTTAATTTGTTGACAAAGAGAGAAGAAACTGCTGAATCCGCATCCCAAACAACTTGTTCAACTAGGACCATGCTGAAAATCGCATTCCCGATACTTATAGTAGACAAAGCATGGTCTAAAGAAGGAACTACTTCTACTTGAATTCCAAGCCTTTGCACATGGTATTTAGAGACAATGGCTCTAACTTGCCTAGAATCAACGACTAAGGCTCTCATGCATTGAAACTCTGGGTAGATAATCTTAGATTGTTTCGAGCAACCAATTGTAAAACTCGCGGTAAATGTGAAGGTGGAACCAACCTTTGGTATGCTCACAAACCCAAGTTCTCCATCCATTAGGGTCACCAAACATTTGCTTATGCTAAGGCCAATTCCGGTTCCTGCTTGTTTCCTAGAGATGGATGAACCAACTTGAACAAAAGGAGTAAAGATGCGAGGTTGAGCTTCTTGAGGAATACCTTCTCCTGTATCCTCCACCGACACAATCACACTGATACGGTCGGGAGAGAGAGAGCAATTGCGTCCATCTTGACCAATATTTTTGAATCCTGCCCAACTACGGCGTTTATCTGGTACAGGAAACCCGCTCAGTGTGTTTCTTGATGATGCTTCTCTTTCAATGTCTGTGGTTTCCATCACTTCCTCAACAAGATGGACAGTAACAAAAATGTGTCCTTTCTCAGTGAACTGGTAACAAAACAAAATAAACCATCGTTATAAGTAATCAACTCAAGGTAAAAAATATGTTAGATCAGTTGCCAAAACTAATGGGATTCATTATCCTTAACTCAATTGAGAAGTGGTTAGCCTGTTATATAGTCAGTTTTTTTAGGCAACGTTATATAGTTAGTTATTAGAAGTGGTTACATTTAGTTATTAGAAGTGGACAACATAAAAAGGACATTAGCTCCTTCATTAATAATGTAATGCATTTTTGCTGAACAATAAGAAGCTTTCCTTTCTCTATGCCTCTTTCACAATGAATCTCACATATCAGATACCAATAGACATATCAGAACGAAATAAAGAAGAATAAAGTGACTAATTTTGGGACTTACTTTAATTGAGTTTCCCATGAGATTGGTGATGATTTGTCGGAACCTTCCCGGATCACCGATGAGCATATCAGGAACACGGTGAGAGATATAGACTGCCAGCTGTTACAAGAAAAAAGTTCAAAAGGTTGGAAATCGAAGCTGAAATTGATGTGGGCGTTTGAAATTGAAAGAGGAACTATGATTATTCATAAGGCTACCTCAACCCCATTCTCCTGAGACTTCCCAGAGAAGAGAGACAAAACATCGTCCATAATGGCTCTAAGGTCAAACGGTACGGATTCAAGATCAAGCTTCCCAGACTCTATCTTTGCTTGGTCCAACACCTCATTCAGAAGTGAGACAAGAGTTTTTCCACTAGCTTGTGCGGTTCGGACATGGTCTTGTTGCGTCACATCAAGATCAGTGTCTAAAAGGATATCTAATATTCCTGAAAAAGTAAACCGAGCTCAAAGTATAAAATCCCAAAGAACTTGATATCAAGTATTAAACCGAGCTCAAGCATAATGGTAGAAAGGAATAAGAACTCTTCGACCTTACCTAATACACCATGCATTGGGGTCCTAATCTCGTGAGAAACAGTAGAAAGAAACTGAAACCACAGGTGGGCAGGTCAAGAAACAAGCCTAACTGGTCAAAGCAAAAAAATAACTTCAACTATTGAAACAAGAATTGACGTACCTGAGACTTTGCAACATCAGCAGCCTCAGCCTTTTTCTTTAACTCAACCATCCGATTGTATTCCTCCTGTACTTTGGCCATATGGTTCATGGTTGCAAAGACTATGTATCCGAGAAGCAAAGTAATCACAAGAGTAGAACCTGTAGTCGTTATTGCAAGCCACGACAATGGAGCTTTGTGCTTGAATCTGGGTTCAAAAAGAAAAAAAACAATAGCTAACGACAACCAATTTTTTTTATAAATGATATTTTATTATTTATTACTTATAACAAAACTGAAAGGAATAAAGAACCACATGCGCCTGTTTGAACAAACAAGAACACACAGAGCAATAATAACACGATAGAAGGAAGGAAAAACACAAGCATCCTATAGTCCGAACTTAAATGGAAGGAGCAGGTAACTTAGGTGCCTCCAACATAAATCCCTGCCAAATGCATTCTTACCAATCCCAAACTGTAATAACCCAACAGGCAAGCAAAGTGGAAAAGAAAGGACAGCTCACAATGTCAACCCAAAGTAGGACACACCATACAGACCACCTGGATACTCAAGCCATAAAGAGCTCTTGCTGCCTATGGCTGTAAGCACTAACATAACAAACCTAGAAAGACAGGGATAACAGCGACCTCAAAGAACTCCGACAGAAACAGCAACAAAGACCATGCATTCTCACCAAGACAATCCGGCATCAGCAGTCGCATTCCAGACTCATATACGGACAGCAGCAACCACTAGTCATTCAGCCTCTAAAACGACAACCAAATTTAAATGCGTACTTACTGAAAACATAGATTTCAGCTGTTGAATTACCTGCAACGCATTTCATGGTTTCGAAGGGGGTCACCGAAGTTAAGAGCAATCACGTGCTCCAATTTGTCCACATATACTTCGGAGCCATACATACTGATTGGCTGAGAACGATTAGTTGTGTCATATAGGTTAACCAGGATGGTTTTTTTGCCTGCAAACTGTTGAAATAAGTTCTCTGCGAGTGACTCGATGTCGAAGATACCTTCCAAATACCTAAAAAAGCATAATCCATGAAGTTGTGAGACCAAACAAGCCGTAGCCTCTTATCATTGCACACACTAATGCCAAAAATAATATATACCCATCAGTAGCTTCCACCCTGTCCTTTGGAGTTGCATCTGCAGGGAGATCCCTTTTATAGACAGCAAATGTCAAAATTACACCAAGGCGATTGGTTTTCAATAACCTAAAAGGAGTAGTTAGTACCCCTTTCCCGGATTCTCTTGCTCGTATCGCATTGTCACAATCTTCCTACAAGTTCCACAAATGGCTAATTGAGGCTTACTAATGAAAAATCCAAACTTGTTCCTAATTACCACATCTCGAATAAATTAAAATAAAAACATACATGAAAACATATAGTTAAAGCTTACTTTCCCGGACAGCAGATCAAGAGAAACCATATGAGCAACAGTATCTTGAGCCAAGATCACTGGAGCATATTCCTCTTGGACTGGAGATGGCTCAAACTTCTCTGGCATGTGAATGTCCTTATGAACTGGATTTTGTTGAACGGTGTTCATCTTTCTTATGGACCAACCTTGTTGCCTCTCGAACTTCTCCCTTTCCAAGTGAAGGACCCTTATAGCATATGCCACACCACTCATTAATGGCCTCTCAAAAGCTGTTTTTTCTGTGTACTTGGCAAAGGTTCTCTACACAAACAGTGCACTAATAAGTTAAAATCTCGAATCTCAAACTCAAACTCAAGCAACCAGAAATAATAGAGAAAAGCTAATCTACAAGGGAACTCTACAAACCTGATCAATAGCCAAAGGATTCTTGCCATGGTGAAAGGTGGAGATCAAGATGGATATGGCTTGAACATGGGTCATACTCGCATTGAATTGATCCTGCAACATTCTAGCTCTTTCAACACACATACTAGCAAGTGTCACTTTTCTCTTCTCGATTGCATGGTGGTTGTAGAAAGAAAACATCCATGCACAAATCACTATCCAAAAAATTACCCAAGACCATAAAAGTTTTTTCCAGAACGATTTATGCACTCTTTTCAACTCAAGTAGCTGGTAAAAATGATGGTGGATCTTGTAACTATTTGCCAAGACCTTCTCCAACAGTTTCAGCCACATTTTTTTTTTTAATGGTGATATAGATTACATTTAAAGAAACAAACTAAGAGTTTAAACAGAGCAATCAGGGCCAGCAGCAGCAAAATAAGAAAATATAAGGAAATAAGCCGTCCAGCTGGAACTATGGAATCCCCAAGTTAAAATTAAACTTCGAGTAAGTAAAAGAAGGGGAGCAAAGGAGTTCAAAACTGGGAAGAAACAAGAAGGTAGGACAAGTCTGGAAGGCACTAAAAGCCCACTGAAACAGGGGGGGGAAAACGAGAGGAAATACAATGAAGGAAAAGCAGCAATATGATGACAAGATATATAAGTTAGCAGCTCACAGACAGCCACAAGTAAGAGTGAAATGAAACAGTCCCTCAATTATTAATACCCTAGATTTTGGGGCCCGTGGCTAACTAATGCATGAATCTTTCTATTAATGGGCTAGATTTTCTGTCGTGGAGAGGTTGAACTTCAGGGGAGAAGGGATGGACAGTTTTGTAACCTAACACTACAGAGATCAAAGCATGCTTTCATCACAAAATCTAGAAAAGACCACAACGACAGTAGGGAACATATTAACGAATTTAGATGTTAAATGATAAAACCTAACTCCAACCCCCTAATTGACTGTGTATGCACTTATGCAGGTGTGATAAATGAACTAAGATAATCAATTCAGTGGAAATACTTGAAAAAAGGAATTTTAAAGGTTACCTTGGACTGGGATCTTCAAGTTCCTTCTTTACTTCCTCTGAGAGGCTGTCTCTTTCATGACAGAATTAATAGGCTGATGGAACCTCCCTGTGAATGGGAAAGGTGCTTTTACATGTGCAGCCAGAGACTTATGCAGACATTTTGTAGAGGGAAAGAAGATTAGAACCTTTGATATCACGATGAAGTACTTGATTAACATGGCAATAGTGAAGCCCAGTTAAGAGCTGCCTCATGTAGCACTTAATTTGAGGAACAGTTATGAAAATTAATAAAGGGCATAATAGAAGACAGTAAAAGAATGCCAAATAGAGAGGCAGATCCTAGACTTACTTCTATGATTGCACCCAGTGCCAATCCCATAGATGAGGAATTCGATTATCCAGACTTTCTGAATTTCATCATCTAAAATTCATGTGAATCGTGGTAAGTCCATAAATCTGCATGAAAACAAAAGTAGAACAGCTCAAAGACAACAAACCGCTGCCGCTAAGTCAACCCTCATGCGCCGGCTAGTCTGTGATGAGATGAGACTAGACTAAGAAACCGACCAAAATGGAATGGGGCTTCTTTCTATTCGAGCTATCTGCTAACTGCTCAGATTTTATATCCACTTTCTTATTTCACTTTATATGCAAATTCATGTGAATAATCACATTTCTAGCAAATTGTGTTGATTCTAGAAGATTGAGTCAAGCCAAAATACCAATTTGTTACAACATTCTCTGATCAAGGAGTATGCATTTCTGCATTCTCACCTCCACTTAGCATACTTCACCATACCGCCTTGTGTCCAATAGCCCAACTCCATAACCAGGTGGACTAAAAATCAAGACCAACACACTATCTGCATACATTTAAACCAATACATCTTCAATTAGAAATGACAATGAAGGAGGAAGCTTTTAGAAGAGGCATTCAGTAGCTATGTTGCAGACATAACACATGTATTTCCGTATTCTGATCAGACCTAAAGCTGTACACCTCTTCATCCCCCAATGGCTTGAATCCTACGAGGACATTCAATTTGAGTTCACATAAACAAATTAATGAAACTGCAGAAAGAGAATGAAGCTGAGTCCTCGCATAGGGAAAGTATAGAAGGAAAATGGTGTCCTTACCAGGCTTACCCCCGGATAATATGTTGCTTCCAACAGGCTCCGCACCAATTATTCAATGCACTCCAATTGATAACAGGAACATTTAAGAAAACATTCAGCTAATTTTTTTATCACACAATTCGAGTGAATCAACATTGTCATTTCAAATGGAAACTAAGTACAACTCAATGTTCATCGGAAAAATGAAAAGTCAAATTGAAAAGTAAAACTTCCAAAGTCTATGCTTCATCTTCCGACATGACACTCGTTGTAGCAGCGACACCAGGATCTACATACTCAAATGCTACAGGACGTAAATCATTACGAACCCAATTTTCATCTTCACTAGCTGGACCAGCGTTTTCCACCGAGAGTGATTGATCCGCATTTTTCGATTGATAAACTAATTCATCACCCAATTCATATGTGTCTCTAGGCTTTGTTCGAAGTGCCACATACCAATCAGGTTCCTGTGAATCTTTAATGTAAAATACAGGCCTAACTTGATCTGCAAAGACAAAAGGCTCATCACGTATATTAGACCCTGTGTGAATCAATCTTGAAAAATTCACCATAGTATATCCGTATGCATCTTTTTTCAACCCTCTTCCACGTTCCACGTCAACCCATTCACACTTAAATAGAGCTACTCTGAACCTTTCGAAGTAGTTCAACTCAATCATGTCAATTATCCGTCCATAATATAAAATTTCACCTTCTAAACTTGAGGTCTTTGTTGCTACAACAACGCCACTGTTTTGAGTTTTTCTTTCCTCTTCACGACAGTTTGCATGATATCTGACTCCCTTGGTGATGTAACCTTTAAATTGTCTAACCCCATAGTTCGGACCTCGGGCTAGCCCTTTCAGTTCAGCAGTAAATCGCGGATCATGCATCTCCTCTAGCCTAGCTACCTATATACTCACAGCAAAAAAAGGGAAATCAACAGCTACTAATTATGTTGGTATATCGAAAGGAATGTCAAACCTAATTGACGACATCGTATTACAGCGTACATGATAGAAGAAAAGCGAAAATAAAAATTATGTAACTTTTTTATTTAGGCAATGCTATATCTAGCTAAGTTCATAAGGACACAATTAAACGAAAGAAGGCACTCACCCGTCCTTTGAACCAATCAACAAAGGTGGAATGGTGGACTTTCTCAATTTCAATTAGACGAGAAGCATTATTTCTACGATTTCTGCTTGAAAGTTTCCTTTTAATCTCATCCTTATGCTCTCTGTCAATCCGATAAGCAAATATTATAATGAATTTCTAGTTAGTAATAAAAGGAAATTAAGACTAGCTTATAGGAGAAAAAGAGAACATACTCTATGTATGGGAGAACTTCCTTTGAGTTGTATAGCACATATCGGTGAGCCTGAACCCAAGAAGTAGGATCAAGGATAATATTTTCTACTTTTCCAATGGGATGACCCGAAGTAGTGTTCACAGGGGAATCTTCCGTTCTCAATAGATCCATGTCATCACTATTTCTTGCAGGTTTATTAAATCTTGTTCTGACTCCTTCAAAGTATCTAGAGCAAAATGTAATTGCTTCATTTGCAATGTACCATTGAGCAATTGAGGCTTCAGGATAAGCCTTGTTCCCAACATGAGCTTTGAGTGTCATCAAGTACCTATATTGAAAATACATTTTTCATAAGCAAATAATATATTGCATAGCTTAAAGAGTAGATGGAGTCCAAACATTTCAATGGAAAATCTCAGCTATGATAAGGGCTAGAATGCCAAAACAGAAACAGTAAACTGAAATTAAAACAACCCACCCAATTTCTTGATAAGAATTATCTTCAATGAGAATTTAACCACATAAAATCTAAGAGCATATATATATATATATATGTGTGTGTGTTGGTGATTAAAACTCAAAAGTTAATATCAAAGTACGTAAATTAAATGTGTACCTCTCTATTGGATACATCCATCGATATTGCACGGGTCCATTCCATTTGGCCTCTTCTACAAGATGTACGACCAAGTGGACCATGATAGTAAAAAATGATGGAGGAAATATCATCTCCATACGAGCCAATATTTCTCCAATCTCTACTTCCATCTCCTCAAGACGACTTACTTTAAGAACTTTAGAACTTAGTTCTCTAAAATAAGCACTCAAATCAATTAAGGCTCTAGCTACTCTATCTTTCAGACATCCCCTCACTGCTACTGGTAACAAATCATGTAGTAATACATGACAATCATGACTTTTCAAACCACTTATCTTCTTGTGTTTCACATCTACACAACGAGATATGTTGGAAGAATATCCATCAGGTACCTTCACATGTTTTAGCACACGAAGCATTTGTTTTTTCTCTGTCGAAGACATCTCAAAAAGAGCGGGGGCTGCTTCGTATTTCCCAGTAGGCAACTTAAATGGGTGAAGAGTGCGTCTTATACCCATTTCCTGCATATCAAAGCGAGCCTTCAAGTTATCCTTGGTTTTCCCTCGAACACTTAACAATGTGTCTAAAATGTTATCACATACATTCTTTTCAATGTGCATGACATCAAGGTTATGTCTAACTCGATTGTACTCCCAATAAGGAAGACGAAAAAATATGCTTTTCTTGTTGCACCCCTCCGTGATGTTTATGTTTGTACCATTTAGATCCCTTGTTGATCCATTAGAATCCCATAAATCACGAATGCAAGATCCGGTCATCCGAACAGGTGGTCCTCTCAACTCTTCTGTGCCATCAAAACATTTCTTATTTCTTCTCCATGAATGATCATAGCTTAAAAACCGACGATGCCCCAAAAAACAATATTTGTTACCATGCGTTAACCATTTTGACCAAGTATTGAAGCCACAGCATGGACATCCATAGCCTTTTTTCGTTCTCCAACCTGATAACATGCTATAAGCCGGAAAGTCATTTATAGTCCATAGCAACGATGCATGCAACTTGAAAGTAGTCTTCGCGTGAGCATCATATGTATCAACTCCTTTTTCCCATAAATGAATCAGCTCTTCAATAAAGGGCTCCAAGTAGATGTCTATATTAGCTCCGGGTGATTTAGGTCCAGGAATGAGTAAGCACAAGAACAAAGAAGACTGTTTCATGCATAACCAGGGCGGCAAATTGTAGGCAGTTACAACCACTGGCCAACTGCTATGAGTGCTACTTAATGACCTAAAAGGGTTAAACCCATCAGTGGCCAGTCCTAGTCGAACATTGCGCGGCTCCTTAGCAAAGTCAGCATATCGACTATCAAAATCTTTCCATGCACGAGCATCCGCAGGGTGTCTCAAGTACCCATCGTCCCTGCGTTCATCAAAGTGCCACCTCATTAAAGAAGCCGTCTTTTTGCACATGAATAACCTTTGAAGTCTTGGAATCAGAGGAAACCAACGGAGTACTTTCACTCCCTTTCGAATCTTGTTTCTTTTTGAAGTCGATGAACTTTCAGTCTCTTCCTTGTATCTGTATGCATTACAGTGTAAGCATCTAGGCTCATCAATATGTTCTTTCCAGAACAGCATACAATCATTTGGACATGCATCGATTGTTTGGTAATCAAGACCCAATGCATCAATTAACTTTCTGACTTCGTAAGATGACTCTGGAAGTTTTTCCCCTTCAGGCAACGTCTCCCTCATTGTGGTCAGTAAGTCCTCAAAAGACTTATCACTCCATCCATACATACACTTCTTGTTGTATAACTCAAGGATAAATGAGAGTTTGCTATGCTTACGACATCCACTAAAAAGTTCCTCGTCAGATTCTTCCAATAAATCATGGAACCTTTTGGCATATTCATATGCCTCAGTTGGTTGGGTGCCATCATCAATAGTGGAGCTATCACCCCAATCATTTTCTACCCTGGATCTTGAATTTTCAATCTCATCATAACCAACAGCCATATCCTCAAGAAACTGTTGAACGCCGTGTTGCTCTTGTGCATCAACTTCTCTTAGTCCATCATCATTTTGGTGGGAATAACTAGAATCACTAGTTTGAGAGGTTGGATCTCTGTGGAAAATCCAATCTGTATACCCCGGCGAGAACCCATTTTGCAGTATATGAGAAGAAACAACACCTGGTGAGAACCGCTGCATGTTCACACACTTTTGACAAGGACAAGCAAATCTTCCATCTCTCGCGGAAGCTTTGGCAAAAAGAATAAAATTATAAAGCCCTTTCAAAAACTTCTCACTGAATCTATTAGGCTCATGTATCCAACTTCTATCCATTGTTCTCACAGGCCTACAAATTTAGAATCATGTTCGCAAGTCAAAAACTGGAATCTCAATGACCTAATAATAATAATAATGTATAAAAAGTGCAGCATTGATAGCTATATTATACGGAGCAATTGCGGTGCATGAAAACTTTACAACACATATGAGAGATGCCACTGCCACAAGCCTAAACTACACACAACCTATCCATTGCATAATATATATATATATATATATATATATATATATTTTGTTGAAGATTCAAATGCAAATATGTAGCGTTCCTCTTTGGACTTCAGGGCTGGACAGTTCTGTAACCTAGCACTAGAGTACAGAGATCAAAGCATGCATTGCATTCATCACAAGGTCCAGAAAAGGTCACACTGACCGTAGGGAATAGATTCACGAAATTAGATGCTAAATGATAAAACTCATTCCCCTACTTGACAGTATATGCATCTATACATGCAGGTTGGATAGATGACCTAATTAAGGCAATCAATTCACTGGAGATACTTGAGCTAAGAATCTAAGGGTTACCTTGTACTGGGATCTTCAAGTTCCTTCTTTATCTCCTCTAAGAAGCTGACTTGTGTGGTAAGGGTTACAACTGTTAATTAGTGCGAGGATAAGTCAGCAACTTCATACCTATGAGGTAGAAGTGAAGTGATGATAAAATAAGACGAGGATGTACCATACATATATACCTTGGACTTACGTAGAAGATGTTGAGGCAATAATTAATGAGATCCCTGAACACAAATCCAAGCAAATCAATAAGAAGCTTAAGATGAAGTTTATGCACTCCGTATATAAGCGGGGACAACTTCCAGATACCATCTCCACTTTCTCCCAAGGAAATGACTACTGCAAAAGAAACTCTGCCCCATGTAATAATCAAAGACAGCACACACAATCGAATTTATCAAGCATGTCTTCCACTCTCTCTAATGGCTTCCATCGCTTCTTTAGATCTCGACAATCTTCAGCACTTGATTTCACCAAGACATGCAACCCATCCATATAAACAATCAATTTTCTGGGACCCGAGAGATACAGCAAAAGCATTAATCAGTTCGTACATCCAATCTGTAATTGACAGAATCCCCAGTTCATTTAATTGGTCCAAAACCTTCCTCTATCTTATTCGATAAGTCCACATTCTTCTCCTCAAGCACGTCAAATCCCAAAGGCTAGACTCAGCTCTCAACGGAGAAAGAAAATATATCTAGTATTGATCATCAACCAAACAGGGAACTGGGAACAGGTTTTGATCATTCAACTTTCACTAGCAAGCAAAACTTAGGAACTGCGTTATCAGAAGAGAAACAATGGGTGGATGTTATGGTTCGGAGAAGCGATATCCACTAACTTACTAGATGTTTACCTTTCTTGGCAGGAGGCTTGCAACAACAAAGAGCGGTATCCTGATACACCAGAAATCAAAACGGATAATGAGATTAGCGGAACGCGTTGTCAATAGAAGACGAAAGAACAAGGAGGGAGCGGCTCTAGAGCTCTACCCCCAGTAGCGGGCTCTATTCTCCAGAGCTCTCCTTCGCCGCCAAGAAAAATATCGCTCACGCCCGCTGCTCCATCCGTATCGTCTCTGGCAGATCTATAGCTTCCAAATACACAGGGATTTGCTTCTCTTCTCGCTCAAAAAGTCACTCTTGATTGATTTCTCTTTCTTTTTCTGTTTTAGTTTAGGTGATTTCTCCCGCTCCAGTTACGTTGCTCTATGCGGATAAGGGAGGTGAAGCGCCAATCAAAGTGCAGAAAAGAAATTAAGAGACCCACAAGGTTTCCCGCCGGTTTCTTTCTTTCCTATTTGAGTATTTTCCAATGTTGCGATTCCGGGCCGGATTCAGTTACCCGCAACGCCAATAAATTATCTCTATCTTCTCTTCTCTCTATCTTTCTCTAAGGGGTCGTTTGTAAGTTGCGAATGTTAAATCGTTGTATTGTAATGAATCACCATAATATAAATGCATGTATTGATACAATGGATGCATTTTAACAATACATTGTTTGGTTGTTGAGATTCTACTTTATGCATTGATTTACATAAAGTTACATTTATGGGGAAATGTCATATTTACCCTCAACTTTTAGAATAAGACAAAAACTATTGGGGATATAAATGGAAAGAAAAAGTTGACACAAATCTAAAACCAACAATCTCAACTTTTAGTTGAGATTGTATAATGCATCATTTTTTGTGATTGTTGGTGGGACCTACCTAAAACAATGCATGCATTGTTTTACACTTTGGCTCTTCCAAACATTGTATTGTGCACAATACATGTATTCAACAAACACAACTCTAACAATCACAACTTCCAAACGACCCCTAAATCTTATCTTATCTCTTACAATAAGCGTTTTCAGAAAAAGCCTCATGCCACGTAGGCTTTCAAGTTCTCCCCGCGTTTCTCGCTTCCGTCCTTTTATTTTTTTAATTTTCCGTCAGTTTTGGTTGTTTCTACGATTAGATATACATTTCCTTCCTGTTTTTTTTGTTTTTTTGTTTTTGCAATATTCCTTCCAATTTTTCATTGTGCCATATTTATCCTTTTATTTTCTTTCCGTTCAGGTTTTGTATTTTCTTCATATATAATGTTGCTTAATTTTTTCAAGCCGTTCAATAATTCCTTCAGTTTTTTTATGTCTGTAAAATAATTCATTATCAGATGCTTATACTATACTTTCTAGGTCACGTAGTGTAAAAGTTTAAACTAATTAATCAACATTTTTAAAATATATTATTAAAAAGACACAATTTTTATATCAACTACTAAATGGAAACATATTTTAGATTCATCCTAATTTTATGGTGTTATTTCTTAAAATAATAGAATTAAAGGTCTTGTTTATTGATAATTTTTCTATATAACAATAATCATTGATTAATATATATTGATCATATAATTCAGAATACAAGAGTTGTTTTTAATCTAAACATATAATTAGATTTTTCTTAAGAAAAACATACAATTAGATTCACCCAAATTTTATGGTTATATTGCATACGGGTTAAGGGTTTTAATTATTGAAAGTTTGTTTATAGATCAAGAACCATTTATCAATGTAAGTGTGACTTAGAGAATCCAACCATCATTAGTGGGATGCTAATAAAATTTGATGAAGTGATTTAGCGTGAGAACGTTAGAGCATCCAACCATCATTAGTGGGTTAATGGTTTTAATAACAGTTGAGTTATTTTTAATATGGATATGTGATATATTTGGTTAAGAGTCAAAATTTGACTAAGAGTTGAATATATTCTTTACGTAAGTGACTATAGATTATTTTTTTATAACTATATTATTAACTATGCTCGAGTGTGTGGTTGATAAATTAGTCTAGCCTACACTTAATCACCTTTTCATGAATCTGCATTAAAGTTAGATACAAGAAATAAGAATTATTTTGTAAACATATTTAACAATATATAAATTATTTTGGAATTTCCAGTAGATACGAATATAAAAATATGCATATTATAATGAATGATAAAACAAACATATCCCGGCCAACCGGTCGGGTTCAAAGCTAGTACTATAAAGGGTTTTCTCCCAAAACTCTTCACCGCATCTTGCGGAATTTCCTTTTCTTTTTTCTTTTTCGGCATTTGCAAACAGCAGCGGCCAATTTTTATATATTTTATTATTTTCTTTTACATGCTTTATTTTATTTGGTAAGTACATGCTTTATTTGTTAAAAGACACGTGTTTGTCCAATTTGCATGTTCTCGAGTATTTTCTCATTGTATTTTGTTTGGCCGATTAAAATTAATAATTGTGAAATTGTATCGGAGGTTATACACAAATAAGTCAGTAATTTTCTTAAACAAAATGACAGTAATAAGATATTTTGTATAAAAATTATGGTTTGACTGTGATTCAATTGTTGTTTTATACCGTTTTAAACCACCTATCATTTAGAAACTGATATTCAATATTTTCGCTCCAACCGGGTAGTGCGGTGGGTTTCTAAAACATTGATGAAAATACACTCGGTACTATTTTTTCAAGAATTCTTAGTTGAACCTTAGCTCAAATTTCGCACTTTATATGATTATAAAAAAAATAAAAATATCACACTTTATAAATTGATCTATATTGTCTGGAAGATGATTTTTCAGTGTGTTTATTTCATGAATCTTCGCATACATACAATGCATCGAGACTTTATATTATCACAATTTCAACATGAGCATTTTTTGGTAAAACTTCATTGTGGGTATGAGTCAAACTTAGATAATAGAGGAACTATCATGAGATTGATGCCCAATATTGAAATTTTTTAACAATAGTATGTTATAAATTTTGCCAAAACTTAATTTATTTTATTGCAAGTTTAATGTCTTCACTTTGAAACGTGTATTTCATACGTCAATAACTAAACATTATTAAGGGGTCGTTTGGAGGTTGAGATTTGAAGTGAGGTATTTAGCAAATACATGTAATGATAAGATTAAGTCGTTTTTTTGGTTCACTTTGAGTTAGAATGCATGCATTACCTTTTTGTTGGGCCCACCTACAATCACTCAAAATGAATGATTATAAATCTCTACTAAAAGGTGAGATTGTTAATGAGGGATTGTCTACCCTACTTTTTGTTTCATCATTGCTCTTCCAAACAAAGTATTTTCCTAATACATGCATTGAATCAATACATCAAATGATAATACACTAATTGACCTAATACATCAATTTGAAGAATCACAATTTCCAAACGACCCCTAAAAAATTATTGAGTGTATAATTGATAAATTGCCTGATACATACAAGTTATTATAAAACAAATGTGATCTCATTGGTAACTAATTCTCTTAATGAGCTTTTAAGGAAATACAAAGAAACATCTTACACAAAGTATCTGATTCAAACCAAATCTTACATAAACTCATGTTTAGCTACTTTGTGCCTACCCATCGGTTGGGCTCCAGCCTGATTAGTGGGCCTTTTGTTGGTTCATGCGTGGACCTGAGCTTTAAGATAATGGGCCGGCCCATAATAATCACCCGAATGGCAAACTAAGCGATTCGTAAAGGCACACCACTTCCATCCTGCTGTAATCCTCTCCCGCGAAAATCTCCGTTCGCCGGAAAGTCCTCCTCCCTCCATTGCCGCATCCACCGTAATTCACCGTCGGGGAATCTCTCACCTTCAGTACCGATTTCCCGAAATTAACCTTTCCAGCGTCTCCCATATCCAACGCGAAATGGAATTGAGGCCCTGTCAAGAATGGATCGCTGAAATTCACCTGCTCTGTATCCTTCTCTGCCTCGGAAACACAAAAAATAGGCATCGGCGACGGGGGAAGCTCGTTGATTTCCTCCTCGACGGCAGCTTCGGCTGAAAAATTCATCGTTCCCTCCGAATCCTCTTCCATCTCTTCACTTTGATCGTCGAGCGAAACGTCGCTGTAGGTCGGGCTTCTGTTGACGACGCAAATCTCCTCCTCTGCCGCAATCACTCGCTCCGTAGAATCCTTCTTCTCCGCTTCCATAACCTCGAGAATTGAAGGCGATAATGTCTTCGTCTCATCATGATGTTCTCCAGAAACGACGTCGATTCTCCCCTTTTCCTCCCCCGAAATTTCTTGTTCTGGTTCTGGATCCGCCTCGTTTATTTTGCCCTGCTCCTCCGTCGAAACCTCCGAAATCGGAGCAGGCAACGGCGTCGCTTCTTTTTCCCGTTCTCCCCAAGCAGCCTCGTTTTCGTTCCCGGTTTGACCCGAATCACTCTCCGCTGCATCAGTTAAATCCCCTTCCGACCCTTCACAAGTCGACCCGGAAAAAACGGAATTCGCCGGAGCATGAAACCCTTCTTCTTCTTCTTCTTCTTCTTCCTTCCGAGACCTCTTCGCCTGCGCCTCCTCATCACCCGAGGGCGAAGAATCACCACCGACCTTCCTCTTCCGACAACGAACGGACGGCGGCAGCGCCAGGAGGTCCCGGGACGCAGGTTTCAGAGCAGGGTTTAGACGGCGGCTCCTCCGCAAGCAGAAATGAGCGGCGAACTCCGCCCAGAGAGAGCCGGAAGCGTTGGCAGCCTTAAATTCACTGCGAAGCTTCATTGTCGTGAAACACGAAAAGGAAAGGGTACCAGAGACTCAGAGAGATGGGAAAGAATTGGAAGTAATGACTATCGACTGAGCAGCATTTATATTGTTATTGTGCTTTCCTTGTCCTATCCAGCAACGGAAAAGGGGTTTCGGGAATCCTGGATAGGGTGCGGATAGTATAACAATATTCATAGTGTTGTTATACTAACAACAAGATTCATTAAGTGTAACAGGATAAACAACACAAAATAACAGATTAAAATTAAAAAAATAAATTTTCAATCCCCAGCCACCCCCTCTCCGTCTCTCGATCTCTTCTCGCTGTTGCTGGAAATCGAAGCAGATTGCGGGGGATGTCGTAGACGACGAGGGCACCAATGGCGCCGCAGTAGTAGGCGCCGCTTGAGCTTCTTGTTGGCGATCGGTTCCGACGCCGAGCTCCGCCCACGAGTTCTTCCCCATGGCGAACAACCTCTTCTTCTTCTTCTTCCAGTCCTCCCCCTGTATCTTCGTCCTCGATGGCGAGTCCTCCACCAGCTCCGCCCTCGATTTCGTTTCTCCTACGTCGACCGTCGCATCGAACAGCTTCAACTCCGGCGATGAAGGACTAACCTGACGACTAGGAAGAAATCCCGATCTCGATCCCTCGCTTTGCCTTCCTCGTCGTTTGGTCTCGCCACCTCCTCGTTGGCCGCATCCACGCCTGGGCACACTAGTTTCTCTCCTCTGTTGGATCTGGCTAGAAAAGGAAACATCGGAGACGGACTCGGGTTGTAGGTGAAAGAACAGATAAACCAGAGTTGAGAACCGGGTTGAAGATGAAAAAGGAGGTGAGAGTGGGCACCGAGGGAGGTGGAATCGAGATTGAGTTTGGAAGAGAATTGTGGGTCATTTGCTGGGGATATGATCCCTTGTCAGTGAACTCAAAGAAAGAAAAAGACAGGTGTAGGCCGTGATCCGCTTCTTCCTCTTCGCCTCCGGGTCGGCCGCCGATAACCTCTGGTTCGGCCCGTTGAAATTGTAGGTCATGTTGTGGTCCCCGGCTCGCCACCGCCGATCGTCGAACGACCCGAATTCGCCGGAGAAAGACGACGAGTACTGCGGGAAAGACATGCTCTTTTCCATTCTCTCTCTCTCTCTCTTGCAACCTTTGAATTATTAGCTTTACTATGGCGCTATCAGTTCGTACTCTCGAGTGTTTGTATGGTATGGGATTTGCATACCACAAATCTCCTTTTGTCTTTCCATAGTGCTTATTGTTATTATTATTGTTTCGAAACATACCACAAATCTCCTAAAACAAACCACAAACCTCACAAAGCAAACCACAACATTTGTGAAAGCACATCAGAAACCTCCTAATGCAAACCAGAAACCTCGCAAAGCAAACCACAAATATATTAAAACAAATCAGAAACCTCGCAAAGCAAACCAAAAAAGTTTCGAAAGCACACCATAAACTTCTTAATGTAAACCAGAAACCTCCTAATGCATACTACAAATATCCTAAAACAAACCACAAACATCACAAAGCAAACCACAACATTTGCGAAAGCACACTAGAAATCACTTAATGCAAACCACAAACACAGTAAATCAAACCACAAAAAAAGCAAACCAGAAACGTTATAATGCAAACCACAAATATATTAAAACAAACCAGAAGCCCCTCAATGCAAACCACAAAGTTTTTGAAAGCAAACCAGAAACTTCTCAATGCAAACCACAAACACGATAAAGCAAACCACAAAAGGCATAAAAAAATATGAGAAATCAAACCATAAATCTCACAATGCTAACCATATTTGGATTTCGGGTTCCTCTCCTTCATTGGGGACCAAATTTGGAGAGGTTTCACAGGATTCAATTTAGCTGGTGACTTTTTCCCTGCAGATTTCTTCCCCTTACTCCGCTTGGTTCTTGTGGCCATCGAAGGAGAAGGTTGTTGTTTCCCGTCGACGGTGTTGCTCGGTATATGGGGAGTCTCGACAATTTGCATTATGGTGCCGTTTTCCCCAGTGACAGTGCGGACAGAGGGTTATGGAGGTAGCTGGGCTGCAGACTGATCCTTCAAGGCTGTGAACCTGGGCCTGAGGCGGCCATCGACAAGGTCTGTTGGGCCGCGACTTGGTTTGAGGTAGAAGCCTCGTTTATATTTGAGACAGGTCCTAGCCCAAGGCTATCGGCCTTCTGATAAGCGGGCCTCGGCCCAAGAACTCCTTTACCCTTTCCTGTAGTCTCAATTTCCCACCCTTTTCTTGCCGCGTCTTGTATTCGTGTTCGCCTTCCTGCCGTTAAAACCTTTCCTTTCCAGAGTTGCATCCACATGGGGTAAGGGGCTGTTGGAGATCTTCTGAGATGGTGGTTCCTGGAAAGTCTCTTTTGTGAGCATTCCTCCTTTCCTCGTTCGCATACTGACTGCCTTATTTTGACTCCCCGAATCACTCTCCATTTTTCCTTTTCGCCCAATCTCCCTGGAATTTCGCCGACTCTTCCTCGTCACCAGCATCCACGGCCCTAAACCAGGGTTGCTGTCCGCCGGCGGTGCTGGCAAAACATTTTCGAATGATGTTGCCACGTCTTGCAACGGAGTCGTTCCTCCGATCGCCATCAAAGCCAAAGCTGGCTCTGGTTGAATATATGGGCAACAACTCCGAGCATGCCCAATTTTCCCGCAGTTGAAACACACCTCCGGTAGGTTCTCGTACTCCACCTTTTGCCATTCGTCGTCCAACCAAATCCGAGGCACTAGATGTTTTGAGAGATCGACTTCAACCGCCAGGCGAGCAAATTTGGCTCTTTCTTGGGTGAGAGTGTGGTAGTCAAGCTTGATGGTTCTTCCAATGAGGTTCCCCAGCATGTTCAAAACCTCTTTTTGGTAGAAGTGAATTTTCAAGGCCGGTAATTGCACCTAGACGATCATCGTCTTGGGGAGCGGGTCCGATGCCTTGAAGCGAGGGGACCACTGCTGAACCACCAAGTAATGGTCGTAGATAACTCAGGGACCATCTGTAAGAGCCCGATAATAATCCTGCTCGTTGTCCAGCTTAACCAAAAAGCAATCATGATCCAAATCTTTCACCTCCATGTTTCCCTTTGGCCTCCACAGTCCACTAAGATGGTTACAGAGATTGGCGAAACCGATCTGCAACCCTAGTAGCCGGACAACTAGAGATTTTTGCCACGGTGCACAAATCCTGGCCTTGAAATCAGCCGACACCGTTAGTGCCGGTTCACCGTTGCGCTCACCAGACACCAAATCGTGTTCCCCAACCGGCGTCCATACACACGTTGGATCCTGAGAGGGGATCAAGGGCATCCCCTCTGTCACCGTCGTAGCATACGAGAAGGGTTATTGCCGATCCTTTTCCGCCCCCTGTTCTGCTTGCTCCATCGTCCCCATAACCTCGGTAACTTGCGGAGACAAAAACAGAGGGACGGAGTCAATAGCCATATTTGAGGACTAGGTGGCCACGACCACCTGCACTTTAGAAGGAGTTAGATCCGTGGTCGCTGGTTTAGGTGCAGGGTCCGGCGGTCGGTCTAAGGGAAGAAGGACGGGCGCCGGCATTGTGTTCTCTCCGCTAGCAGTTGAGAGTTTTTTTTTTTTTTTAACACCCATCTTAGATTAACATATGATTTTTCTCAAATCATTAAAGATGATCGCTTCAATTTAAGGATATTATTAATTGTCAATGCTAATTCATCGATTTATTTTCGAGAACCCCAGTAAAGCTAGGGGAGGAGTCATACTATGGGGTCCCCGAGAATTTTGAAACTAACGTATAAATTGTTTACAACTTTGAGGAAATTAGGTATAAATAAAGTACCATGTATACCAAAGGTTTCATATGGTAACACAATGAGTTATGTATCTTGACCGAATGGTATAAAAGGTAACTAGGTGGGGACTGGGTTCGATCCTCTGTAGAGTACCTTTTGTTCCTTTTTTTTAATTGTATAGTTCTCCTATTTTAGTTTAATTTTTGTTTTTAGTTTATGGTAAGGAAAAATACCTTTTGTTCCTTTTTTTTAATTGTATAGTTCTCCTATTTTAGTTTAATTTTTGTTTTTTAGTTTATGGTAAGGATTCATTTTTCAGTAAGGACTCTTTTAATTATATAATGAGTAAATTTTTTCATGTAGCGGATAGTGCTTTTCAGTTATAAAAAAAATGAAACATGTTAGCATTGGAATATTTATTACTTTTTTTTTGGTAATTAACTCCTTCATAGTAAAAAGAACATGGTATTTTTTTCATCTTAAATAATAGTAAATCTAATAGACTTAAAAAGGTGGCTTGGGCAATTATAATGATTAAAAGTATTAGTTTTCTTCACTTTGATAAATTATTTTTTAGTTCATTTGTCTTTTGCGATAATACGAACAAAACAATTTTCGACGCATGAACAGCGCTGGCCAATTCTGTAGTTAGTATTAACTAATAAGTAAAGAAAATGATATTTCTGGATTTGGGTTAATGGTTTCGACAAAAGTTAATACAAAAATGAGGACGGAAAATGGATAAGTAAACAAATAAAAGACTTTAATTTGAGAAATCAAACGGTGCATGACTCGATGAACAATAATATAATATAATGGGTAATTATAAATACAGTTGGCTAGTTGACTGCAAAGTGGATAGGATAGGTGAAATTAAGATGAATTTAGATTAAATAAATGTATGGGACAAGCGAGCAGCGAGACGAGTCGACTGACGGAGTGGCCGACTTGTGGATGGTTGTGGTCCATCAATGAGCAGCAGCTTCATAACCATAACCACCCGTGCCGTGAGGCACCATCAACTAAGCCACGATAACAGAAGAGGTGGAATTAATCCTTGGCGCTTTTCCCAAGAAACGCCTCAATGACTTCCTGGAGTAATCCGGAGCCAGATGTATCATCATCGGCCCAATCAACTCCAAACGGGGGAGGAGATGGGGCAGTAGGGATCCAATTTGGCGTGAAAGATGGGGTTTCCAAGTCCGCGGTATCGGCGGCTGAGACTGAGAGAGAGGTTTCCTCGGCCCAATCAACTCCAACTGGGGGAGGAGATGGTGCATTGATAGGGATCCAATTTGGCGTCAGAGATGGGGTTTCCAAGTCCACGGTATCGGCGCCAAAGAGAGCGGTTTCCAAGTCCCAATCAACTCCAAGTGGGGGAGGAGATGGTGCAATAATAGGGATCCAATTTGGCGTCAGAGATGGGGTTTCCAAGTCCACAGTATCGGCGCCAGAGAGAGCGGTTTCCTCGGCCCAAGAAACTCCAACCGGGGGAGGAGATGGGGCAGTAGGGATCCAGTTTGGCGTCAAAGATGGGACTGGGGTGGCGGAGTGCTGATCGATGGGTTGCTGGCGCTGCCTTGGGTTCCCGACGGAGAAGATATGTTTATACTTTTGGTGGTTACGACGGCACTTGGGCTGAGGACGTGAGGAAGGGATGAAATAATCATGGGCCGGTGGATGGAAGGATCGACAGAGGATGTTGGTTTTGGCCTTACAACCCTGCATGTATATAGCAGCTCGGTCATAAGCACAAGCCGCTTCTTCGGGAGTGTCGAAGGTGCCAAGCCAAAACCTGCGCTTGGCAATTGGATCTCTTATCTCAGCCGCGTAAGTGCCCCATGGCCTCCTCCTCACGCCACGGTACCCCGCTCTCCCATGCTTTCTCCTCAAGAGGGAGCAGTTTTGGTGGATTGGATGAAATGTAGGGTGTTCCATTTCCATGGAAGTATGATCATGTGGTGATTTTTTATCTTGTATCTTTGCCCCCTCGGTTTTATATTATATATATATGCAAAATGAGTCCGACAAGCAGTTAATTAGCTAGCTACTAGCTAGGGAAGGGAAGTGAGCGATTGAAATTTCTGGACTGACGCCGGCTTTTCCTTTCCTTTCCTTTCCGGTGCAGCTGCAGCCCTTTCCAATCAATTTATTGTCTTCAAGACATGAAAGATTCATCATCTGATATTGCCTATTTTTTATATAATAATAAAGACATGAAAAGATCGGCGCCAGTTGCCTTGGCTACCTACATTATATTAGCTACATTATTTTTTTATCTTTCCCTTCCCCCGTTCCCCGCTCGTGTTATTTGCCTGAATCCTTTATTTTCATTTTCGGGGTTCCTGCTTGCTTGTTTTGTCCTCTCCTGCTCGAGGTTTTGATGGCCTGAGCTGCTAGTGTATCTCTTAAATTATCTCTTAAGTGATCCATTAAGGTGATGAATCTTACAGTGATTGTGATTGCTTCATCTTTTATAGCTGGCTTTATAGTATCATAGGTCGCACTATATAAGATGCAAGTTATGTGGAGTATTACCTAATCAATATAAAAAAAAATAAGTTCATAAAAAAGGATAGAAAATTACGTTAGATAAAGTGATAAGTTATTATAAAAGTGTCATTTATTCATTCAAATTATACAAATACAAGATTTTAGTCAAGAAAGAAAACCATTCAGTTTTTTGGGGAAAAAATCATTCACTAATTGATTCTCAAGCTTTATATGGAGATATATAGTTCGTTATAGTTTCAATCCATAAAGTATGTTTATGAATATGATATATGTTGACTTAATATAGATATTGTATCTCGTTTAGCGAGGATCCAAGAGTGAGTCCCTATTGTATCATTTTGCTTTTTTTTTTTTTTTTTAGAGCTCATATCATTTTGCTTTTTGAATTTTCAATAGAGTTGTATACATAATGACAAAAAACTATGTTAATGATAATTCAATTGCATACAAACTACTGGTAAATCATATCTGAAGCCTCCTTTGATATATACCCACCGCAGTTATTATGGTAAATAATGAAGCCGGGCAGGCATGACTCGAAACAATAAATAGAATGATCAATTAAAAATGCAGTTGGCTAGTTGAGTACCAATGTGGGTGCGTGAAAAGTGAATTCATATCATCAATGGCATAAGTCAACTCTCCTTAAAATTGGAAAGGGAAGACGACGTACAAGCTCCAATCGTATTGCACACTCTTTCAATGGCTTCTTTACTCGCTCTTCCAATTTCCATCTAGTACTATCCTTCCTCCTTCAATGCCCGCCGCCAACATCTTTATCACATCAACCGTTCCAACCATTTTCCATAATAATATTAGGGAAGTCTCTTGAGTAGTTTGTTAGGTTGTGGAATAGATGAGCATCTTACATGAATTTTGAGGGTTGATCTTTTGGTTATTTGTCTTTGTTTCAGCCCTTGCTTATAGAGTTTGTGAAAGAACACCGCTCTTCCTTGGGGAAGGAGGCTACCCTATTTCGCTAGAATAGCCGTAGGTGGAGAGTGGGATTAGTCCACAAATCTAATAACCAAAGAACCCAATGGCTGTTCTTTACTTTATTAGTTTCTTCTAATTAATAGGCAAGAGATGGGAATTGATACACGGGACAAAAACATTGTGAGCTGTAGCATTTATTGAACCTGAGATCGAGATGGGAATTGATGTGCATGGGCCAAAAACCAAAGAACCCATAGACATGCGCCGCTCACTCAAATAAACTAATATATGCATTAATTGTTGTATATATATATGGGTCCATCATTCATCAGCTAAACCCCACTCTTCCAGTCTTCTGGTTTCTCCAGTGCTATTGTGTTTGTGTACATTCTGTTTTTTCGGTTTTGGTTCATGAAAAAACCAATAAACTTTTTTTAAATTATTTTTAGTCTTTATTGCCTGATTAATTTTTTTGGATTTTCATGCTTAACTTGCGATTTAGTTTTATAAAAAAAAAAAAACTTGCGATTTAGTTAACTGAAACCAAATTGACGCCCTAGTTATGAATTGAAAAAAAACCCCCACATCAAACCACATTTTTTATAGAGTTTAATTTTGTAGTTCTTCAAGGGAGGCTCAACCAAATACACTGGTTCCTACTCGTATGAAGACCATCGAAGTCATACCATGAAATAGAACACAATGTTCTCTTGCCGACAATGTTATACACATACTTGTAAGTAGGTAAGTAGCTTAGTTATAGACAATTAACGAGATATAATAAAAACAAAACACAAACTCTTTAGTTTAGATGTTATTCTAATCAATACGTTTTTCCTAATCAATGAAAATTGAAGCAAGAGGAACACATACCAAATAATGGAGGACAGGAGAGGACGTAGCGGCCAATAAATTAAACGCTTATTTGGAGGAGCTCATTCATTGCGGATGCCGGATAAGGTGGTGATGATGGTCCATGGTCATCCACGTTGCGGAAGTAATTAAGTAAAATAAAGTAACCACGTAATTTAATCTAACCACGTAATCGAATCAAAATAAGTGATTAATGATTATATTGATAACAAATCAAACAGTAACATGTCGGTTCTCGATAATTAAATAATTGCTTATCGATGATTAATAGGTCAACCGAAAAATTTTAATAAAATGTTGGAAGGACAAGATCTATTGCCTACTCGAGTTGTTATATATACTTTAGATTCAAATGAAAATAAATTAAATGAAAGGCTTTATAAGAAGCATAATAGAAAGTTGGACTTGCTCAAAACCGCCTAGCTACTGAATAATTGAAAACTGATGTTCTAGAGTATCTTCCTCTTACGGCAAAAAAATGGGCAAATCGGGATTAAATCTACTCCTCCAATGGCAAAGCTTTCCTAGTTAATTAGGAGGATCTTGTCAAGACATTACTAGATCTCATAACACCAATGTCAAAGACATTGTTTTCCAGAAATAATGACCTGCTCGCACACACTTTACACAATGGCCCGCCCCACAACTTTGTTCTCTACTAAATAACGTCATTTCCTAGTACCGTGGTGTGGATAAGCTTCGTGGCGTCAATGAATTCGCAACGGCGTCAACCTCGCAACACAGTCAATCTCGCGATGTCGTTGTGCACCACAACATTGTCATGACCTTGTTATTCTTGCGAATTACGATGTTGTTAACCTTGACATCATTACATATTACAATATTATTGAGCTCACGGCATCGTTAATCCCACGATGTTGCTCCAATGTAGTATTTTTAATAAAAATTTTGTTTTAAGTGTAAACACGTAGTGGTTGTGGATGTTTATTATTATGAGGAGTAAGGCTTCAACCATTTGGGCATGTTAGGACGACGCATTGTGTGGAGAGGACCCGCAATTTTCAGGAATTGTGAGGGCCAGAATCGTCTTGACGGAAGGCCTATAAAGGGAAGTAAAGTCGTTGCCGCCTATTCTCCAATCCATAGCCGCCTCTTTTTACCTCTCGTTCTTCCTTCCTCTATAAGGCCATCTTTAGCAGATGGCCAAAATTCCATAAATTTGGCTCCAACCCACTTTAGTGGGTTCCAAAAATGTATAAAATTGGACTGAGCCAGAATTTGGGTCCAAATTTGGACCACAAGCAGCCAAAAATTTCAAACCGTGCGAGACCACCAGGTTGGGGACGGGCGACGCACCAAAAGGGAGGAGGAGTCAGACGCGCGCTCCATTCATATTATTTCTCGCTCGTGGGAGTCATCCTCATCTCCCCCATGCAGCGCTTCTTCAGTTTTGGCCAAGGGGATTTAGTTTAAAGGGACAAACAAAATGGTGGAAAATAGACAAATAGTGCAGATTGAAGCCATTTAATGAACAAAGGGATTTAGCTTAAGTATGTCATTTTATGAACAAAAATGATGGAGAATATAAATGGTTAATTTTGAATTGATTGAACTAGTTATTGTGGGTTCATTATTGATGATGTAATATTCTACATGAAAAAAATTATGTCGGAATTTAAAAAATTGTATCGAAATGTTCATCGTAATTAATTATTAGTATCTACATAAAGATAATGAACAAATTGTGCAATTAAAATAATGAAATCAACACTAAACGAAATTATGAGCTACTGTCAAATTCTGGAATTTTAGACTTTTGAAACTTCCCACTAATGCTATAAACACTTTTGGAGAGAGGGTAGATTTGGAATTCTAGCCTCAAATTTTGTATTTTTGGAACCATTCGCTAAAGATGGTCTAATAGAAGGAAGGAACAAAGAAAATAAAGACTGGCCATCCTCCTTCCTTCCTTGAATCTCCCAAGGTCATTAATTCTGGAGTACTTTAATGCATGCCTGCAGATTGAAATGACACTAGACAGTGATCGTGGCGCGAATTCCTGATGAACTCGGCCGCTTCACCCAGATCGGGAGATTGAAGTGACCCTACCCTACGGGCTGCATCCGCTACTATTGCTGCTGTCGGCGCCTGAGCTAGGAGGAGGAATCTCCGACGGTCTGATGGCGGAAGACCGATGCAAGGAGGCGAGAAGATGGACGATTGATTGGATTGGAGAAGATAATTATTTTCTTAATCCCATCAACCTACCTACCCACTATTACTTTCCCACGCGCCTATCTATTCAGTGTCACTAGCTATCAGATCTCGACCCAACAAATTCGATCTAATCCCATCTCAACTCTCTCTCTCTTTCTCAATCACCGTTTTTCTTCTCTACTCTACCTATACAAAGTTATCTTATTTTTTTGATATATACAGAGAGCCAGCCATCGCCTTGTACCAAGAAGAATCATCATTTTGTTATAGAAGATGACATCGCCTTCTACAAAAAAAAGACGACGCAAACAGCGTCGGCTGCTCCCAAAAAAAATCATTAATCGCTCCTCTTTCCAGCTGCCACCGGCAGCCCCTCCCACTCTTACTCCCTCATCTGCTGTCTGCTTACCCTACTACTACGACTACCAATTCCAAACCGAAACTTTGAACACGGCGGAATCGAGCAGTGCTAGCGATGTGTCGGAGATGGGTTCAATACAACCGTGTCTCGCATGGTTGGAGTGGGCCCAGATTGGTGGTGAGTTAATGGGTTCAACGCAGCCCTGCACTGCATGGCTAGAATGGGCGACGATCTAGGCCGGCGACGGGTTTCCTTTTGTAGTATCCCTTCCCTGCAGGTTTGAAAAAGTAATTGGTTGTGTTGTTTATTTCCCTGGTCTTGGTGACTGGATGTGCCCATTCTTGGCCTAATTAACAGTTAGTTAGTTAGTTCACAAGCACATATATATTATGTGGCCGGCCGGCCGGCCGGCTCCCTTTTATGTGATTCTGTTTTGCAATTACCATATCTATTTATCTATATGGCCATATTATTTGGATTGGCTCGTGGCAGAGGACCTAATTTACTATATTTTTTTCCTTCCTCAGCTCGTAGTTGTTTTTGCTGTTGCTGGAATTTGGGCTCACGTGGTAGCAGAATGACAGGTTGTTTGGAGTCGGCATCTCCAGTCCTGGGTTATGCCTTGCAGCCTTCAGTGGTGGGGATTATTTCCCTTTGACGTACATTGGTTTTTGAGTGTGGTGTGTGAGGGGCTTTTCCAGTTGCTGCAGTCAGTCTGGTGGATTGATTTCATTAGCTACGAATTATTATTATTATTATTATTATCATCTCTATAAAAGAAGTTACTATTGCATAATGTCCCATTACAAGAGGTGCTCTTTTGTAATTAATAACTAAAGTTTGGAGGAGTTTTATGCAATTAAGGTTGTCATCAATTAATTTTAAGCTATTAACATTCTAATCAATTATTATTATTATTATTATTATTATTATCTCTATAAAAGAACAAGTAAGAAGTTACTATTGCATAATGTTCCATCACAAAGGATGCTCTTTTGTAATTAACTAAAGTTTGGAGGAGTTTTATGCAATTAAGGTTGTAATCAATTAATTTTATGCTATTAACATTCTAATCAATTAACTTATGACGATTGACTCCTAATTGAACCCAACTCAATGGTATTCAACATGGTTAAAGCGATTTGAACTGATTTTTACAAATTTGGGTCGACAACGAATTTTAAACTCTTAAATCAATGGGATGAACCGGGTAAGCGAGTTTTACATGCTTAAATCAATAGAATACCGGATACTAAGGAACATATTATTTCAGTATCTAGGTTCACTTTATAACAAGAAATCAATAGCCCGCCGCGAAGCACGTACAGGTTTATGACCTAGTATGTGATAAAACAATCAGTTCTCAGGTTCGTGTCTATGTAGCTTGAAAGGAAGAATGCATCACAACCAGCCCAAGTATCTATCTGCAGCTGCCAACTCGGCCAGTCCATCGGTCTGCCCGTCGGTCCACCAGTCTCGCTGCTCGCAATAAATTAAATAGGAGGCTTTTATGTAGCTAGTGTTGAAGTGGATAGGTGGGGTTGTTGAAAAATGTTCAACGTTGACATGCATCAAAGTAGCGTTTGTTCGTTTATTGTTGTACTATTTTGGTAGTAATTCTGTAATGGTGTTGTACTTTCAATTTTAACATTGTGGATTTTATCTAAATACTTGATTTTATTTCTTAAGTATTTCAAATGATCTTTCGTGTGTTTGTTTTAATCATATATAGACCGACTTTTAAGTAAACATAACACTCATAACCTCGATTGGTTAACTGTTGGAAGCAACCATAAACAAGAACATATATATATTTATACACACGCTTGGTAATTTTTTGCGTCTCCACATACATCATAATAACTGGCAATAAAAACCGGGAGAAAAGTAAAAAAGTGCCCCTATAATGGAATAATACGTAACATTGGCTGAAGGGGGGAAAATTGGGGATAATCGGCCGGTTGAGTGTCCACGTACGACACCAGAAGTAGCTTCATTCACGGCGCACAAGAATACCCCTAAAAGACAAAAAGCACACTGGAAATTAATAATAAGAAGCTGGGGATAGCACGATCTTAGCATCATGGTTAATATTAGTAGTGGTAATTATTATAGGTGGATTTCTTGTCGGACGCTTTTGGCAGAAACGCCTGGATGGCTTCGTGGAGGAGGCCGGAGCCAGATGAAGGCTGCGGGACCACAGGGAAGGAATAAGGAGGACTGTCGGAGGCGCCAAAAATAGTAGTTTCCTCAGGGAAGTGGAGGCAGTTAGCCCAAGCAGCTCCAGTACTGGTGGGAGGGGGTGGGGCAGCGGATGATGCAGCAGGGGTCCAACGCGGAGTGATAGTTATCGTTGGTAATACCCTAGTCCTAGTGCGGATATTTGGTGACGAAGGTGGGGTTCCGAAGGGCTGGTCGATGGCCAAGAGGGGCTGCTGGCACCGGTTCACGGAGGAGCGGGAGAAGGAACGGTTGAAGTAGTAGTGTTGTTGGCTGGTGCGACAGTACTGATCTTGAGATTTTCTGAGAGGGCTGAAACAAGTGCGGCGCAGTGGTGGATAAGGTAATTCTAGAGGTTGCTGCTGGCACCTGTTCGCGACGGAAAAGCGGGACAAGGAACGGTTGTAGTAGTACTGTTGCTGGCTGGGGCGACGGTACACCCGCGATTTCGGGAGAGGGCTGAAAAAATTGTGGCGAGGTGGAGGGGATGATCGGCTGAGCAGGTTGGTTTTCGCCTTGAAGCCGTGTATGGCTATAGCGGCACGGTCGAAAGCACAGGCAGCTTCCTCGGGAGTGTCGAAGGTGCCAAGCCACTCCCTTCGCTTCGTACGCGGGTTCCTAATCTCCGCAAAATAACGGCCCCACGGCCGCTTCCTGACTCCACGGTACCTACAATGTTGATATCCTCTCATTTCCATGGAGATCGAGATGGCTCAAGGGTTTTCGTTTCAAGAAGCAATCAAGAGATAGAAGAGCAACCTCACATGGCCGGCCCACTCTGCGCTTGCAGCAATACCCGATTCTTATTTATATATGCAACAAAGGAGAAGGCAGGAGAGAAAATAAATGAAAGTTGATGGATGCCTTGTGAACAGAAGAAGACAGGAGAGGACGTAAATGAAAGTTGATGGATGCTTTGTGAACAGAAGAAGACAGGCGAGGACGTAACCGGCGCGGCAATAACACCTCTGGGCCATGCATTGAAGGTTACACTTAAGAGTGAGCTAGAATATTATTTTATTTGGAGTTATAATGTTCTCACAAGCATTAATCGGCCAATACATCTAGCAAGCAGCTGTCTTATTTATCTCCATCACACGTGGCACTCCTCCGTACCAAGCATATATATATATGTTGTAACATCCAATAAGTTGTTAGTTTGGTTTTGTTTCTTGTTTAAATCAAACCCGATTCGATAACGATGTGAATGATTCCGTTTTGTAACACAATGGGTTTTGGTTTTGATTCAAACGAAAAATTTATAGGTGATTTTGACGATCCTTTAAGTTCTGCTTTCTTAGTGAATCCGTCAGAAAAACAGTCCCCCAACAACGAAAATATATCAAGTCACCCCTAAATTAGTCACGTCCTCCGAACCCCGAGAAACCTCCCCCCACCTCCCCTTAAGTTGCCATTTCGGTCTTCAATCTCAGCAATGTTATGCAAAACCTCTCCCAATGTTGTGCAATTCCTGGTAGCGATGATGATCATCTCTGCTTAGTGGCAACTGTATATTTCTTATTGAGCTTACCTGTGGTATGGAAGATGGTCGGTTCCGCCAGCTCGATACATGCATGCTTAAGTTCTCCCCATCCTAGGACGCATTGATACATTTTTTTAATAGTTTACGATTTTAAACCACAATCACACCGTTTCGGTCGATTCGGACTCACAAACCATTAAAATATATACCATAAGGCAAACCGAAAACTTTGCAATGTGATGTTGTTGGACCGCAATCACGCGCGATTTGGTGATTGTCCGCCTCAACTTTGCTTTACTCCTTCCTTCCTTTTTAGGAAAATCTGGAGAGGTCTACTTGATTTAGGAGTCCCCACAGGAGACAGCGGGAAGTTAAGTCACTGGGCGGCTCACTCTCAACATCATGTGATTTTGATGTTGAAGAAGATATGGAAGCTTCAAAAGAGAGACACTGTTGGGCTCTGAACAGAACCTTTATGATAATCAATAATTATTTTCTCTCATTTTTTTTAAGATTCAAATAAAAATTGTATGGAGCTCCAGTATCCAACTGCCCTATCGCTATTTAATTTCTAACCATCACACTCCAGTCAAGCAAATATCCCCGGCTCAAGACCCCATCCTTTCTTTCTCTCGTCCCCAGCTACCTCCTAATTAATTAAACACAGCTCATCATTCCGCATCCATTTGACACGAATCAAGAGAGGAGACAGCTCCGGCCATTAACTTTTAACCCCAAACCCTCTTCCGAAAAGTATGTCAAACTCTTCCAAATTCCATGTAAAAACAAATATTTCATGTATTAACCCTAAAATTTTTACATACAACTTTTACTATAGTGCATGTTATTGATGACCTCCTGGAGTAACTCGTTCATTTATTGAGGTGCATGCCGATTGGACTCTCTTCTGACCTCTCCCATACAATCTATCATTTCAGATTCACTCATGTTCACATGCACAAGGTCAATGTTAAATTTAGTTTATAATAAAAGAAAGGACCAAAGCAAGGAAATTATAGGGTCATCACTAATCAAAACTTTAGTAAAAGTTGTATGTAAAAATTTTAGGGTTAATACATGAAATATTTGTTTTTATTGGCTGGGGAGCAAAGGAAGATGGAGGATGATTTGGCGGGCGAAAACAGGAAGAGATCACAAAGCAACCTAGGGGGAACAACAACAAAGCACGTAGGTAATTATCGACAAGATAATCCTAGCAAATCAAAATGTTCAAAGAACCTGTCTCCATATGGTTTGCATAAAGATATGAAACTCATTGCTTCATAGTAGTCCTATAAATTAATATGAATGTAAGTGGTCACTATCGCTTCTACAAATTTGATATTGCAATTTGATATGTAATATTTAACCAATGATATTTGATCTATTATTTTAAAATTATCCTCTATTTATAAGATAAATAGAAATTTAAGTTATGTTTCGAAGTATAACTAAAATAATTAAATATGAAAATTGAAGTATCAAAATACCAACAAGTACCGAGCGAAGATTTAGTGACCTTACTAAATGTTGAAAAGTTTTGTAATTTTTTATTTTTGCTTTATGTATGTTTTTTATTTAAAATGATATAACTAATCTATATAATCTGGTTGATTAAGATTATTGTCATTATTGAAAAATGACCATGGTTCGAATTCTAGTATTTGTATATTATTTTAGGAACAAATGAGAAACATATCTACACATACTATAATACACCGAAGTGAAAAACGGGAGCCCCATTTCAAATTTCCTGCGACGAGAGTGAATGTAGGAAGGACATTTTGGTCTTCACAATTACTTTTTTTTATTCATTAAAAAGATACATACTGGGATTCGAACCATGACCATTTTAAAGAAAGGCAAGGATCATAACCAATCACACTAAATACATTTGTTGTATCATTTTAAATTAAAAATATATAATAGCAGGGTGGAAAAAACTCTTCCCCCAGGAGCGTTTGTAGGAAGGGTAGAATAGGGAGTATCAATTTTTTCTCTTTCGTCTATGGAACGGGCCAACTTACCGTACACATGCGGATTTAAACGGGTCTAGGAGTGTCAATTTTTTCTTTATATCCTTTTATTTCTCCGTGGTGATAAAATATATATGAAAAGGCAAAAATAATACTCCTTTTATTGTTAAAAATAAAAAATTTAACAATAAACTAATGCATGGTATCTAATGGGCTAACAGCTAACCATAAAATAAAAGAGTTGAATGAGCCTGACCTACATGAGATTTGGCCATCAAGTAAAACAAACGAACATCATGGGTTTGTCATTCTAAAACAAGCTATTTTCTTTGGCATAATATATATTATGCTATTATTTTATATCTTAGTGGCTAAAATATAATGTATTTTAAAGTTATTCACTGGTTCAACCTCGAACAACCCAATTATTCCAATTTTTATCATTTCAAATATATATTTTATAATTATTTGACATCATATTGATCAAATTATAGTATGTTTTATAGGGAATCGTTTGGTATTTGTTAGTAAAAAACTAAACATAAAGATCTATTTGGTTATTTTAAACATTAAAACGATCCTAAACATTTTCAGTTCCTTTTGAATTTCTATGGTTTTATTCCCGAATAAGTGATGTGCAAATGGCGAATTGTAGTCGTCTCTTTTCTTTCACTATTTTTTATTTTCAAATAGAAAGTTTAAAAGTAAAGAATAATTAGAATTTGGCATGGGCCGGTCAAACAGGCTGAATTTCAAGTTTTGGCCCGTTTGTTTTATGCATTGCAAATTTATTAGCATGTTGATGGAAATGGCTTGGAAAAAAGACATATAAGTTGTACCTTTGCAGAAATGTCCTCAAATGTTTGAATGCTTTGTGAATCAGGTTCCGTGACTTTTGTGATGATGTATGTGCTTGACGATTGCTCGATGTTGTAACTACTTGATTTGAGAGTAAATCTTTTGATTTTCCCTATGAGTTGTGAATTGTGATACCAGTTCTGGTGGTTGCAGCATGTTGTCGTTGTTGGCCTGTAAAAGTTGTTCCGCCGTGATGCTAAATACCTTTCTTTCTTTTTTAACAAATTGTGTAGTAGTGCTATGAAACAGACCACCCATGAACGCTACACTTATTATGACATGTTCTTACTTCCGGTGGTGAGAAATTGTGAATTGAGAATCATATTCGCCTACTGTGTCTGGCTGGTGGCTGCTTACTATGCTCTCTAGAGTTATGAAACAGACTACCCATGAACGTTACCCTTAAGAGTCCATAACTTTGCGAAAAACCAAATTTAGGCAATCAAAGGTGGTGGATGTGTGATGATTTTTTATGGCTTAATTGTTTGTGAATTGGATATCTGATCTTTGTATGATTAGAGGGGATGTTTGCTTAATAGAATAATCCATTTTAATTCATGTTTATTTTTAACATGAAGTTTAGTAACTCAAAACCTTCGAGACACATATCACCTACTGCATTGTATCATTTTGCCTGGGTGCTTGCTGTGTTGTCAAACTTCTTTTCTGCTGCTGCTGCATTTACACTAACAGGGGAGTTAAGAACCCATGAATGTTTCCGTTTGACACAAACAAGAGGACTTACTTCTAAATCGTGCATTAAAGATGATTGGAGGAAACATCTTTGTTGCAGTTGATATACTGGAGACCATAACAAAAGCAACGTATAACATCAAAACCAACCATCTGAACTATTAGCATTGTTGCTTTACTCTTTTTTCATGGTTGAGTCTCCTTCAAAAAATTTAGTTTGATTTTAGAAAATTTTGCTACTGCAGTCCTGTCTTGCCACCAACGCGTTCAGTAGATGGAGATGGCAGAGGCAAAGGCTATTTTTGTGCTGTTGTTGCTGGTTTAGGGATCGGTTTGTGAAGAAGAGGGGAAAGAGAGGGGGAAAGAGAAATGCAGGAGAAGGGGATAACTCTTTTCTCCGACAAAAATGGAGTGAAGAAAGGAATTATGATCAGTAAGGATATGGTTATCTTACATAACGGTCTCTATTCTGTTTGAATTGAGCTTGGGAGGCAGTGATAAGGACGAGCTACAACCAATTCATAGTGATAAGAGTGCTATGAACTGTGATCATGTCTTATTTCAAGTTAGAAGGTAGTTTCAGTATAAGGATTATTTAATTTGACAAGTTAATTCGTCCATGATTCTTGGTAGTTTTAGTGCCATTCTAGCCATTGTTTAGTCTGTAATTTTTGAGAATTGA